GTGGGAAATAGCTGAGGCTAAGGGCATTTCTTTCCCCAACTTTTTTTTCTATGCAATTTTCGGCAGTGTGACCAGAAAATATGATAATATCATCATTTTCACCAAAAAATTATACACTTGTTCAGTTTCGATAGCACTCACCATTTTTGAGATAAATCGATTTAAAAGTCTGCTGCGTAATAAAAATTCTAGTTTTTCTCAATAGGGTACCAACCATAATATTTTTCAAATTATTATTTTTATTGTTTCTTCCATATTTTGAGTCAAACATCACAGGTAGATGTTGAAAATAGGGTATTTTCTATCGAAAAATAATTTTTGGGAAAATTTGCTACCCTATTATAAGCACTATTTTCAAACTGCCGAAAATTGCATTGCATAAAAAGTTGGGGGAAGAAATGTGGCAGGCTAATTTCGGGACACCCTGTATAAATCAGCGACAAAATTCTCGAAATAGACTCGCTTGATGTTTTCATTCGTGGAAAATGGCTGATTTTTATTTTATAATATTTCACTTTACGCAACTGGTTTCGTATAGTAAGACGTTTGAAAATTTCGGTCAGTTTTGAGAAAAGTGTCAAATTTTATGTCAAAATTAAAGAGGATAATGTTATGACTTTGTTGCCAATCAAAATTGTTCGATGAAATTTCGCGATTGTAACCTGATTGAAGAATCGTAAATTTAGTGGTGGAATCATTTTTTTTTCAATCACTAATCATATATTGCAATTTTTAACACGAAAAAAAAACGCACTAAAAATGTTCTGAAAATTGAAATTATATTTCGGAAATTTGTGTAAACGTAGACCTTTCCAAACAAAAAAAAATGAATCGGTCGAAAACTGTAGATATCATAAGTATGGGTCGGATCACACTATATTTATGTTGAAGTATGTTTCAGACTCTTACGTTACATATATATTATGTAGGGAAAATTAGCAGTGGTTAAACTTTTGTAAAAGATTGTAAAAACAAATGTAATACAAAAAACAAAAGCCTAGCATTCACATATTTATTATATGAAGGTATATGTATTTTTTCTTCCTCGTCGAGATTTCAGACAGTAGATATTTAGGAATTTCTTCAATGGCCAATGTAGTGTGCGATGTTCCGGATGATAGCTGTGTTTGTGTTATATTTCATGGTATTCATGATGACTTCATTTTTGCGTCATTCTCAATTCAATGAATGATCATCGAAATTTTCCATCAAAGAAGGAATTCGAACGATGGTTGCGATGAGTCGACCGTTACTTTATAACACGCCTACGAGAAGAATTTTAAATGAAATGGTATTCTTTCTTTGACTTTACATCTTGCTTTGTGAGCACAATTGGTTTCTGAGTTTTGAAAATTCCAGAGGATTGACTAATTGAATTGAATAGCCGTTCATTCAATGACTGGTAATTTCTGGAGTATATTTCAAAAGATACTATGGAAGTCAGCTAGTCAGTTAATCTTTACGTTCTTTTCAGTGTTACTGAGGATAGCAACTTAGTTTCCGGATTCTTATTTCGTGCGAAAAGCTACTTTACACCTCAACAGCTTCTCTAACTGTAGCGTTGGATATATCGACGGTATTCGACCGTGTTTGGTACCAATGCTATCTTTTATCGAGTCTTCTTCCAGGCAGATCGCTCCATGTGGTGGAAGTATTCTCAAAAACTTATAACCTCCAAAAGTTCAAAAAAAAATTTCGAAAATCTACCTCATATCCCTATCCTCCCTAGGTACAAAGGATATTCTTCGAACTCTATAGGAATTTCCTTTCGTGCGCTCCAAGAGATAAATAAATAAATCTCATTTCAACCTATTATCTGTGCAGAAATGAAGGTAAAAAATTTATTGGTTTCTATTTTGTGAATTTTTTCAATCAATTTCTCCCCATTACTCCCCTCCTAGTATATGTAAGTGATGAATTGGTCTCGGAATTGGTAGCCCTACTTTTTCTTCCATCTCGACCTATTTATTCATTTTACTTCGTTCTTTGGGATTTTCTCTCCTCGTTTCTATAAAATAAAAGTATTCGTATTATTTCAATATATTTGTAGAGGGACAAATCAGATGATTTGCCCCAAAATGTCACTGCGTTTAACAAATTTTTCTATCAGGGAGTCTAAAAGAAAAATCCAGTAGCTTGTCAGTGACAATTTGTTTGAAAAAATTTTTGAAGGAAAGAAATATAGATATATTGAAAAAATATCGAATTTGTACTTATCTTTGGACGTTTCGGGACCGATTCTGCTCCCGTTCTCAACATGTAAATGCAAATTATTTTTCTTTGAAAGTTTTGCTGCGTATAGTTTGACACTTTTCAGAGTCATACTGATGTTGGCATATGAATGAGTGATTTTAGTCTACAAATGAATCTACCATTTTCATATGCCAACATCAGTATGACACTGAAAAGTGTCAAACTATACGCAGCAAAACTTTCAAAGAAAAATAATTTGCATTTACATGTTGAGAACGGGAGCAGAATCGGTCCCGAAACGTCCAAAGATAAGTACAAATTCGATATTTTTTCAATATATCTATACTTCTTTCCTTCAAAAATTTTTTCAAACAAATTGTCACTGACAAGCTACTGGATTTTTCTTTTAGACTCCCTGATAGAAAAATTTATTAAACGCAGTGACATTTTGGGGCAAATCATCTGGTTTGTCCCTCTACAAATATATTGAAATAATACGAATACTTTTATTTTATAGAAACGAGGAGAGAAAATCCCAAAGAACCAAGTAAAATGAATGTACCACCTCCTCGATTAACCTACAGACAGTATTCGACCTATTTATATTTAAGTCAATATGTATTTCTTTTTCTTTTGTTTCAACCTATTGTGGCGTAGCCAAAGTTGAAAATTTTCATTCCTTTTTTCTAAATAACGGTCGCAAGTAAGGCAATCTACAAGAAAAAAATATTCCAAAAGAACTATAAGTTGCGGCGCACCTCAAAGAAGTTCAGAGTGAAAAAAGGCCCCTGAAAAAATATATCCTTGTAGATTCTCAAGACCATTTAGCATGTCCCCTCATGATGTGAGCTACTCAGCGTAACACGTATTCCAAATTTGAGCTGGATATTCTAAAAACTGCAAGAACCTGAGGAACCATAAGGAAAAAACTGAAACAAATCTTGAAATTCCAAAACAAAGTCTGAAACGAAAGAGTATGTTTATAGGAACTTTTAACATTTTCTTGAGACGCTCTACCCCTACCCTCTTAGGCGAGTTAGCAAATTGAATTCGGGAAAGTTCAACAAAAAAAACCTTTTATAGTAAATATGGAAAATAAAGTAAATAAATAAAAATAACGGATTTCCTCCTTCAAACTAGGAATTTCCATCTTCAGAAACATAAAATTTCGATTTTGTAGTCGGACTTTCCAAGTTTAATCATGAAAGAAAATTACATTTCCAGTTCAAACTAGGAACTCATAACTGCAAACCCGAACTTTCCGACTAATAAGTGGAGAATATAAATCTTTGAAGTCGAAAAAATCAAATTCCGAGTTTCGAGTTGAAAATATCAAAGTTCAATTCGGAAAATGAAATTTGCAGTTACAGGTTTTCGATCTGAATTTCCCACTCATGTATAGCTCATAGAAAATGAACTTTCTTGTATCCCAGTTAAATCTTTTTTTATTTAATATTTGGATATCCTACTTCAAACTAAGAATTTCCAAATTGAAATACATGATATTTAATCGATATTGTATTTGGAATTTCTTAGTTTAAACATGAAGGAAAATTATATTTCCATTTCAAACTATAGGAACTTCCGACTGCAAACCCGAACTTTCCGACTTATGAATAGAGAATTTGAAGCTTGAAGTCGAAAAAATCAATTTCCTAATTTTGAGTTGAATATACAAAGTTTCAATTCGAAAAATTATATTTCCAGTTACAGATTTTTGATCTGAAAATGAAATACTCCGTTCAATACCCAGGATTTCCAAATGCGTACTCTGAATTTCCGACCAGTAGCTCATAGAAAATGAAATGTCTTATCCCAGTTATATATTTTTTTTCTACATTCATGCAAAAAGCAGAACTTTATTGAACTATATTTAGTGGAAAAAGAAGTTCTTTATTGCACTTAGTGCAATAAAGTTTTTATTGCACTCATCTGTCATTCTACTTCAACGTGCTGTCATCATGACGAACATTTTTTATATTGCAACTGTGGTTATAGAAACGTCATATATTCATATTGAAAATTGCACCAATTGTTCATTCACTTTCAACATTGAGAGTGAAAATAAAGTTTGAGTTAAATTGTTCGTAACGTATTAGTTCCTGTTTCAATGCAAATCGATATTAATAATGAAGTATTCAAGTTGCGTTTTTCATTTTCCTACACCTAGTGCCGCACCTCAATAAATCATTTTTTGCTTTTTGCATGAACGTAGAAAAAATGTTGTATGCAACTCGTGCAATAAACATTAACTTTTTGCACTTGTTGCATAAATAACTATTATTTCATGTTTGGTCTACCTTCTACCTATATTTTTTCTGTATCAAATTAAATAAGTTTTAGGTAAACATATTTTAATAATCCACCTAGGGTAATCAATTCGTATTATTCATTTCTTGTCTTAAGTTGGCAAAATTCACTTACCCTCCACCCCCCCCCAAATTTTCTTTTGGTTGGTCCCTGGTTCCACTTTACATATCTAACTGACTGCATAGTATATGTAGTATAAAACATAAAACTAATAAAATTGAGGAGATCTTCATATTCCTGCCATTCGTAACCCCCTCTTGAATGAGCCAAGAAATCCTATACCTCAATCGAGAAACACTCTGTATAGGGCCAAAGATCAGATTCCTAGTAGGTGCGGCCTGCTAACCACCATCGTCGTGGTTTTCAATAAAACTCGGCAAATAGTACGGAGCAACCAGGTAGGATTTTTTTTCTCCGCACTCAAGTGAAACACATTCTTATCGCTGGAGAGATAAGGTCGTGTGGCATAGCGTGCTATTTTTTTTTTTCGTCCATCCGTTGATAACACAACGTGTCGCCATGACGGACGGAACGGATATCGGTGGTGGTCTGGATGAAAAGAAGTCTGAAGACGGCGAAGAGAATGACCACAACGATGTGTTAACGTTGAAGGGAGTGACGCGATCGGAGACGAGCGATTTTCCCGAGGACAGTGGCGTAGGGTGTGGGAGTGAGAGGGAGAGTGAGGCAGGCAGTGAGGTTGAGGTTTTCGATGACGCCGATGTGATTCATTCGTTCATTCATTGTACCAGCGACGAAGTAGGTTGTTTGTGATTATGTTGAAACCTTCAAACTGTTGCGAAAATCTGCTGAAATGTTGATGGAAATCCGTGAAACTTTGCTTTTTATTGACACAATTTTAATATTGTTACTGTGGTATTGTCCTTTGTTTTGATTTGATAGAAAACAAAAATATTGAGGATTTTTGAGATTCTTGAGAGATATATGCACAGCGCTTTTTCATTTATCTGTTGCTTTCATTATCTGTCATTAAGTTTATTTTCATTTAAGGACTATGATACCTTTATGGACGACTTCTTTTCAAATTTTGTGAATTCTTCTTCTTGATCAAAATACAGGGTGGAGACCTAAAGTGGAATAAATTCGCTAGCAGGGAGGTGAATATTTTTTTAGAAAATTCCCGAGATACGTCAACATGTTTTTTTCAAATGCAACCCTATGGCTTGTGACCCCTCATTGGAAAGCTGATGAAAAGAGGAATCCAGCATACTGATCAAATTTTATTTTTTCTTATGTTTGAGGGTTGCATAATATCAAAACTAAATAATGAAGTTGAATTTATTTTCAGCGTAACAATTGCTCAAAATGTGTACCATTCACTTGTTGGCAGCATCCCAGTGTGGTAGGTCTCGTTCCTTACATTATGCAACATTTCCGGTGTTATTTTTCTGATTTCCTCTCTTATCCTTTCCTGTAGGTCTGCTATGTTGTTTGGTTTTTGAATGTAAACCTTACTTTTGAGATGTCCCCACAAAAATAAATCTAGCGGTGTAAGATCTGGTGACCTTGCTGGCCACTCCATGGTACCTCGCCTTCCAATCCACTTACCGGGAAAAATTCTGTCCAGATATTGACGAACAATAGCAGCGTAGTGTGGCGGGGCCCCATCTTGCTGAAACCATAGCCTCTCGTCGGTCAAGTTAGGGTTCAAGGGATTTGGAAATAAATGACATAGAACTGGCATTAGTTCGTTCTGGAGAAAATGCAAGTATCTTGCTCCATTGATAGTGTCATCGAAGAAAAATGGTCCCACAATTGTATCTTTGATTATTCCGGCCCATACATTAGTTTTCTGTGGGCGCTGAGTATGAAGTTCCCTCATCCAATGAGGGTTCTCTACAATAACGACAATTCTGGCGATTTACATGCCCGTTCAATGTAAAAGTAGCCTCGTCTGAGAAAAGTATCCACTCCAATGATAAATGGTTCTGATCAATACTGGTCATCAATAAATCGCAAAATTCCAGTCGGCGATCTGGATCATCTTCATGTAGCTCTTGAACAGCTTGCATTTTATAAGGGCGTTTTTCCTCATATTTGAGTATCTTCAAAACTGTTTTGTGATTGAGATTATTATCACGGGCCAGTTGGCGGGCTGGAGTGAGTGGATTTTCTTCTAGAGCAAGCAACAAATTCAACTTCGTTTCGTCATGAACAACAGCCTGCCTCTGACTCGGTACTTTTCTCACATGACCCGTCTCTCGATATTGGGATTCTATTTTACTAATTGTACCTTGATTTATTGGTGGTAAGTCAGGATATGTTTCTCGGAACAGGCGACTTCGTGTTGAGTTCGGGCCCTATCACCAAAGCCAATCATCATCAAAATTTTGATTTTCAGCGATTCAGTTAAATAAGGCATTTTCAGTACGCAACAACACTTCTCTTCGAACTATGAATACGGCATACAAACTTAATTCATCTTTGCGGCTGTGTAAAACACTAGCAAAAAATAACAAATATCAGTTGTAGCAAAAAATTGCTTGGAATTTTTTTGCGGAGATATCAATGTTTACATTCCGAAACTGAAGAACACACATTATGAGCGATTGATATATTGGGAATAGATTTATCTTTTAAGTTTCATTTTGATTTTATGTATCCCTCAAACGTACGAAAAAATAAAATTTGATCAGTACGCTGGATTCCACTTTTCATCAGCTTTCCAATGAGGGGTCACAAGCCATAGGGTTGCATTTGAAAAAAACATGTTGAGGGTAGTTTCAGCTACCCCTGAAGGCCTATATTCTTCATAATGCTTGCAAAATATAGGTAAATATATAAAAACGTTGACGTATCTCGGGAATTTTCATAAAAAATATTCACCTCCCTGCTAGCGAATTTATTCCACTTAAGGTCTCCACCCTGTATAGTCCTCAGCTTGTTTGTGTTATAACATTCAATGATCACATAATTACAATAAGAATCATTCATTCATATTGTTTTCAAAGTCTAATTTGAACATCCGACTAGAATTTCCAGAATTTTCAACCACATTTTGGAAAAGGAAGAGGAAGAAATTGTTTGTCGTAACTTCTGACAGAATCGCGCCTGCGCAAGTTGTTGGTCATCTTTTAGCGAATAGTTAATGAAAGGTGTATAAATAAATGATCGGGAATACCAAGTTTTAACTCATTAGTGAAATCGTTATAATGATTGTGAAATTACAGATTAATAAAAAAGCGGTGTGCATATATCCGCCTTTGCAAGCAAAATTTGAAACTTGAATGAATTTTTAACTAAAATCAATAATATAAAACCATGAAATATAATGTAGGTGTTCATGCAAGGAACTAAAAAAAAGAAAATTAAAACTCGAGAAAGATGGCCATCATTCAACTAAGAAATTAATTTATTCCATAATTCACAACAGCACTTGCATGAACACCGATATATTCTAAATTTAAAAGTTTATTCAAATCTTAATTTCATTATAATTTAGTTGATGTTGCATGAATCCACCTTTATTGTTGATCAATAAAATCGTATAAGCCTCTTCTGATACAAAAGATACATAACAGACTGATATATACAACGAAATCCGTTTTTCCATCATGTGTTGTATATTCCATTGCAGCATCGTTTCCATCATACATTTTATCTGAAAATTAGTGACGTCACGACAAAAAAGCGCATTTATTAGTGGGGACTTTCTTCGGTGTAATGAAAAACACACCATTGCTTAATGAATTTCGCGGAAAATATTTCTAATTGATGATGATTTGGAGTATTGAAATTTCTATATATAATCTATCAAATGGCTTTTTGTGTGACTTAGAGTATCGCTTGAAGTTGAGACTGTATCAATACTATACTGTTCATCTCACGCACGTATTAATAGATTTGTTGGAATGTCATGTTATCAGATATCAGCACCGTACAGGGCTATCCACTATTTTACCCAATGACAAAAAATATCTTGATGACAGTTAGCTTTCAAACCCTTTCGCTCATACTGTATTCAATTGAATACACTCAATGCATATATTATTTCTGAGTAGAAACAACGAAATTATCACTTCAGGGCATAATGTATCCAATCTACCATTCATAATATTCGATATCAACCATTTTCTAGTATCTAAAAAACATTTTATTAATAGTGAATCAAAAGTTGAGATAGGGACATGTAAGCCGTTTTGATCGATAATGAATAGTTTCGACACAAAACAATCCTAAAATTGAAAAATCTCGATTTTGAACACCCCTGTAATCTGTAATCATTCCTGCTAGACCCCAAGTGTGATGCATTGATGAAATCAGCTCTTCAGGAAGAATCTAAAAATGCAATAAAATACAGGGGGCTCCATTAAAAAAAACGAAGTTGCTAGTTGTTTCTGATAGAAGTGGCAACACTGTATCGATGAAAATATTTTATACGTTCTGTCTTTTCGTTCTCCAGATACTACTAATAGGCCATCCATAGTTCTATCAAACAAGCACTGGAAAAAATATTTTCTCATAAGTTCTTTTTCAACTCACCTTGTATGTACGAGCTAGAATGAAGATTATAACTATGACACCTGCTAGGAAACTACCACTTGGTAATTAAAAATAAATTGAAGAAAGTCAATAATCACCGATTTAGTTCAGTCAACTCATATCAGGTATGATGACAAGTCGAGCGAGTATGTTTTCTTGTATTTGGAAATTCGTGAGTATTATTCTGGTTTAGTCGATTCACTGTTAATTTTAGTCTAGGGAAACAATACCCACAATACATTTACAATTCATTTTCAGAAAAAATATCATATTTCAGCTCAAGAGTCATGAAAAATCCTAAAATTCCAAAACCATTTCCAGAAAATACATTGTGTTACATGTTTGACATTAGAGAAAATGAACAAAAAACTGCTGTCTCAACGGAAGTTATAGATAGGGAGAGAATAGTGCATATTGAATTCCATCATTAAATCATATCAATAACTTTTTATCAATATTCATAATGAAGTAAACATGAAAAAGTATGAAAAAAATCAAAACCACATGAAGTTTTGATAAGATATTGGGCCTATTCTTGACCGTAGGAGAAATAAAGCATTATTGATTGGGTATGCTTTCTATCAAGGTACTTATAAAATTCTGGGGAATAGCCTCCCACTGTCTCATTAGCAGAGCCCAAATGATTGACAATGACATTCAACTAACAAAAGTATACAGTATATGTTGATGAATAAATTAATGAATGAATAATGGAAGCTGTATATTAAAATTAGTACAAGTATTCAGTACATTTTTTAATTTAGTGACATAATTGTTTTTTTCTAATCACATTACTAAAATGGCATTTAACATACCGATATGTACCACGCTAAATGATCGATTAATCACGGATTGGCGATCTGTGATTTATTCAAAATATTAAACACGTTACCATGGCAACACGATTTCTTAAACACATTACCATGGCAACACAGTTCATTAAACACAGCTTCAGTTATTTGAGACATGTCTGGCCTGTCAATCGTAGGGACTATCAACTGTCATTTTCGAATTTTGTATCAGAATTATTCAAACAATTTTCGTTTGTATCAGAATTCTTCATTAAAAATATATGCGGAATGTCTAAGATCCGAACCTAAGTCGACCTTCACCGAGCTGATAATAGAACGAAATATATTTTATCATGAATTTAGTATATTAGAAAACATATTAAAAATGGGTTGCCTAAAAAAATCCTGGGCAGACTATTTTTAATTATTTTTCGAAAAATTATTTTTAATTAAATGTTGCAACATCAGGATAATAAAAAAATTGTGTCCTGACTGAAAATATGAAACGTATAGAATGTGCAGCCGTTGGGGTGTCTACTATTTACCTGGGCGAACTACTGGGTTGTCAGGTAAACACAGGTATATCGATGCCAGTTACTTTCACTGGATTGGATAATTTAAAAAAATGTATATCATCATAAGCGCTGTTTAATTGCGAACACGTTGATATAGGGTTGTCTGCGAAAATTCCGGTCCGATTAGGGGTTTTTAATTTCAACGCGCGTGGAAGTGTGTGACAGAGAGATCCGAGGTAAGTATACTGTGTGATAATAAAGGACCCAACATCGCAGTCGCTTGTGATGGGACCCTGAATAGTAGAAAGTGCGCATGCTCGGTGTGTAAACTATGGAGGGTAGAGGTACCTCTACTACCCTTCATATAGTAAACAGTGCGTGTTATTTTGGAGCAACTGATATTTCAGTAGCAAAAAAAAAAATTAATTAATTACATAATAATTAAATATATTTAATATAATACTAATATATAAAAACAATATAATATCAGTATATTGCGTTATAACCATAATGATATATCTATAATCTATAATAGACAATAAAAATATCAAATACTTACTTTGAAATTTTTTTGCTCTTTCTGGAAATAGAAACAAAGTGGACCGCCAAAAATTTAAATTAAGAAATAACAAAAAAGATAGACTAGACATCTTGTATTACGATTTGAAATTTTATTAAAAAACAGTATAAATACAAAAATAATATTAATGAAAAATAAATTCTAATAAATATTTTCTATTCAATATCTGATTCATCAGAAGTATCATTTTGACTCTCGAATTCGTCTGATTCATTAGATTCTTCCTCATTTGCTTCCATTTCGACAATGTCCTGGATTTTCAAAGGAGTTTGATCTCCGATAAAACCTGTTGGTTTTAAGAAATCATCAAAATGCCAACCATAGTTTTCAGGATTTGACTTCGCACACTTTCTACTATTCAGGGTCCCATCACAAGCGACTGCGATGTTGGGTCCTTTATTATCACACAGTATACTTACCTCGGATCTCTCTGTCACACACTTCCACGCGCGTTGAAATTAAAAACCCCTAATCGGACCGGAATTTTCGCAGACAACCCTATATCAACGTGTTCGCAATTAAACAGCGCTTATGATGATATACATTTTTTTAAATTATCCAATCCAGTGAAAGTAACTGGCATCGATATACCTGTGTTTACCTGACAACCCAGTAGTTCGCCCAGGTAAATAGTAGACACCCCAACGGCTGCACATTCTATACGTTTCATACTTTCAGTCAGGACACAATTTTTTTATTATCCTGATGTTGCAACATTTAATTAAAAATAATTTTTCGAAAAATAATTAAAAATAGTCTGCCCAGGATTTTTTTAGGCAACCCATTTTTAATATGTTTTCTAATATACCAAATTCATGATAAAATATATTTCGTTCTATTATCAGCTCGGTGAAGGTCGACTTAGGTTCGGATCTTCTACTAGTAGACGAGAGTGAAATCGAAGAGAATGTTCTGGAAATTGCATATCTCCAAGAAGTGTAAAAATGAAGCATGACAATAAACGTGAAACAAAGGTTAGTATGCAATGGACTGGACACATCTACAACCAATATCACTTATACGTGTCTCGCTGGTTGCATGCAGTTGCATGTATTATGTCCGCAATTCCCATTCCTTTCGCATTATTTTGTAGGTTAGCAGGAATAGCAGGTATGTTGATGTAATTTTCGGAGTTCGTAGAAAAAACATGGTATGTAACGCGTTTATAAACTCTTCTAGACACTCGTTCATTAAACACTCGTTACTAAAAGGACGTTTATAACACTTGTTACATAATATACTATTTTTCAATGAAACCCATAATTAAGTCATATGCTGCTCGTTCGAGGATCTTAGATGTAACTGGCAAAATAAATATCTGACGATAATTATCAATGGCATGCGTACTACCTTTTTTGAAAAGAGGAAAAATAAGGGCGACTTTCATCAAATCAGGAAATTCTCCAGATTGTAACTGTAACTCCTAACAATCGTGTTTTTTTTTTTTTTTGCTTTCCAGGCGGAGGCGAGACTATGGGCGAAACGGCAGGCCAGAGCCGAGGCGCGAGACATCCGAATGCGCGAGCTGGAGCGGCAGCAGCGCGAGCAGGAGGAGAACGCCGACAAGCAGTTCGACATGCTGTCGGGCGGGTCGGGCGACGCGGCCGCCCACGCCGTCGCTGCGACGAGGACGCCGCGCGGGGCGGCCGGGCGGTACCTGTCGCTGGGCAGCCGCCGGAGCTCGGAGGACTCGCTCGAGGACGGGGGGGCGGGTACGCTCAGAGAGATGAGGGTGAGAACGGCTTTGCCAATTTAAAATGAGCGTTTCCAGTCATTTCTAGGAAAAATATATCTCCAAATATACAGGGTGTTTCAGACTTAAATGTACATACGATACCTGTAGATAGAGGACATTTCGGTGGTTCCAAATCACCCCCCATCGATATGTCTACCGTCTTTGATAACTGAGATACAGGACGTTATCTTCATATTGGCAAAATCTTTATCTGGTTATAACTTCTGAACCACTTTGTATAATCTATCCATACTTGGTAGAAATATTTCACTCATATTACCCATCAAAACCAAATGAAAATCCGGATCAGAATCCAGGTCCGTCTTGAGGAAAAACAGAAATCATCTTTTATCTCAAAAACAACACTCTGTATGGCAAAATTTTATTGATTGGTTCTGATATTTGGAATGAGCGGAAAAAATGAATGAAGTGGCCTACTTTTTACGAGTGCGCATCCAATTTGAAAGATGGTTTATTATCATGTTTTGAAATATTCAGCTCCATTTCGAGGCATTTTTATTGAACTCATAATTCAAAACCCAATTTTTATACAGAAAAATAAAAGTCTCCAAAGTTCAACATCATTAGAGTCAAATTTGGTGAACTATCGATAAATTTGTTTGTTTGACAGAATAATTTGTCGATGATTTTAAAAATTTTCGAGGAGTCATTTTATTCTTTACTATTTATTCATAAGCTGCGATAAAGTAGGCTGTGAAGAAAAAATGAAAATTCTGACAGTTCATAATCACTATAGTTGCGATATTATTGATGAAGTTATTGTCGGCACAATTATGAACACTTTGAAATGTAACAACCCAATACAAGCACCAGAAATAGTGATTATGACCTGTCAGAATATCAGATTTTTTTTGCACAGCCTACTCAACCGCAGCTCGCAGCCCTCAAAAATGTATGATACCATAGACAAGTGATTCGGTAACAACAAATCTATCGATAGTTCACCTAATTTGACTTTAATGACGTTGAACTTTGAAGACTGTTATTTTTTTGTATTAAAATTGAAATTTGAATTATAAGTTCAATAAAAATGCCTCGAAATGGAGCTGAATATTTCAAAACATGATAATAAACCATCTGTCAAATTAGATGCGCACTCGTGAAGAGTAGGTCACTTATTTCATTTTTTTCCGCTCTTTCCAAATATCAAAACAGACCTACAAAATTTTGCCATACAGGGTGTTGTTTTTGAGATAAAAGAAGTTTTCTGTTTTTCCTCAAGACGGACCAGGATTCTGATCCAGATTTTTATTTGGTTTTGATGAGTAATATAAGTGGAATATTTCTACCAAGTATGGATGAATTATACAAAGTGGTTCAAAAGTTATAACCAGATGAAGATTTTGCCAAAGATAACGTCCTGTATCTCAGTTATAAAAGACGGTAGACATATCGATGGGTGGTGAATTGGAACCACCGAAGTGTCCCCTATCTACAGGTATCGTTTGTACATTTGAATCTGAAACACCCTGTATAACTCTGGAATACCTAAACTCTTTCAGGGGGAGCAATATGCCAATGAAAAATGACCAATGTGGGCAGGAAGAAAAAAAATGCTCAATTTAATTTTTTTCAATGAACTTATGCATTACAAACTCAGTTTTGAACATTCATGACAAAATTTGGTAAAAAAAATATGGTTTAGTTTGAAAGAACTGGTGGTACATTCAGTGAGCCACCGCCCTATCAGCGAGAATGATAAATCTGGAAACAGTCCTTATTTTTTCCCATACAGAGCGGTACTGAACATGTTGAACACATCCAATTTGTTCGTATTTGTTTTTCACTTGTGCTGCACAAGGTGTTTTGCCTTAGAAAGCCTGCAGCCACGAATGGTTTATGTTTTTTAATTTGAATTGCAGGTGAAAGATTTTCTGATCGTCTTCTCTTCTCTGGCACATGTATGAGCCATTCGATTACTGATGATAGTCTGAATTCTTTCATTGTTTAAAGAAAAAGATTCTGTGCCACCACTTGTGGCTTTTCCGGTCGATTTCATATGTAGATTTGATTTGGTCAAATTTGTCGACTCCATTCATATATTTATTGTAATCAATGAGGAGTTGTGGACATGGCACATCTTCTACAGTTCCGTCTTTGTTTTTTCTCTTCACTGTTGCAACATATCTTCACGGTTGTGATAATTAGACAGTAAACAAACTGATCTTCTGTCTCCATTTTATGGCTAAAAGACCTCTATCGTTAGTGAAATGGTCAAATTCTCCACGTTTCAGTTTGATATCTCCCACAAGCAAAAATTTGTTTTTCTTGTAAATGTTCCATCAGTGCAACGTTATTGTCCTTTTGAACACCATCATTCGATTTACCAGTGTAGATTTCAAACTTTGAACAGTATCCGCTTTGATCTGCCAACATCCAGACTTTGTAACCACGTTTGACAGGTTTTTTTGGCATATATTGTTTCAATGTAGATATACCTTTGAATTTGATCATGGACTCGTCTATGGCTACATTTTTTGAAATTGAAAAACATTCATTTTTTTGGATGCATGATAAATTGACATTCATTATACAGGACGTGGAAAGAAATTCTGAATTGAGAAAAACCTAATCATCCCTTGATTGGGTGAAAGTATTGAAAAGGAACATTCTCAGATATATTTATGAACACAAAAAATGGATATATATATATATGAAGAAATACATTGAGAATTCGCATTCTCCATGTGATGAAAATATTAATTCTTTCTCGGTTTATTCAACAGAAAACAACTACTTTCCTGGCTATATGCCACGGCGAATATTGAATTACATCTATTGAACACACACGATAAGAATTTGAAAACAAAATCTTCTGAAGTAGAGAACTTGCATTCTCCTTCATATAAAGATATAAATAGCCAGGAAAGTAGTTGTTTTCTGTTGAATATTCAGAATTATATTATATAATTCCGATATAAACTCAAAAAACTAATCATTTCTGTTTTTTTTTTCAACTTTTAATACCTAATAAAATTGATTCTTGTTCACCAATATATGATGATTTGTACAAATTTTTTATAAATTTGTTATAATTGTATAATTGTATTGTTATTGTATCGTTATTATTTTATACCAGAATTTGTTTCTGACTATAGTCACATTCTCAGTAAAATGATAAATAAATTAAGTTGAGGATAATCGATTCAAATTTAGGGAGCCATCTAGAGGAAAATTCATGTAAGATGGTAGTCAATAATGCCTTATTTCAAATATATTTGAATCATACCAGTCCAGGCAAAATTGGGAAAATATCCATTCAAATTCAAGAACAATGTTTACTATCATTATCTCCCTTTCATCATTTTTCTGGATATAGAACTTTCCTAGATGCCAATAGAGAGGTATTTTGTTTTGGTGGTGTCATATAGATATATTTAGATGAATGAAAAACATTCAAAAAAATCTTCCAGAATGGCATCCGGCCGTCATTTCAAAAGATACATTTATTTTACCAGAATCAAAATATAGCACTTAAATTACTATTGAAACAAAAAATTTGACGTTCAAACATTATTATGGACACAGTGAAGTTTTCTTGAATATTTTCTGAGGTGGCCAGATTCGTAAATTCGTCACGTCCTGTGACGATGTTATTCAAACAACCTGTAGAACAAAAAAACTCGAAATGAACTGTTGGAATCAACCGATGATGGATCATTCACAGAAACACTGGATGTCGAAAATATTCCAATCCAAATAGCCCCAAAGCATTTTTGATAGCGGTCCAAATGTATTTTTCACTCGGTCACCTGCTTGTCGAATGAATTGTTCTCGATCGATTTGATTGATCGATTCGGCAGCATCGAAAATCATGCAAAACAATATGATTCTGACGCAGCTATCTTTCCAGCATGAACTCAAGGAGGTGGAGGACAAATTCCGCAAAGCCATGATCGCCAATGCTCAGCTGGACAATGACAAGACCTCGCATACCTACCAGCTGGAGCTGTTGAAAGATAGGTGAGTTGACGGTTTCATTGACATTTTTTTGTTTCATTTCATCATTTTTGTATAGGTATATAGACTGAATGGAAAGATGGTCGTAGATTTTCAACTATGAAATCGACGAGTATGTTTTTTGTGACTAGTTTGATTCGTCTGCCGATTTTGATAACTGTTTTTCAATTGAGGAGCATGAAAAACTGTAATTTAAGATGACGTGGCATTATTTTTTACACAAAACTCAAAGTATTCTGCATACATTATCGGGTGAAAATAAAAAAAAAATGTACGAATTTTTTAAGAACCACTGTAACAATAAGGACGTTTACAGCTGGAGCTGTTGAAAGATAGGTGAGTTGACGGTTTCATTGGCATTTTTTTGTTTTATTTCTCATCATCATTTTTGTATAGGTATATAGACTGAATGGAAAGATGGTCGTAGATTTTCAACTATTAAATCGACGAGTATGTTTTTTGTGACTAGTTTGAATCGTCTCCCGATTTTGATAACTGTTTTTTAATTGAGGAGCATGAAAAACTGTAATTTAAGATGAGGTGGCATTATTTTTACACAAAACTCGAAGTATTCTGCATAAATTATCGGGTGAGAATAAAAAAAAAATGTGCGAATTTTTTAAGAACCACTGTGTCAATAAGGACGTTTACTGAATTTTATGAAAAATATTTGATTTTGTAATTTTTGTATTCACATATTTTGACCTTGGTTTCTTCCGAAGAAAAAATACTATGTATCCAAGCAGACTCATTCAGGGTCTCATGATTCAATAATGAATCATGAATTTATTGTGCCACCGTTGCCATTCTCACAAAAGTTGAAAACATGATAATATATAGTCAAAAGAATCTGTCATAATGTCTGTAATGTGTTTGGTTTGAAACTATGAAAATTTAGCAAGATTCTCCCACGCTTGGCAATTTTTGCAAAGTGGCGATATCGAGAAATTTCTTAACTCCCTCAATTTTTTTTTTGATGTATGATAAATTGATATTCATCATACATCATAACAAGTTTCCATCGTTCAAGTTTGAACCCCTTGATTGGGTGAAAGTATTGAAAAGGAATATTCTCAGATATATTTATGAACACAAAAAAAATATATTGACAAATTTTCAGAATTGCCTTTTTATTACAATACTCTTTTGTTGATAAATCCCTATACCTATCTCTATCGGTTTTCGGGATAAAAAATAATTTGTGTTAAATATGATCCAAAACATATCCCTAATTAAACTTATGTAAATCAGGGCTCTCGAATCATAAAGAGTTGATATTTCAGTGCTTGATGTATTCAATTCACACCTAGAAGTCGCCTCCATATCATACAGGGCGTGCTGGAATTATTATTATATCCGTTATTCATACAAGTGGTCAAAATTTCATTTTTTCAAACGGATCCCACTGTTTTTTACTCAATAAATTGAAAGACATAGCATGTCCCTATACCTAAATCATCAAGTTTTTTAATAAAGCCGCTTTTTGTGAAAAATAAAATTTTATGAAAAAGTTAATTTTAGATAGCCATGGAAATATCAAACTCATGACAGTTCGGTGACATTAATGAGTAATTCACTAATTGTTATTGACAGTGTTTCAAAAAATCTCCCAGAATGAACGCGAATATCGATTATTCAAACGAAGTTCTTATGAAGTTATTTATTATACACGGATAATGTGATCAAATCATTGCCATAACTTGCAGAAAATTCAACCAAATGTATCCTGAATTGACACCAATGAACAAGAGGAAGTTTGTGAGATTACAAAATAATTTCATCAACTATGGCTCAAAGTTTCCAGCAACTCTATCAGCTTATCTAGCATATCTAGGTAAAAAGCTAGATTCACTGTGAAAGAACAGAAAATAAAAAGAATTAGAAATATCACATTTTCACAATAAATGCTCGAAATGTTGTCCATTACATTCTAAACATTTCAAAATATGCTTTTGTACGCGACATGCTCTGGAATTGTTTTCATAGAAACAACAAATTTTCGACAGGAAAAAAGTTACAGCGAGTTTTCAAAAATGCACATTTTCGAAAAACATGCTGTAACTCAGAAACGATGACAGATATCGATGTACAGTTTTCACCATTGAGTTTTTCATGAAAATTGACCATCAGACATCGACATCAGTTTTCGTCTATCTAGTTTGGAACCTGTACAGCGTGAACATAAAACTGGAGAGTTCCGAACTTATTTCATGAAAATTCATCTGAGGGAAACTTCCTCATTCTAAAATACGAGAATTCTCTATCCAACTATGTGACACATAGAGAGAGCATTCCGTAATTTCGACTCGTTGCGCAGGCTGGAGGACCTCGAGGAGGAGCACGCCCAGCTGCGGCGCGAGCACCGCGACGAGGTGCGCGAGCGCGAGCAACTGCGGCGCGCGTGCGCCAAACTGCGCGACGACTTGGCGGCGACGGCGCGCGAGCTGCAGGAGCGCGACCGCCTTATCGCCGACAAGGGGCTGGTGGTGGTGCAGACGGAGGGGGAGGGTGGGGGGGTGCAGAGGGCGCTGGTGACGGCGGAGAACGCGCGGTTGCTGGAAGACGCCGGCGAGGGCAGTTTGGGTGAGTTAGTGTATTGTCGAAGGGAGAAGCGCTAGTTAGTAGGCAAGGCCAATAATTTGTGTGTCTGTCCATGGCCCTACTGTATCAGACTGTCAGTAGTGTCAATAGGTTGCGTGCACGATGATCGACCCTGGAGGCAAAATATTGAAACACAACCTCATTCTTCTGTGAATTATTGAAACAAAACCTCACTTTTTTATTTGTTTACAGAGGAATCAAAAGGTTGAAATAGTTTTTCACAATATTTGGGCATACGAATCGTGTTTCTTGCGGTATTCATTAATTCAAGCATGCCTTCGCATTGTGCTGTTGTACAATGCACAAAAAATGCAGCAAGAGACTAGAGAATATGATTTTGCAGGTAAATAGTAATCTCACATAGTTATCATTATGAAATGTTGTCATTCCTTATTAAAATTCCTTCTGCCATGAAAACTATATGTGAGTGACTATAGTAGGTACTTACTTTTAAATCATAATGTACCATCCGGATTCCTTCATCTTCAGCTGCAGTTTTTGTGCATTTTACAACAGCACAATGTGATGGCATGAGCGAATTGATGAATAGTGGAAAACTACGATTCATATGCCAAAATAATTGTGGAAAACTCAATGTTTTGCCTCCAGTGTCGGTTATCTGACAGTTCTTGCACGCAACCCATAGGTCCCGTGCACGAAGACCGACCCTGGAGGCAAAATATTGAAACACAACCTCATTCTTCTGTGAATTATTGAAACACATCCTCACTTTTTTATTTGGTTACAGAGGAATCTAAAGGTTGAAATAGTTTTTCACAATATTTTGGCATACGAATCGTTTTTCTTGCGTTATTCATTAATTCAAGCATGCCTTCACATTGTGCTATTGTAAAATGCACAAAAAATGCAGCAAGAGACTAGGGAATATGATTTTTCAGGTAAATAGTAATCTCACATAGTTAGCATTATGAAATGTTGTCATTCCTTATTAAAATTTCTTCTGCCTTCTGCCACTTCTGCAATACAAGCTAATGCTGCTAATAGATTGAAAATGTCTACAACACACACGATCGTCAGCATGTCAGACCAGTCCTACCGATTGATTGCATGAATCCAATCTTCTTGCATTATTCTAGAAATTTCAGGTATATTTCTATTAGCTGATCCTATTGCAGAAGGAATTCCGATGAGAAATCAGAGAAATAACCAAATTTCAAGAATGAAAACTATGTGAGTGACTATAGTAGGTACTTACTTTTGAATCATAATGTACCATCCGGATTTCTTCATCTCCCGCTGCAGTTTTTGTGCATTTTACAACAGCACAATGTGATGGCATTAGCGAATTGATGAATAGCGGAAAAATACGATTCATATGCCAAAATAATTGTGGAAAACTATTTCGATCACTTGTAAACAAATATGTTTTGCCTCCAGGGTCGGTCATCTGACAGTTCTTGCACGCGACCTATAGCTCAATGTCTCAATGTCACTGATACTGTTTTAGGTTGAAGTTATCTCCTTCTACTTTTTTCTAAACAGTAATCAACCAGTAAACCACAGATTTTGATAAAAGAGAAGACTACTTGTAATGATTAGTACCTGACGGTCATTATGGAAACTAACAGTTTTGACTACTGGTGGTTGACTGTTGACTGCCTATTTTCAATTATCCTTCTCCGAATCGAATCCTTTAGAATTGCGATTGTATCTTTCATTAATTATTTGTCTTAGTGTTGCTTATTTTTCCTCCAATTTTCCTTCAAAATTATTCTCAAACAGATGTATTATCAAATTAGTGAATGACATCAGTTAGGATTATCTATACTCAACTTTATAACATTCTGCATGCCTAAATGTAGAGGTTCCGGAGATATTTGCGAAAAACTTGAGGTAATATTGAATAGAGCCCTAATTTGTTGCATACCATAATCGCCTAAAAATGCATTATATGAGATATCGATATTACTTTCAAAAATCCGGAATATTTTTGAATGTTGAAAAAATCAAAAACATTGTGTGGGCGAGTCAGAAGTAAATCTACAAACTCAAGGTTAGTAATCAGGAATTAAGATGATTTCAACGATAAAGAGAAAAAGGTGGACCGATCGAGAAGATCCATTAATATTAAAACTAGGTTCAAAGAACATCTTGCGTTAGAATCAAAATGATACATTATATCAATAAAAAATATTCGTTGGTCAGTAGTAGACAATTTTAGCAATTAAGTCAATCGAAACTTTTGACCGATTGTGCTGCTTGAAAATACGTTTTCAGTTTTCCATCATATTCAAAAATAAAATTGTTTTTGAATTTTCTATGCATTGATTGATTGAAACTTGTCTGATAGATATGTCATATTTTGCAGATGTCCGGCTGGAGAGGTTTGCGAGAGAAAAATCCGAACTGCAAGATCAAATTAGTCATTTAAAATTAGAATTAGAGGAGGAGAAGAGCAAGAGGAGGAAACCGAGTTCAGCAGGACTTCTGAACGGTCCCTCTTCTGATTACGATTATGACGACTTGCAAAGTAAGCACTTCAACATTTTTACATAAGCAATTCATGAAATAATACCTCGTAATTATTTCCTTTGGTTATTTTCAGGAGAGGCGAGCAAACAGCTAGCCGACTACAAATTCAGGGCTCAGAAAGCTGAGCAGGACGTGGCGACGTTGCAAGCGACGGTGGCGCGGCTCGAAAGTCAGGTGATCAGGTACAAGACGGCCTCCGAGATTTCCGAACAATCCGAGGAGGCTCTCAAGGCCGAAAAAAGGAAATTGCAGCGAGAGGTGAGATTTTCTTTTCAGTCAAGTCGTTTAACCGGTTATGAAAGTTGGAAAGCAGGGTTGGCAAATATCATGATAATTATATATCAAAATATCATAATATCGGATATATATCCGATATATATCAGAAATTTTGATTTTGTTCCTAGGCTGAAATGCAAAAAAAATATATATAATAGATTGTTTTATTAGGATCAGAAGTGACACTTTGTTTGACAAGCGAATTTTGCATTTGCGAGGCGGAGCGTTTAGCGAAGTTTTGTTTGCGCCAGTGGTTTCCTTATTCATTTTGAGCTCCGGATCCTTGGTCAATTTTTTTCCATCTCTTGTACACTATTTTCTCTATGACCACAAACATTTTATGTTCTCCAAAATTCTAAGTGGGCTTCTACCTGAACTGTTCATCTAATTTTAATGATTTTTTCAAAACTAGGTTGATTTACCGATAGTCATGCAGATATGCAAGAATATGAAGAACTTTTTGTATTGGCCATTTTTTGGAAGGCAGTCTCTTTATTTCAAATCCATACCTATATTATATGTAATTTTAATCAGCTTCTTCTCATGAATCGTCATGTTAGTTTCAGTTCATAAAATTAGAATTTGAAGAAGAGAATGAATTGATTGATGGTCATAGAGCTTTTTCTTTCACATGCGTAAATTACTGTTTTATTCCCCAAGCTTTATCTATTGCTTTTTAAAAATCGCCCTGTATATTAGCGTTCTTTTTGTAGCTTAAATCTAGTAGTGGTAGGTAGAAGCAGTAGAAAAAGTAATAGTAGCAGTAATATTAGATGCTTTTTACTTTAATTCAAGCACCGTTTATTTTATTCTTATTGCAGGATTCAGATTCTCTTACTGACTTGTCCACAGACGTTTCTGAAAGCTTTTAGATTTTTATTTGGTAAATACTAACACACATTTTCGCTTTTTCTGCTCCCTTTGTCCGTCTTCAGGGGGCTCCTCTCAAACTAAAACGTAAGATCCAATTATCAAGGGATGATTTTTGAGCGATTCTGAGGAGATCAAACTCGATTAAAATCCGGTATTAAACTAGGGGAAAGTGGTAACTGATCCATTTGTTTTCAAAAATGTACGTTATACATACAGGTAAAAAAATATATAAGTTCCATTCAGTTTAGATCATATACACTGTTGTTACAATAATAGTTTTCAAATGATCCCAGCTTTTAAAGCATAACCTGAAAAATCATGATAAGTTGAAATTGTGTGCGTTTCTTAAAACAAGTCTGCATATTTTTTCGTATCGTTTTCGTTTGAGATAGAGCCCTCGGCAGTATATTTTCAGTTTCCGTTGTTTTGTGGTGTATCAGGTGCAGAATGCGAACCAACAACTGTTGCTGATGGAGGCCTCTAATGTGGCTCTAAGACAAGCACATAAGAGGCTAACGTGTCACCATTAGTGGGGAGCTATGTGTAATGTAATGTAGTTTGCATTGCATGATGTGTGAAGCCCCTATCTCAGTGTCAGTGTACCTAAATCAATTTACGCACTCCAGGGAAAAAATGGGGACTTTGAATCCTTCATTTGAGGGACTGAAGTGCCACTTCCTCAGAGATCAATAGTAATTACTGTCCTTTTTTTAAATGCCATAGCAATGTTTTCAATGCACATCACTTCAATGTCAACTACGCATCAGTCAGCAAATTTGACATTTTGGAACTACAGTACCGCTATGGATATAACTGCACTTATCTAGCGATGGGTTTTTTCGAGAATTTTTTTTGGTACTTACGTATTTTTTCTGAAAAACACGTATTTGATAATGAAAATGTGATCAAACCATTATTTACTAAAATATTTCACTATAAAGTTACAAATTTCACCTTTTCTGCCCGTCTTTTGGATCGCATTCAGAACAATTTGCCCTTCCTTTTCCATTGGATTATTTATATATCACAATATACTTCAATGACACATTTTTTCTATTATATGAGTCAACTAGAAATATGATTCTCTTGCAATTCATCCATATTTTGTGAAAAGAAGGAAGAATATCATTTAAAATAGTGGCGTGTGTAATGTCATTCAAAAACAATCTTTTGACATTTGACATCTCGTATTTGGATTGACTATTGATTGAATGGCCGTCATCTGGTATGATTGTTCACCAAATATGAAAATCTCGCCATAAAAATCATATTTGGTGTTGAATTCTCTATATAAAAATGTGCCATTGAAGTACACTCGTCTTCAATGAACATTCCGCGGTTGGACGGTATGAGCGCTCTTATTGCAGCGGTGATAAAGAGAGCTGACAATGTGCGACAATATCTCTGAAGACGACTGTACATCATAAGTATATAAAATGTCCAATGACAAAATAAGAAGAGCAAATAGCTGTAAATGCATCCAAAACAAGGGTCAAAACTTCAAACTTTTTAATGAAATATCTCGATAAATGGTGGTTTGTTCACATTTTCATTATCAAGTTCGTGTTTTGCTGACGAAAATACTTAAGTACCAAAAAACATTTTCGAAAAAAAAAACCATCGCAAAGTGCAGTTTTACCCCGCTATGAGTATGAGAGAATTGAATATTAGGTAATGATGATGTTAAGGCCAAATTTGGCCCTAGTTCTTGGCTGTTTCGTAGGCGGCACTAGCAAAACACAGCAAAATATGGCCGATTTTCTATACTCTCGGAATCTGCTCGACTCCATTTATCTGCAAGTTCCTAAACTATCTAGGAATATCTAGAATCACTAGATGGTATTAGTTTGATAGGAGTTCGTACACAGAAATGACAAATGTTAGTGTTTTTGAATGTTTAGATTTATAAAGTTACACACCTTGCATTGTAATAACTTCACAAACGATAATATTTCCACAAAATCAAATTTTCAAAATTTAAAATTGAAATATTATTTCATAAACTATTGAGAAGAAATCATTAATGAAAATGTCCTGCTGTGTAATGAATTTTGGGAATTTTGAAGAGAATGGATTTCATTTATTTGATTTTCCAACCATTTTCACATGGAAGAAATGTATGAAACGGCCTGGATGGAAACTTAATTTGAAGACAAGCAGAATATGTAATCTATATGCATTGAAATTCACTTCTTATAACAGCAGATTAAAAGGAAATTATAATTTAGGTCCATTTTTGACGATTTCAAGATCGCTTATAGAGAATCTGCCTTTCCATCCATTTAGAAAACAGACTATTCAAAAGAAAATCTATTATTATCATCACACGAAATGCAAAACAAAATTATCATGGAGAAACAGGAATTGATTGCAAAACTAAGTAATGAAATTGAATTTTTGAGAATGAAACTGGGGAAATCAAGTCAATTGTAATATGATATACACTGTGTCCAAGATTAGGATGTCTATCATGGGAATCGGTATATTTTTTCCTGAAGTTGAATAAAGAGATATAGGAAGACAGAAGACACTTTCTCATTCCCATTTTTGAAGCTCTACCAAAATAGCGTTGAGACATTTTCCGTACGACGTTTCGTTTCGGAGAAACCATCACCAACTATACCCCATGATAGACATTCTTTTCTTGGACTCACTGTATATCATTGAAAGGTGTTACTGACCGAACTAGCTATAAGTACATCCATATGTATCTATTTTCTCATATTAAAACGTTGTTACATGCATTCTTCTTATTTTTATAACTGTTGTTCTGCGAAAAGTGCCATATCACTATAAATTGAAGTGGGTGTTAATACGCTATTTCTATTTTCCATCGTGCAAGAACTGTCAAATGACCGATCCTGGAGGTGAAACATTGAAACACAACCTCACTTTTCTTACTGGTTCACAAATGATTGAAATAGTTTTTCACAATTATTTTGGCATACGAATCGTGTTTTTCGGCTACTCATTAATTCGCGCATGCCATCACATTGTGCTGTTGTATAATGCTCAAAAAATGCAGCGAGAGACGAAGGAATCCGGTTGGTACATTATGATTTAAAAGTAAGTACCTACCATAGTCCTGCTCACATAATATGGTTTTCATTTTGAAATTTGGTAATTTATCTATCATCGGAATTCCTTCTGCAATAGGAGCTAATAGAAATGCTCGTGAAATTTATGAAAGAATGCAAGAAGAGCGGATTCATGCCATCGAACGGGAGGACTGGTCTGACATGCTGACGATTTGATCATGTGTGTAGTAGACATTTTTAATATATTAGCAGTATTAGCTTCTATTGCAGAAGGGGCAGAAGGAATTTCAATAAGAAATGACAAAATTACATAGTGAAAACTATGTGAGATTACTATTTTCCTGATAATTCATACTCCTTGGTCTCTCGCTGCATTTTTTGTGTATTGTATAACGCATGCTTGAATTAATGAAAAGCGCAAAAAACACGATTCGTATGCCAACATATTGTGAAAAACTATTTCAATCGTTTGATTCCTCTGTAAACAAATAATAAAAGTGAGGTTGTGTTTCAATGTTTAACAGAAAAGTGAGGTTGTGTTTCAATATTTTACCTCCAGGGTCGGTCATCGTGCACGCGACCAATTGAAAAGACAAAGAGCAGAATATATGTCTTATTCTTTCATTCACTCAAGCATTGTTATTTAGAAAATAGAAAAGGACAGAAGTTCAGCTGTGTCCAAACTCTTATGAAGTAGGAATATCACTAACTTTGATATTCTGAAGGCTTTCAAGTAAAAAAAAATTTTAATCTGGCCCTGATGCGGCATAAAAACACCTAAATATACACTTCGCTACTCAACACAAAGTCGTCCACCTTGTCGCTGATACCGCTACCTACTGAATAGAATGTCTGCCTTCATTGCACCCATACGGATGGTTCATCTTGTCATTAGTGAAAATAATCAAGAATCAAGGCTCAAGGGTAATAGATAGAATGTCTGGTGTTTTGTAATTTTTTTCATTAAACACTTGACAGTGGGACAGGGGCTTGAAGATTAACACATCATATGTTTGTAAGTTTTCTGAAATTTCAATAGAATATTTCAGCAGACTTCTCATCATTATTAACATTTTTTCTAACAAGTACAAGTTTTTGTATTTTTTTATCATTCATGTTACGATTTTGGAATATTTTTGCAGCAATATCAATTTATCAATAATAATTTACTGTAGCTTGGCTATTGTGAAAAAGTCTGGTATGATTTGATCTAACAATATTGTTCATATCAAAGCTAAACACAATTCAGGTTTTGTATTGTTCAGTTTCAATCTCTTCATACCTGCTGATTTGTTATCTGCTGATTATAGAACGAATTCATTTGACTCAACAATGTCAGCCTGATTCATACAGACTAATTTTCATTGCAAAGTAAAATAAAAATCATTTTTTCATTATATTTCAAGTAGCTACTCAGTATGAACGATATTTTTGGATGTTTATTCCATCTGAACTAACTTATATAGAAATTTGGTGATTTTTATAGGCAAGAGATGCTCTCAGTAGAGCTGAAGAACTGGAAACGTCGAACACACACCTCCTCAAACGACTGGACAAATTGAAAAACGCAAAATCTGCCCTACTCAAAGAACTCTGACAATAGTGTTGGTCTCAAAAGTGCTGGAAACGTCTTATATGTATATGTGCAAAATAGGAATAGTTCATTCACAGAGTCTCCTTATCGGTACTTTTTTTAACTAAATTCGTTTTAATTCATTTTAACACAAATATTCTTTTAATGCCTTTTAACCTGATTTTTATGATGTTTGAATTGCCTCTCCTTTGATGATTTCTTATTGATTTTCGGGTCACAATTCTATAAGATAAACAAGGCTCAAATCGTCGAAAAAATGTCAAAATTGTTATTTTAGGAGTCAAAATATTGCCAATATTGGTGAGTATGAATATTTCAGCAGAATTAACAAGATATAAAGTGATCCACTTATTAATACTTTTTCATAGTTCAATAATGCAATACCTTGGCCACTGACTGTTGCAGGGGTGCCTATATCAGATAAGTTTGGTCATTATATCTCCAAGAACCTCCCAATGTTTTGCTTGGTAATAGTGGGTCATAAAAAATAGTTTTTTAATATACTACATAGGAAATCGAAATCAAAGAACAGCCGAAAAATTCGGTAATGTCTATATATGTGATCCGAAATACTTGTTAATTTAGCCAATATTATACTTATTCGCCCTGTATTATTTGTATTTATTTCATAGTTAGGCTTATAATTTTAATGTTTTGTAAATAAAGATGATAATATATCAAAGTCTCAGGACTGAAATATCCTTAAAATTGGCATACACTCATAGTACTTATTTAAATAATCATCATTGGATTACTTATCTCAACTTCAGCTCATTGACTAAAAAACTAGCTCAAGACTATTCTCAATTGTGATTTTTGGATAAGGATTCCTAAATTGGCTCAAAAATTTCAGGACTACTGGTGATATTTTGATGGCTATTTATTTACTAAATTATAGTAATTATTTTGAGTAACTTGGCAAATTTTGAAAAATATCATCTATTTCTTTGGTAACTGCATACCCTACCTATTGCAAGTAACGCTTAAAATTATATAAAATAATGTACATAGAAAATATGTGATTTTTGTGTATACTTCAATAATCGATTTGGTAATGGTAAATAAAACTAATTTATAGAAATTCGATTATTATTTGACCACTTACATTGAGTTCAATTATAAGAAAGAACGAAAGAAGCATAATGGTGGATTTATAAACTCAACTAAACTAACAATTAAATTAACAACTGAGAATTAAGAAAGATGAATACATGGCAATCCGATTGAGGTTTTATAAACTTGTATCTGTCAATTAAACTAACAATTAACAACTAAGGAGATGGCCATCTTTCATCTTTTCAACTAAGAATTAACAATTATGAATTCAACGCATGCGCATAAGGCATAATATTGGAATTGAAGACCGCGAAAATATAAAATATAATAATATCTTGTCTATGGATAAGGAGTTTATAATAGGGTGAGTGAATTCGAAGAATTAACAATGGATACAGAAGAGATCATTGAAATGATGGGTGTTATTTTACTGGTTACTACAATGTTGCTTGCCACCGGAGTCATCAAGAAGAGAAGAAATCGGAGATTCAAGATAAGGCCAATGAATATGAAATATTTCTCATCAGGAAGGAAATCAACCATTTTATCAAACATAACATAACCAAAAACATGGATGAATTGGAATGAATGATCATTTATCACAGAACGCCCAAAACGGTTTCTTTACTCTAAACGTCAAGCAGGACACAATAAAAGAACTAATTCTAAATTTTCAGTAAATGATGTTTATAAACGCCTCCTTATAGTTGTTAATTGTTAATTGCTAATTGTTAATTCAAGTTCTTAGTTTAGTTGAGTTTATAAATCCACCATAAATGATAAACGTATAATCAAAGAGGAACCTACTATTCTTTGGTAGAATTTTATTGTAGATTCCTTTGGCTCTTTGCCATTTAGGCCCATAACCGGCACTCTTCTTATTTTATGTTTTGGTGAAAATGTGACCATCTTCCTTTCGCATATGTACGATACGATAAAGGCTAGCCGATGCTGGCAATGACACCTCACTGACATTCATCTATCACTGTCATTATCGTCTAAACTCTGATGTCAAGTCATAGTCAGAAATGTCTAATTAACTTTAAATATAAAAAATTGGATAACAATATTATAAAATTGATTATTTTATCACCTCACCTTTGCAATGTTAATCTCCAGAGGCATAACTACTCTGAGAGCAATTACAAAGTTCAATAGAAATAACACAGCGATCAAACAATGTTTCAGAAACGGCCATCAGTGAGTAATTCTCTCATTATGTAATGCAATTACAATTTAAACAGATATTTCTTTGTATGTAATATGTGAGATTAAAATGTTTTCAGTTGGAACTACCGTGTCGGACCTCCACCAACATCTAAAAATATTGTATTAGCTGCTGAATTGATACAAGGATTTGCATGGTGGTGGGTTTTATGGCACCTATGGACAGAACCTGATCATATTTTGGTGAGTACTTATTTATTCTTGTTGAAACCACAAGATTCCAATAGAGGCATGAACCATTACATTAGAATTCGAATATATAGGCCAATTGTATCCTTTAACTTATTTTTTCATGTACAGGATATCTGAGATTATTCCTTTTCAATATTAAATATACTGTTTTTTCCAGGGCGAATTTGAATATCCTGATGCATCAAAGTGGACAGATGAGGAATTAGGAATACCATCAAATTGAATGGTTTCATGTAGTTCAAAAATAATTGTAAAATTAGTTTCAACCATAATTCAGTTATATTATTAGATATATAATTCATTGCACATTTTATATGTGATAAAAAGAAAACAATGATGAAATAAACAATTATCTTGGACACATAGCATGTCTTCCTCCATCCACAGGTACAGTAGCTCCAGTTATGTAACTAGCATCATTGCTTGCAAGGAACACAATAGTTTGGGCCACTTCTTCAGGCCTTCCAGGTCGCCCCAAGGCATGAGTTTCTTGAGACCTTTTGATAAAAGCCTCATACTGCTCCATGTTCATACCTCCCCTTTTATGCAAATTAGTAACTGTTACTCCTGGGTTGACACAGTTGACTCTCACTTGTTTGGCTGCTAATTCCAGTGCCACACATCTAGTGAACTGGTCAACAGCTGCCTTTGACATGCAGTAGGCCAGGACTCCTGGAAATGCTCTGGTGCCATTGACACTGCTCACATTCACAATGTTTCCTTGGGTTTTGATAAGGTGAGGCACAGCCAGCATTGTCAGATGGTACAGAGACCTGACATTGGTGTTCATCATCCTATCATATTGCTCTAGGTTGGTGTTTTCAATGCTACCCGACTCTAAAACTCCTGCATTATTAACCAAGACGTCTAGCTGGCCGAAATGTTCAATGGTTTTATCTAGTATGGCTTTGGTATCTTTTTCATTTGTCAACTCGCCTGTCAGGAGAAGAGGAATCGATTTGGTGGAACAGTCAGAGGCTACTTGTTTCAAGTTGTCCAAATTTCTGCCGGCCAAGGCAAGAGTAGCTCCCAAGCTTGCGAGGTGTTTTGCTGTGGCTGCACCTATCCCAGAACTCGCACCCGTGATTAATATAACTTTTCCGGCAAACGACATTTTCTGTATAAATCAATTCTGATTTTATTTTTCAAGACGATCAGTCAGTGGCAAAAAGAAGCCTAAGATTGCTTTTATCAGCTCTTATCAATGTGTTATATATATAGTAAATATGAGTCTGTTGGTTAACTGTTATCTTATTTTTATTGATAATAATTATAAACATTTAACATGAAGAAATAATTTTACACTGATGTCTAAATAATACCAAAGACCATAGAGGTTTGTTAATCTGTGACCAAAGTATAGAAGCGCCATCTGTTATTTTTTTATAATTGATAGATATAGGTACGAAGCAGCTAAGTTTCAACTAGTCTAATTGACAGGTATCAACTAGCCTAATTCACGGATACAAAGTGATGACAAAGTGTCAACTAGGCTACTTTACAAATACTAAGTGTCAATTAGGATAGTCTGGATAGTTGACACTCAGAATATCAATTATAATACTATTCAACACCTATTATCTTTCAAGTAGGCTAGTTGACACTCAAATATCTGTCAATTATACTAGTGAACACTTTGTATCTGTCAACTACGCTTTCATAGAATAACGAATAACTAAGCAGCTTAGTGAATTCAAGGTCATGAGATGAAGGTCTAACTTTCAAGCTATGCCGGGTGCCGGGTATTACGATGTTTCGTAGTTTTTCGCATCATCTAATGACCTTGGCGACCGCCAATGAAATACGGGACAGTCAGGAACTATGGTCAAAGAATATAGGTTCTTTGCTATGGTCAGGAAGTTGAAACCAGTACCAGTCTCAAGGTTAGACAACAGGTACATATTTTATAATTTTTCTATGTAAAAACTTCTTAAACGATAAGATTTCCACAAAATTCTCAAACACACGACATGTTTCGCTAACATATAGTAGCTTCGTCAGGTGGTATACTGGTACAATGAAGTCATTAATCAATTAAAAATATACATATATATATACAGTGTGTCCACCTCAAGGACTTACCACCCCTGTAAAATTGTTATTATCTGACAGATTTCAAAAAACTTTTTTTTGTTGGATAGGTATTTGAAATGTACATCCAACAAGAGAGCGATTTTATGATATTTGAGAAAGTACTATCAGGGATTTTTTTTCAGAAAATGTAGTATTATGGTATTTTTGTGAAGAATTGATGACACATTATTATTGAGGATCACTTTGAACATATCTGTACCGATTTTCATCATTCAAAAATACGATGTGTATGAGAAAATAATTAAAAAGAAAAAGTAGGCAATATATATTTTTTCATCAACTCAAAAAAAATATTAATTTGATTTTTCGAACACCCTGTGGTTAATGATGATGAAAATCGGTACAGGTATGTTCCAAGTGATCCTAATTCATCTTTTTATTTTGAGTGAAGAATTATCAGGATGAAAAATATTGCTTCCTATCCTTTTTAATTTTGTTCTTAGACACATTGTATATTCAAATGACGAAAATTGGTACAGGAATATTTGAAATAATCCTCAATGATAATTTGTGATTATTTCTTTCTAGAAAAACCACAGATCTACATTTGCTGATCACCTATTTGAAGAAAATGATGATTCGTTTTTTTCGGACACCCTGTGTTTTATGATGAAGAAAATCGGTACAGGTATATTTCAAGTGGTACTGATTCGGAATCCATCAAGTTTCGTGGAAAAAAATCCCTAATAGTACCCTCTGGAATATGGGTCATTGAATTTTTTTCGCAGTTGGCCAGGATAACAGTCCAAGAATTAGATCACTCTCTTGTTGGATGGGCATTTCAAATACCTATCCAACAAAAAGTTTTTTTTTTTAAATTGGTCGGATAAAATCGATTTCATAGGGGTGGTAAGTCCTTAAGGTGGACACACTGTATATAATTTTCTTGGCAGTGCACATCAAAATTGACCACTATAAAATACTTGAAAATAATGTTCTGATAATGAAACCCCAACATACTCATTAAATAAATTTATTCAGAAAAAAAATTTACAATTCAAGAATGAATCTCATCCTGTACTTTCTTCCAAGCATTCAGGGGTCCATGCTCTGGCCTATACTGAACATTGCAGCCATCATATGCTAAACGTCCATCATTCTTCAAAGTTTCATAAAGGTCACGTTCATACTTGGTGAATCCCCATTTCTTTGAGACATAGATCTTTTGACGGCCAGGGAACTTGAACTTGGCACGACGCAGAGCCTCAATGACTTGTGCCTTGAAACGGTCAGTAGATCTCACACTCATGATGGGCTGTCCAATGCGCACTCTAGCTACTGTGCCTTGGGGTTTACCAAAAGCACCTCTCATCCCTGTCTGGAGCCTGCAATCAAAGAAGGATTAGTTAAATGATGATTGTTGTTCATGAAATATTAAATCCAGGGATAATGTTTTTTAAATAGAAAGTGTGTAGGCTGCTGACCAGTCAGCAAACTATACTTTTTCTCTAGAGTGGGGTCAGTGGAATACATTCTTTCTGTATAAAATCTGTCGGCAACACAAGATAAAAGTATAGTATGGAATAGTCAGCAGTCTATACTTTTTTTTTTTTAATGTGACCAGTGGGAAGACTATACTTTTTCTCTAAACAGCCGACCATTCAGTGGAATATATTCTTTCTGTATACCAAGAAGATTCATAAGGTTAGTAGCTTAGTGGTTAGACATTGGCTTGTTAATCCTGTGGTCCCCTGTTCCAATCCCATATGGAATAGGTTTTCAAATTTTTTCATCAATTTTCATTTCACTAATGGGTTAGTCTGTTTGGGTTGAGTATACATCACTTTCTTTTTATATACTATTATTTTCTAATCTAGTTTTTCCTTCCTCCATTGTTAGTTCACAAGATTTTTTGATCTGGTTTTTGTTCCAACAATAGGTTAGTGTGTTTGCATGAGTATACAGGGTGTTTCCTAACTACGGTTCCTAACTGCAGGGGGTGATTTGTTAGGTCATTTTTAGAAGAAAAGTTCCTATGAACATATGTCCGGAGTTGCTTCGTTTCTGAGATACAGGGCGTTGAAATTACAGAAAAAAAAAACGGTAATTATAAAATATCATGAATATCCTGGAACCGATTTGGTTGAAATTTGGTACTTTTATTTGTCAAATTCTCTAAAATTTCAGCATATCAGGTGTCAATTATATTTTTGGCGGAAATAATGAAAAACTCATTTCTCCAATGCAGGTGTTCATGATATGCAATACAGTGGCTTTAATTTTTTTTCTCGGAAACAAAGCTGGATATGAAGAAAATACAGGAGACCAAAAAGTTGTATTTTGAGTTGCTCAATCTGAAAAAAATGAAAATTTACCAAAAAAAGTCAGTGGCGTACTTTTTTTCACAATATTGTTGGCTGTGGTGCCCACTGAGACGCCAATAGCCCCAATAATTTCAATCTAAATAGGGCTAAATAAGCGCCTTATTAGTTCAAATAAAAGTACCAAATTTCAACCGAATTGGTTCCAGAATATTCATGATATTTTCTAATTACCATTTTTTTTCTTCAATTTCATCGCCCAGTATCTCAGAAACGAAGCAACTCCGGACATATGTTCATAGGAACTTTTCTTTCTGAAATGACCTAACGAATCACCACCTGCAGTTAGGAGTTTTTTTTTCCAAATGATGTTTTTCCTTTCCTTAAATTGATAATTTTAGTCTACTGGTCAGCATCCTAAACAAAAAGTATAGATTGCTGTCAGCAGTCTATACACTTCCTTTTAAATATGCCTCATCATTCAGGATAAGAAAAATACTTAAACAGATTGGAATGAGTAGACAAAGATTTATCATCAAGATAGGGAGTCATAATTTATTGACACATCTTTGAGAGTTTGATACTGAAAATTGAAGAATCAAAGAATCAGTGTCATCAAAATATAAAACATTTTTGGTCAGCAGTCTATACACTTCCTTTTAAATATGCCTCATCATTCAGGATAAGAAAAATACTTGAACAGATTGGAATGAGTAGACAAAAATTTATCTACAAGATAGGGGTCATAATTTATTCACATATCTTTGAGAGTTTCATACTGAAAATTGAAGAATCAGTGTCATCAAAATAGAAAACATTTTTGGTCAGCAGCCTAAACAAAAAGTATAGATTGCTGACTGGTCAGCAGTCTATACACTTCCTTTTAAATATGCCTCATCATTCAGGATAAGAAAAATACTTAAACAGATTGGAATGAGTAGACAAAAATTCATCTCCAAGATAGGAGTCATAATTTATTCACACATCTTTGAGAGTTTGATACTGAAAATTGAAGAATCAGTGTCATCAAACAAAAAGTATAGATTGCTATATGCCTCATCATTCAGGAAAAGAAAAATACTTAACCAGATTGGAATGAGTAAATTGAAGAATCAGTGTCATCAAAATATAAAACATTTTTTCAAAAAGAGTATGTATGAAGGATCTTTGAGACTCTGAGTTACACACAAATTATCACTCACCTATCAGCTCCAGCACATGACAACATCTTGTTGATCCTGATAACATGGAATGGATGAAGCCTCATGCGAATATGGAACTGATCTTTACCACAGTTCTTCACCAAATATTTGTTGCAACAAATACGTCCAGCTTCTAATGCTTCAGAGCTGAGTTGTTCATATTCGTCAGAGACTAAATGAACGCACAGAGGAAAATCTTCCACAGCAGCCCTCTTTTTACCCAAATCGAAGATGCGAATTTTAGCATCTGGTACTCCTCTACAGAAACGAGATTTTGGGTAGGGCTTGTTTTTGCAGTAGCGATAGCTAGAATATAAATAATCATTATAACAGTTGGACTAGGGTTTTTCAAAAATGTATTATAATAGGTTTTTGATAATAATAAAATAGGAAACTCACCATCTCGCTGGTCGTCGACCCATTTTGGCCTACAACAAAGAAGATATAAGGTAAGTAACAAAAATAACTATTGAAAGTCTTGAAAAATATATCTTATCGCTTCTCAAACTTAGATTATATCGAATAAGACTAAAGATGGGGAAAATATACGAAAAATACGAACCTCCAATAATACTTACCAGAAAGTCAAAAACAGAAAGAATTGATGAGTGCTGTCGCTGTCACGCTGTCAGAGTGTCAGCTGTCAGATAAAATGATTGTATTCTTCTTCTTATTCTTTTTCGAGTGGGTACATTTGAACTACTTTATTTACCATCGCCATCCAAAGATGCATATACTGTGGTGAAGTTACTGTGATTCAATGATGGAAGTAAGATATGGTGTAATTACTGATGCGCTTTTGTTTCAGAAATTTTACTCGACCTCTGGTGAACAGTGAGAGCAATGGTTCCGTCGATTTTATTAATAGATGGCGACATTGCACAATCATGACATCTGTCAGTTTTTTGAAATTGTCGCAGATTTTTCGAATTCAGAGTTGAATAATCCTACTGTTACATATGTTCTGCGTACCTAAAATGCCATTTGCCATTTTATTTCCACTCATCACAGCAGCAATAGCAGCATCACCATCTAGCGGGAAAATGTAGAATCAACGTCTCGCTCGTTGTGACGTAGAGAAATCATAGCAGGCAGGTCGAGTGATTTTTCTGAAATTTTCAATACGTAATAATGGCCGAATACGCGCACCATATCTTACTTTCATCATTTGTGATTCATAATAAAATTATTTTTGGTAATTTTGCACTTATCATGCGATGGGTTTTTTTCCGAAATTTTTGTCTGAAAAACACGAATTTGATAATGAAAATGTGAACAAACCATTATTTATTAAGATTTTTCACTATAAAGTTACAAATTTCACCTTCTTTTCCGCCTGTCTTTGGATTGCATTAGATTTAGAACAATTTGGCCTTCTTTTTCCATCATTGGACAATTTATACAGTATGATGCAAATGTATGGAATAAATTCATTTCAAAACAAGACGACTTCCGAAAAAAATCCAAAAAGTAGAGTTCAGAACTTTTTTATCGATGTATTTTTTCAACTAGACGACCCTTCGATGTTCAATTCTCAGTAGAAGATCTCTGCAAGATTCAGTTAACCAAATGATAATCCATTTTAATTTAAATCTTCTTTTGCAAAATTTTGACTATTGGATAGACGATCAGTAGACCTTTCAAACGAGGTGTCACATGACTCCTGTTTGTATTTAAAAAAACCGTCCATTACGTCATTACTCCAACATCTCTCATATGAATGTCATGAGATGAGGTTTCAAAAATTAAAACTCACGTGTTTTTGGAATTTCTTCAAATGTCACCCATTTCTGAAATAATGAATTTATTCCATACATTTGCATCATACATATATCACACAATGTTGGACACATTTTTTTTATTATATGGGTCAACTAAAAATACAGTAGGTAAAAAAAGCGATTTTCAAAAATTTACATTAGTGAATATCTTGAAATCAATTAAAGATACGGAAAAAAACTTGAAATACAATTTTGCAGACATTTTTATTAGTTATATAATTTTGACTGGATTTTTTGCTGTTATGTACCGTACCAAGATATGAACGATAATTCAAAAAACGGGACCTTCTATGTCGCCCCCTGCAATTTTGGCTCCCCTCATAGGTACGGGGACTTTTCGAATTTCTAATTCTTTCAACTCCTATATACTCAATCCCTATAGTTTCAAAAAAATCTCCTCTTCGATATATCTTCTACAGCCCGTTCATTGACTGAACTAATAAGTTCATTTTTAGTTTTGATTTCCTTAAAAAATCATAAAAAAATTGTTCATGTTATTCCCGGTCCTCGAGAATTTAATAAAAACTACCAGCTTGCTTCTGAAATGGGAGGAATGATACATTTTAACCTTTAACCTTCCAATCAGATTTAGTCAAACAAAATGATAACAATATATATTTTATTGAAATTGATAAAAATATAATTAATTTAAATTAAAATACGATAAGAACAATGAAAAAATCACTTCATAAATATCTTGAATCTTAGTATTTAACCAACAAAACCTCCTGAAATATTCTGTGAGAATACACAATCAATTATAATTAATACAATAATCATGTTAGTAATTAATCATCATTGTGTATCACAAATGAGTATTTTTACTATTTTTAAAAGAAAAAAATATACCATGAGAACATACTTATGCGAATTTGCGCTACCTATAAAGAAATTGCATAATTCATATGAGTGTGCAGTGCAGTTGATCGAAGATGGTCACGGGATGAAGAATAATTAAAGAACATGGCCATCTTCAACCAAGATCATGTTTTATATGAGATGTATCATCATTATTTACGAACCAGACCCCACTAAAGAGAAGTTCACCTTACGTCCATACTTTCCATTTTTTCCATCGACAAAATGATAAAACCACTAAAATGATGCTGTTATCATAAGTAAGTTCAGGTTGTTTGTTAAGATGATCTCCTTCGTGATTGCCGATATACAGGGTGTCCGGGAAGGTAAAGTCGTAAATGATAGGGCTGATATAGTGAGCCAAAATAATGTAATTACTTCATATAAAAAATGTCTATGGCGCTTCGTTATGGAGTTATTGACCTTGAAAGTTAGAATAAAAAAAATAAATTTCATGTATCACTTCCAACCGATTGCCACGGTATGAACTCATACTAATGCACATTTTCATACATAAACGGCTTTACAGTGATTATGTTTTATACAGCTAGGATGGGACGAATTTTCTCCGTTTAATGAAAGCATTTTTGACAGAGGTGACAAATTTGACATTTTCCTTTCACCATTCGATCCCTTCATCTTTTTTCTACAAAAATGTTATACTCCATTTCAATCGATATCTTGTATCGATCTAGAGAACATCGCATTCAAAAACATACATTCCAACCGTGTCAAAAGTGATAAAACTCCATTTATTATCAATGTATGGATAGGACTAATTGGCAATGAAGGATCTTGTAACATTAATGGAACTTCAAATGTAAATAAATATTCAACTTTTTTGCGAGAACATCCAGATACGTTGTTTGAAGAGGTTCTTTTGAATATTCGAGGTGAAATGAGCATCATCACATGTTATCTCGAGTACAACGCAGACGTTTAGACAACTTTAGAAGATGCGTTGCAGTTCAAGATGCACACATTGTTAGTTAGAAGTATTCTATATCCAAATTGGCTAGACTTTAGCAAAAAAAAAACATTCAAAAACCATGGACTCAATGAAAAAAAAATTAAAATAGCCTCACTTCTCTTATACACATTGACCGACCTGTCTTGCGCTTTCCTCAAATCTAAGAATTTTGAATTATACTATTGTTTTCAATGTGCAATATGTGTGCAAAGGAGTTAGAAATATTCTATTTCCAACTTGTCTAGACCAAAGATCATACGTACACGAGATAAGCACCGTAAATGTAAGAATGGGCAACGCTAAGTGGGGAACGAACAGAGCGGTGATAATTCGCTGTGCGCATCTATTCATTATAACGCCGCGTATTCCACCGACTCGGATAAAAATATTATGTCAACGAATAGCACAGCCGATTAGCCGCCGGTCTGTTAGATCCCATCGGAGTGTTGCCAATTTTTACACAGGCGTTGACTATATAGTGTGTGTATCATCTTTGCCTAAGCTCTACCAGAAAACCGTATAAAAAACCGCAAACTCACTGCAGCCAGCCCCCCCGATTCTTCATCACACATCGACCGCCCTGTCTGGCAGTGGGCCGCCCGCCACGGCCAGCAGCCTTCTCGTGCTGGAGGCGCTCGCGCAGCTGTCGCCGCTGCTGCGCACGCTCGCCTGCGACTTGGGCGTGCCGGGCAGCCGGTGCGGCGTGCCCTCCAGCGAGCTGCCCGTCGTGGGCGGGTCGTAGAGGGGGGCGGGGGCCGGCTCGTCGGGCGTGTAGTAGTCCGACTCGTCGGCTCGCTCGCCGGAGTGCGCTGGAATCGGTGGAATATTGTTCTATCTATTAACTGCATCGAAAGTAAGCGTCTCCTCCCGCATTTAAAGACACAAACCCGCCAATTTACTCCCACGGGAGTAAACAGAATTTTACCTCCCGTGGGTGGTAAAATAAATTGGCTGAAGCTTGCTTCCTTGGTAGAGATCTAATATACAAAATTCTCCTGTCCCGGTCATGGTGTTAGTGGTCGAACTCCACCGAAACGGCTGGACCGAATCGTATGAAGTTTTTTGTGCGTATTCGGTAGGTATGAGAATCGGTCGTAATCTATATTTTAAATCGAAAATTCAAGATGGCGGATCCAATATGGCGGACGAGTATTGTTATCCGATTTCAATCAAAATTGGTATATGGGGGTTTTCGGTCATAGATAATGATTCTCTAGTCAAATTTTGGAAATTCTAGATATCGGAACCAATATGGCGGACGAGTTTTCTAATTATGGTCAGATTCAATTCAAAATTGGTATCTGGGGGTTTTCGAGATCGGAGTTTATGATTTCTTCATCAAAATTAGGAAATTCACAATGGCGGATCAAATATGGCGGACGAATTTTGTAATAATGGTCAGATTCATATCAATTTTTCGTACTAAATGTGCGGGGTCCTTTCCCGAATCATTAGATTTATCAATGACTCTTGTAACCGCTGTCCCATGGCTTTTCTGACTATAGTATGTCATGAAAATGGTGGAGGTGCCGAAACTTTATCTTCAAGATTTTTTTCTGAACTCAAATGTGATCGCATGATATGAATAAAAAATATGTGTTCAATGAATTCTCATGAACTATAGAGAGGAATTACAATTTTGATTGTAACCTAAATTGGATTGACTTATCGATTAAAAAACGGAAACCGATAGATCAATATCGTATATGACATCGAAAATCAACTCTTCTGAATAACACAGAAAGCATTCCTGATCCAATGAAAATTATCATATTGCAACAACTTACAATAATTCTTTGACTTTTCTGGCAGAATCTGCTCTTCTGGGTCAGTATCAGCGTCGTCTATAGGATCCACAACGTCTTCCATATCCAACGCCAGATTATTTCCACCTCTGTTAATTGAACAGTTTTTTTGCAAAAGTGGTGACAATTTTTCAGATTCACTATCTTCGTCCAAATTCTATAAGAAAATCATGGTGTAACGAAAATAACTAATTAGTTTCAATTTCCAATCATAAAAAATTTAAAGTATCAAGTGTTTTTGAAATAGAGATTCACCTTAAAGTAAATAGGCATCATAAAAACACAACTCAAGAATGAATAGAAGTAAATAATGAATATAATTGTGAGTATGTTCAATAATAATAATAAGAAGAAAAAACTTACAATCTCCTTTTCCAATTTTTCATTCAACATCTTCACATTATCCTTGTTCCTTCTCCTCTCTTTCTCCAACAATGGGCACTGCTGGTTCTCTTTGCAATCCTCCTCTCTTCTTTGAGACACCATGACTGAGCCACCATAGTCCGACCCTGGCGAATTGTTGCCCCCCCTGCCAAATTTATGAGTATTGAAGACATTATTTTTTTAGAGTAAATCTGAATTTAGTGGGATTTTAGTTGTAGTACATTACCTGTTTTTGGTTGGTGTGCTGCGATCACACTGTCTGTTCAATATTTGAGCAGCTTGGATGGCTCTTTCGTTTTCGGGGGTTTCGACTAAGTCGGGCATGGCCGAAGGGGGCGCTCGCGGGGCACAAGGGCCGTTCAGGGCTTCTATGAGAGACACTGCCTCATAACCTGGAGGGATATTATCGCAGCTGCCCTAGAAACACAACATGATATCTAGGTTTGTATAAATTCATGGTTCTTTCTAGAAAGTCTAAATTGAAAATACACTTCAATGTTTTGTTTTGTACCTTCATTAGTGGACTCGAACGTGGAATATTGTTTCTTCCCCATAATAGATATAAGGTATTGAAATTTTTTAGGACATAAGAGATAAATGAATACTCTTCATGTATCTAGTACAATGAAATTTTGGATTTAGAATAAAATGCCTGTAATTGGATTTAGTTTTTTCTCAAATGATCTATTTGTTAAGAACAGTTGAGGGCCGGGTTCATATTTTACGAGGCCCCACGGTGCACTTGAATTACCAAAAGGTGATAATTATAAACGTTGAAAAACCAAACAATAAAGTTTGATGAGGCATCAAAATTAACCTGATTAAAAGAACGTTAAATTATTAACTTCTTGAAACAGCCATTTTTTTTAATTGATGGCAGACAAGATTTGGTCCGATTCCATTCAAAATTGGTAAGTGGGGATTTTTGAGGTCGGAGATCATGATTTTTTTGTTGAAATTTATAAATTCAAGATGGCGGCTTCCAAATAATTTTTTGTTTTTGTATAAATGACGATAACTCCGTTGTTATCAACACAAAACTATTACTGCGACATATCATCTGTAAGGGAAAAAAAAGTTATTTGTACCTAAGTCATAGTGAGCTATGACCTACATTTGAAAAACTAGAGTTGGTGTTGATATTTCAAATTCTAGGAGAGTTGGTATAAATTTCATATTTTTTTCGAAATCACTTTGAAAAACTGCCATGAGAATATGAAATTCCTATTTGAATATTTTCATAGATAAAGAAGTTACGGAGGAGTCATGAAAATGATCAAAATCTGTTTTTTGAGTAGAAAACAAAAACGAATAGATTTTATCAATATATTTTTTCACATTATAGTTGGCCTTGACAAACAACACATTTGGTGTCATTTATAACCGACCTCGTATCTCTCACCATTAAAAAGATACCCATGGTGAGCATGGTAAGTGGGACACACTGTATATACAACTACAGAGTGACCCATTTGGACCAGGTGTCTACCCTAATAGCAAATACCGCGCCAGTGCCATGTATAGGAAAAAGAAGTGGAAAATGTTAGGTTAGTGAGCATATCAACAATAATAATAGCGATTATTTATTTCTCTCCATATTCCACTGTGTTTGACTTGGTAATCAAATGAAGGTAAACAAGCCGTTAACAATACATATCGTTGTATGAGACAAAAAAAGGTCTGTTCGTTTGTGTTTGCCAAACTTGTTGAAGTTGATTTTGTTTGCATAGTTGTCTCTATTCATGGCATGATGTAAAAAGAGAAAGCCTTGGAAAAAAAAGTTTCGGTAGAGAAAACACAAACAAACAGGCCTACAGTATTGCTGGCTGTGATTATTCAAAAACAAGTTATCCAATCAATCAGATCCCGAGAATGAATGAAATACAGATCAGCAAGTATGTGCATCTTGAAGGCTTTCCTGATCTTGATCAAAACAAAAATACTCAACTATAATATGGTGTATTTATTTATATCTCCAGCATGGTTATGAAATGAAAATCTGCCTAAATTGGGAACTAATCAGATATGTGTCCCAACCCAAATAACCAACCATTACATTGTTGTTTATTCTTGATGACCTAGTATCTACATCGTTTTTAGTTCCTAGGAGCTAAAGTTCAACTTCATGTTTATTCCATAAGAGTCGTTCATCAATATAAAGATCTAAAAATAGAACTGAAATAGATTGATGTGCTTACATCTGGTGGACTGATTGTTGCCACATTGGGATTCACGCACTTCTGCAATGCCCTGATCTGCAACAAAGCCCTAAAGGGGGCCCGACAAATGGGACAGTTGTTGGCCTGATATCTCAAAGAATCGGCACAGGAATTGCAGAGACACAGATGTCGGCACGGTAGGATGAGCGTATCCCGCACGTCACACATGCAGATGACACATTCAGAGCCATTATCATCAGTGTCATCATCTCCCCCAGCCTATGAAAAAAAAAAAAAAAAACGAATCATCAAGAATAAAAGCCAACATGAAAATACTTGAATAGTATTTTATTCAACAAGCATATGATGAGAGCTATTATTCACGAAGGTTAAGTTTAATTAACCTGATTATATGCGAGAAGAATACTATACTTTGTCCACGACTACTATTGTCTTTGACATTGGGAAAACTAAAAAATGGAAGATACCTGTTATATTAATTATTTGTCCATGACTGTGGTACTCCCTCAGTTCTCTTAGGGTACGCGATATAACATTATATCGCGTACCCTACTCCCTAGACCAGTGAATAATGGTTATTCACCGCTATTATTCACTGATGTGATAAATGGCTACCGTTTTGCGTAAGGAAGTACATGAATATTTCATACAACAGTCGTGGATAAATGTATAAATCTCCACTTCAATGGAACACATTTAAACTTTTACAGGGTCCGGCAACAAGATTGAATGGTTTTGAAATGGTTGCTGTGGAAATACTGTTTATTTGACAAACATCAAATAGTGATAAAATTGTAGTTTATTATTGAAGATTTTCTGCTAGAATGGCAAATTGGCCGGTTAATCAACGGATCTTTGCTATAATATCATTTATCCTGATCCAGTACATCGTGCAAACCCAGGTTTGGTGACATTGCATGGCTCGCAAGATCATCAGATCCCGGTTTTTTTTCTCAATGTACAAAGTGTACTTTACGCGTCCACAAACACTTTTGGAAGTCAAAGAAAGGATTCGTGAGGGATTAAATTTGATAAATGAAGATTTTCTCAGACGCGTTATGCTTAATTTCAGAAACAGATTGCATCAATGTATAGAAGAAGACGGTGGTCATCTTAGGGACGTGATCTTTGCAAACTAAAAGTGTTATAAGAAATATCCTGAATTGTGTTTTTAGTTGTCTAAATATATTCTTTGTTTCTTAACAGTGGCTTATTAAAAACAGTTCAATCCTGTTGCCGAACTGTACATTGAAAATTTATGAGATTATTCAACACAAGAAACAAAATCAACAGTGATAAGAGTAAAAACTTGTTATTAGGAAACGTAAGGAAAATTATTCATGATCATTTCCAATCAACCATTTTTATTTTTAATGTGCATAATTTGTATTTGACTAGAATGAATGAATGGATTTATCAATGTTGAAAATAATGATGAAATTATTGAACGAATAACTAATTCGGAACACTCTACCAATATCAAGTAGGTAGTTATGGTTATTTACACTTCAACGGCGTAAAAGTAGGCTTTTATGGACTGAAGCGTTTTGAACATTCATTTAATGTCAATATGGCCACAGTATGTATGCCACCGCCGAGGAAAGATCGAAGGTACCGAAAATTTACCTACTAATTTATCGTCCTAGAGCGCTAAAGTGTTACTGTAAACACGCGAATCCGAGCGATAGTGTTACTTTACGCCCGGTAGTGCATAATAGTTTGAATGTATGAAGGACGTGAAATAGGCTTTTATGGACCGAAGTGTGTAAGTTTAAGAGCTCTAGCGATACCGAGGGCTATTTTTATTAGGCCTGAAATATATACAACATGCAGTTCATTAATGATTTTGAATTCATTTGGCCACATTAAGTATGCTACTGACCAAAAAAGATACAATGGTACCTGGTCTACTGGAAGTTATTGGAAAATCAGTTAAATCACTTTATCGTCCGATCACCTACTTTAACGCCACTGTACTCATTTATCGCTTCAGGGCGATAAAGTACCACTTTACGCCCGGTCATGCATAATTGTTATTTATGTATCAAGGGCATAAAGTAGGCTTTTATGGACCGCAGCGTGTAAAGTATATGCCCCAACGACAACGAGGGCTATTAATTAACACGCCTAGGTCCATAAAAGCAAGTTAACGCCAGAAATACAACATTTTTTGCACGACCGGTATATTCGATTTTTCATTGTAAATACCTCTTAACCTCTCTAGAACGATAGAAATACACTACGAGAGGTGAATCACGGGCCAATTTCGGGTACATCAGACTTACTTTGTCGAAAGAATTCACGGAATTCCTAGGACTACCCAAGGAATTCCTGGGACTACCCAAAGAATTCCCGGACTTCCTAAAGAATACCCAGAATTCCCAAAGACTATCTAAACTTCTTAAGGAATTCCCGGACTTCCCAAGGAATTCCCAGCCTTCCCAAAGAATACACAGACTTCCCAAAAAATGCTCAGACTTCCCAGACCTCTCAAAGAATAACCGGACTTCCAGAGGAATTCCCGTGTCGGGCACACTGGACTTCCAACGTGATTTACCCCTCGGAAATACATCATGGCGGCAATGAAGAATATCATCAATGGAATCGACGTTACCATGGTGATTCAGTAAATTTTTTGAATTAGGACTATTAGGAGTAAATTATTATATTTGCTGTCAATTATTGTCATAATATATAACTTATTTTGCATGAATCTCAGAAATATCAGGAGAACTGTGTTATTATATTATTAAGTGAAACCAAAATATGTCCTGAATTCAACAGGAATGCCTATCATGAGTTACCTATACGCCGGGCAATAAAGTAGTCCGTGGGCGGTAAAGTGCCACTTTATTAAATGATGAGAGCAATATTCAACAAACGTCAAAATATCAACAAATGCCATGCCTACCATGAGAAGAAAAATGAAAAGAAAATGCTTAGAGCAATTAACTGCTGTTTAAAATTGATTTGACATTATAAGATATTTTTTACCTGAAAAAAAATCTTGCATGCACCATGACCATCAGGCAGTATTCATCCCTTGGGCCAAAGGCCCTGTGGTGAATATTACCCTCTGGGCATTAAGATCAATATAAGGCACTTGCTGCATAATAAACTATTATGGAAATTCATGAGAAAATAAACCAGAAATAAGCATAACCTTTTCTGATAAAAGTGAAATTTTCAAAGAATGGTTTGATTTAACAAAAACTCATTATTTTAAATATTTCTAACAGGGGAAAAATCCCTCAAAATTCAGATCACCAGCAAAGACCTTTCATGATGGTTTAAGTTCTACAGAACCCTCAAAAAATACTCAAAACACTAACCTTCTCATTATTTTTATTCTCAATGCCATAAATCTCCTGCAATAAATAACACAGACCATCAACAAACAACTTTTGTTTGAGTGCTTTCAATAAATAAGTTCCATCTGTAATTTTTTCCACAGTGGCCACAGTAGTGTGAGACTGGCGTATATCATCTGGCCCCTCTTCAGCCACACAATGTATGGCAATGGGAATGATTTCCCTGTCAACATCATAGAGTAATTCATCATCATTGTATTTAGCTGGGTTGAAGATGTGTGATGGTTGACAAAACTGCTGGTTGGAACCTTTGCCATAGTGGAATGTTTCTGAAGTTAAAGTGGGTTCACGAGAAACATAACTGAAAAAATCTGGATTTTCAAACAGTATTCAATCATTATGTACAACCTACGAGACTCCATTGGGTGAAAAATCTTCTGAGCAGAAGTAATAGACTGTAATAGTGCATCTGACATCACAATCAAAAGTAAATTCAATATTGAAAGATGTATTTGTTCCTAGTTCCACATCCCTGTATTCACATTTATCCAAATTGATCTTGTTGTATTCATTGACAGCTCTTACAAATCTAAGAGATTCTTTTCTTATGTTCACCAAGCTTTTCAGGGTTTTAGTAGGTTCATTTGGTTGTGGAGGAGGATAGGGAAACTGAAAGTTGGAGAAATATCAATAAAATAAGAACTGGAGATCTATGGAGTAGTGCTTACTGGGGTAGGACGACTTCCAAGAAAATTCAGGTCAGTATTTTCACCAAACAAGTATGATTCAGGCTGTGGGGTGTCAAATCTTTCTCCACCCATTATGAAGTGACTACCAAAATAATTGCCTACAAGACATCAGAATTGAAAAGATATTGAAAGTTATGAAAGCACGCAATCTACCTGATCTTGGTGGGTACTTATAAGCATGATTGGAGGCGAAATCAATCTCTTCAACACCATCCTGTTGTCTGGTTGTAAGGAGAGCACCCATTTTGAAACTATTTGGATGGATTGAATTTTAGTGGAATATTTCCATCAATTTTATTTCAATTTCCAAAACACTTTTCACTTTATTTTTGCAAGTTATTTTTTTTTTTGTTTTTGCCTTTTGGTGTTTTTGTTATGGTTTATTTGTTTATATTTATGGTATGACCTGACGTTTGTGGACTATGCAATTACTACAGTGACTGCATTTTATGACAGAAACGGTTTTCAGTTCTATGATGGCAATGAAGATGAATGTTTATGGTCAATACGGTCTATGTTCATTGATCTTGAAATAATTTAGTTTTTTGAATCTGAAATTACTTTTGAAAAATATCAATATATCATAATAATATCTTATTCGATACTTTCGAGACCAAAGATTGGTACAAATCATCTAACAACAAATGAAGAAGTTATCATCGCAAACCTAAATTTATTTAATTTATTCATTTCGGAATAGTTTTCCCAGGGATAGGGAAGAAGTACCTTGAAAAACTGGTTGGTTTCGTTTTATTTCGGATTAAAAAAAAATGTTCTTTGAATAAGCCTTTTTATATAGATATATTTTTAAGACGCATGCGCTCGTTTTTAGATCCAAAATTTGATTGGGTAATGTGAAGGTGAAGTCTCATTGGCTATAGTTCCGACACGAATGGCCTTAGATCAGCCATTTCGAATATGACGGTTTTTATTGACGTTCTGTCAAATGCCAACAATGTCAACCACCATGGGCATTCGTCATTGATAAACAACAATAACAATATAATAGGTATAATAATTTAAATCGACAAAACGTCACTTATTCGTTACTGAGGAGTGTGGTGCGAGTGTTTCGGTGAAATGAAAAGGCCTATTCGACCAGGCCTTGCAATTTTTTAGTTACTTTACTGTACTCACACCATTCGCTTTTTCTTCACTTGCCTTGCTAGAATATCATTATTTATGTGGATACAATTTTCACCAAAGCAAACATTCCACATCAATAACACACTTATTGAAATAAATTGCATATATTACAAATACTTTCAGCAAAATGGCACAAATAAATAACGATTTAAATACTAGTTTGGTAAAAATGTGGGCAAAAAAGCACAAGAATTATTTCATACTAAATTGGGGACATTACAAATACTGCTAACTATATTTACAAAGTTCAACAAATTTTTGTACAGGATGATCTAACTAACATTCCACTTGATGAAAATCTTCCAGTATGAAAGTGAATACCTACCTAACTAACTTTCTCAGTAAATAACTATCATATCTATCAATTTATATTTGTCACAAAGTTTATTTTTTGACTAGAAAACAGTTTCGATTATACAGGATGTCTCATATATCAGTTCTAATGCGACAACTTACAGAGTATATAGGTATCAACATTTGTTTTTATCAAGTCGTCTTTCAATTTCCTCTGAAGAAAACATTATATCACCCAAAATTTTGTACAAGTCTTATGTAGAGTGTGGAAGTAACATTTCCAGACATTTTCATAAAAACTGATATATTGAAACTAAGTTTTCTTCCATATATGACAATAAGAAAAATGTCTGAAGTGCAAGTGTCGGTAGGCGCCAGAAAGGTAACTTCAAGTACATCAAATGTCGATCGAATTATCATTAGAATGTTCATTCTAATCTTACTAAATAAATACCTTTAGCAGATATTGAGTTCTTTAGGAGATAACTTGAAAACATATTCTTCTTCAACACCCTGTATCTCCCTTAGAAATCGATCTAGCTGCTATGTTTACAGGAACTAATTCACTCAAAATTAACCCAGCTAGAGGTAGCTAGAGGCAAACACCCAATTTTGAACCAAAATTTATTTTGTTGATATTTTGGTCACCCACAACTCTTCTACATGCCTGTACTGGGACACCCTGTATATTGGTGAATGGAGTAAATACTGAATTGAGTTATTACTCACGTACAGTGTGATGATTCATAAATTCGAGAATAAAAATCCCAATATCCACAAAAACAGGAAGCTGAAGCCGAAAATTTGCATGTCATTGTAAAATTCAGTAATAATTTCTGAATCAGTTGGTCTCATGCCATTATCAGCCATATCTAAGCATTATTAATTTATAAAATATTGGAACTACAATATGAAAGGCAGGATTTTTTTATCCTATATGTGCATGCGGCTACTGAGATAGATTCATAAAAATATGCCTCAAAATATATTTGGGATAAAAACAGGTAAACCTTTCACTTATTTGGCATTATATTTTACCTAAGTGGTTGAGATTTGAAATATCACTGGCACAAACTTAAAGCTAAGATATCAGCTTTCCGACACTCAAATTGCTTGAAAACAAGTAATTTAATGATATAACACAAAATAAATATTAGCTACTCCCTAGACGATGAAAAATTAATAAATAAATAAAATAAAATTCCAACATTCGATTTGTTGTTTCAGTTAAAGAACTAGCTAAACGTTCTCAACTGAAAAGCAATCTTCAGGTGGCAAGGTTCATTCAAATACGCATTTTTCAAAATCAAAAACCTCAGAGAAAACAACAAAATTTCTACATTCTTGATGTGATCTCCAGCGATCGGTGAATTTGCCAAACACAACAAAAACCCACATCGCAAATCTTCCAACAACCTTCCTATCGACCATCCCACACCCGGAACCTACTCACCATTTTTTCTCCAATGGAAAATCGAGATCCTCCTCGGCCTGAAAAAACGACAAACCGAAAACCAATTATCGCAAATCACAATACTAGACATTATTTGATCGGAAACTCGGGCCAATAGTTAACGTGGAAGCGCTGGGTAGTGCCCTCGAAGAGCCTGTCCAGCCAGTTGGAGAAGCCGTCCAAGAGGCTGCCTTGGAGCAGGACGTCCCCGTCGGAGTCGGAGCTGTCCGAATTGAAGCCTATGAAGGCGCCACTTTCGCAGTCCAGCTCTTTGGGGTTCACGGAACCGCTTTTTGCAGCCTGGAATGTATGCAGTTTTGAACTGAAGCTTCGGAGATTTCTGGCATCAATCATTGTCGTTCTAAATGAAAACCTAGTAGGCGAGGTATTATACACCCACTGGCAAAAAAAACGACCACCAAAAAATGTAGCCAAATTGTTCACTCTGTAACTTTTTTAATTCTTGTCCGATTCTGGTGAAATTTCAACGAACTCGTATATTCATGTTTCGGAATATTAGTCTGAATATTGGTTCCAAAGAAAAGCTGATGGCTTGATCATTATACAGGGAAAAACGAAAGTTACTCTTTCTACCTTAACATTCTAACGCCCTGTGGAAAAGGTGAGTGGTTAAACTTAGCTTCATTATGTTTTGGATTGAAGTGATCCCTTCTCAACACAATGGTTTTTGATTCACGTCGATAACCACTTTTCAAGTGTTTTAAGAAAGTATATTTTTTTTATTAACAATAATTGAAGGAGCAAGTGGAAGAAGGAGTTATGTTACCAATATGAGTTTGTGAGAAAAATAGGTTTTAGTAAAGTTAGCTGGCATTTTTTAACCGAAGCTTGTTTAATAATTGGATTTATGCAATTGTGGGGAATAGTTTCAGGTTGATTTTTTATGATTTACAGCATTTTGCTATGATATCATTTTTTGATAGACATCTGGATTTATGCGTATATAACCTCTTCTTTCTTTCATTTCCTGACATGAAGGCAATGGGCACATAGCTCTTTCTTCCATTGCATCCTTGATGTTTAATGTCACATAGCCCCTTCTACCGCTGTGTATCTGCTCAGATATGCAGAATAGAAACAAATCCTGACGGGGCAAGTTACATATGCACGTAACACCTTATTCCATAACATAACCGAATATTTTCAGAAAATGTTACTTGACCCCTTCTTTCACTTGCCCCTTCAATTCAGAACCATTCTCCAACCTTCTGCTTCATCATGTTTTGAATTGAAGAGTGATCCTTTTTCGTCCCTTCATAACACAATGGTTCTAGATTCACGTCAATATAAGTGTTTTAAGAAAGTACGGAATTTTAAAATTTGTATCAACAATAATTCAGAACCTATAGAGCATCTTAGGGATGAACTCCAGAGGCTCATTCGCCCTCGCCCGGCCTAGTCAGAGACTCTTCAAGAGGTACGATTCGCCATTTAAGGAGAATTTCAGGCAATTCTTCAAGACCACTTGACGAATTTGATCAACTAGATGCCACATTGGTTGAATGCTAGAATTCAAACTCAAGGAGGGCATATTGCTCGTTATTGACTACAGGTCTGCTTTTTATTTGTTTTGAAAATGAGGTAGAAATAAGTAATATTAATTATTCAAGTGGTTGATCAATAAGTTTATATAGGTTCTGATTATTGTAAATAAATATTGAAAAATGCCATAATTTCTTAAAACAATCGTATCTTCTCTTAATAATAAGATATTGAGGTGAATCAAAAACTATTGTGTTGAGAAGGGATCACACTTCAATCCGCAGCATAATGAAACCAAGTTCAACCACTGAAATTCGCCACAGGGCGGTGAAGAAGTAACTTTGGTGTCATCAAGTCATCAGCTCTTAAAGGAAACTAATATTTAGGCTAAGATTCCGAATCATGAATCTACGATTTTATAGAAATTTCACAAAAATCGGACGAGGATTAAAAAAGTTACATGGTGAACAATTTGAGCAAACTTTTTGGTGGTCGGTTCTTTTTGCCAGTGAGTGTATATTGTCTGTTCATTGAAAGAAAGTGAGCAAAAATTACTTTTTTCGACGTTGGAAGTAATAGTATGGTGGGGAGGCTGTAGCCAAGCAAGTAGGCTCCGATGGGCCCATTTGGCTAACCCTTGAGTAGGAACTGGGAAAATTACATCTACATAGGTAATTTGTCAAGTGAGAAACAACACTCAGACAAAATCTCTTCTCTATCTTTTGTTATGTACAGTGATACAAAAAATAGAAGATAAAAACTTCAACCTAAATTGTTCATATTGACAAAAGATCCATTGACATTGCAACCAGACAATATACCTCGCCTACTTGGTTTTCATTTAGAACGATAACGCTTCAACAACAAAGATCTAACTCAAGTACACTTACCGGCAAAAAAAAACGACCACCCTAAAATAGTTTATGAAGTTGTCATTAACCATAAATTCAATAACAGCATAAATATTCGAGCAGTTATTATTTTTGATAATCAAGTGTGGCCGGTATTTTTTGCCGGTAAATGTAGATTTGCCCTTGAGGTGTCACGAAAATCTAACATTACGTGACAATTCAAATTCTTCTAAAGTCTAATATATCAAGAACTATTACATAAAGTATTGAACCATTATCTGAAAAAACATCACCCTTTGAAAATTACCTTTCTTCTTTTCCTATTTTCGGTATGTTTAGCATGGAATACGCAGAAATACTTCCTATGTCCATTCAACGACAGAACAGTCCCAACACAATTGCGAGGATTTATATTGAGTTCAGTTTCATCTGGCAGAGACAGCCTCAGGAGCTCCGTGTACCATTTAAGGCCTCTCTCAATGTATACGTAGGAAAACATCAACGTTTTGTTCCTTGAAAAAAAAAAATATCACCAATTGATTGACGTAGATATTGGATTTTTTCAATTCTTGGAGAATATAATTTCTTGGGAATGAATTCCAAAGCTTTCCCGTTCTATAGACGAACGAGTTTTGATAATGTGCTGTTCGACATATTTCGAGGTTGACTTATATCATTGTCTAACAATAATTATCACAATACCAATAAAAATATCTTAGTATTCATTCCTAATAATGATCGAGATTTTATTAAATACCAAATTATTTTGTGGCACGGGCAACAGTGTAATGCCAAGTTCCTAGAAATCCCTTCATCGTCAAATCCTTGTTTCAACTTTTCAAGATGCGAATAGTCAAAGATAATCCTCATATTATCTAATTATTTAGTCTTGTGTTCTTTTCTGTTATCTGCAGTAAGTATTCCATCCAGAAAATTCATTCCATATTCTAATTGAAATGACAATCAAAAATATTCTTGCACTTGTCTATCAGAAGTAGAGAATTGATACGCAAGTTGAATCTTACAAGGTGTTCTCGGATGATTACGTCACGCTTTATCCCGCGTTTTTCATGTTATGAAATATCGTGAATTTGAATAATTATTTAAAAAAGTTATAGAGCTCTGAGGAAAAAACGGTTTGCGACATTGTACTGGGTTAGTACTTCGAAAAAATCAAGTAAAATTTTTCACTGAAACAGGCCCATGACTTCAATGCACAACAATCCAGACTAATTATGGGTATGTTTCCTACATTGAGGTTCTTTTTTCACTGTGAAGTTTGTGAAAAATTAATATACTTTTTTTCGTAAGATCAAATTTCACTTCAGAAAAAAAAATTAGAGGAACTTGCCTCCTCCACCATTCCTATGACGTACTTTCTGAAAACACACATTCACACAGAGTTAAAATACGATTCCCTGAGGCAGTACGACGTTGCCGACATCATCAATATGTCTAGATTTCTGGAAATTGGTCTTTGAATGCATAATAACTCGGTTAGAGAAATGGTTGTGTATAATTAGTATAATAATCAATATTAATGAGTAAGACTCAGGCTATAGTATACAATAAATAATTGTATAATATAGCCCGAGTCTTACTCATTAAAATTGATTAGCATCATAACAACAAAGGGATATAATAGGTTCTTCAATCCTAGTTTGTCAAGAATTATGAATGATTCCCATAAATCTCTCATTGGCTGAATGAAGTTGCTTACTAATAAAGATATATCATGATATTTTGCGATGGTATCTATAATTTTTCACTATCGTTATATTACAATATGTTATTCATAAATTGTCAGTCATTTTTTTGCTAATGAATTTGTTCCTAAATAAAACTAATCTATTTTCTAGGAAAGTTGCAGATTATATCTTGCAACAGCGCCTAATACTTCGAGTCCGTCCACACCACTCAAAATACTGACAGGCGCAACTAGAGGAAGGAGCCATGTGGGTGTCGGCTCCATTCTGTTCTGACCGATGACAGTAAATTAGGAAGGATAGTATCATTGCAGGTAGCCGATAGGGATTCATTGATTCAATGATATTTTCTGAGATCGAGCTCTATTTGAGATATTTTAATGCATAAATAACAAAATCGAACCTGTCAGAATGAAGCCAACTACCTTCTGCATTCCTGCTCCGAGTGCATTTGGGGTTATGTATATTTTTGTTTCATTTATTTTTCATTCGTTAGCTATTCACTAGCTATATTCTTCACCATCAACTATTTTCAGACACAGTTTGCCGTCCAACAATTAGAATTGATTTAATTTGAAAATGAAAACGACTTGGACTTCATCAGCCCATTCTGTACAGCGTGGACATAAAACCGGAGAGTTCCGAATTTATTTCATGAAAATTCATCTGAAGGAAACTTTCCCATTTTTCCATAAAAAAAGCGTTGCAAAAATTACTTTAGGTTCCTAACGACACAGTGGAGTAATTGAATGCCAATAATTCATCATCACTCCACTCGCCCATTTTTCTCACTACTCACTTTCTGTAAGGCCACACGGCGCGATGGAAGGGCGGTATCAGCTGCTGCCTGGACTGCATGTCCAGGACGAGCACGATCGTGCGACAACCGGGCTTCAGCAGCCGCACCAGCGCGTTGTAGGTCTCCGAGCGGAGTTCGTGCAGCTTCAGCTCCGGCTGGTAGCTCGGGCCGGTGGCGTCGTTGTTGTTGTCGCCCGATTTCGCCTTCTGTTTCGCGATGCTCTCCTCTTCAATGCGACTGCGGGATTGAGGAAACCTACGTTGTTTGATTGATTTTTTCTACGTTCATGCAAAAAACACCTTTATAAACGACCGGGCGTAAAGTAGCACTTTACTGTCTGGTTTGCGGGCGTAAAGTGGCACTTTACCACACGCAGACTACTATATCGCCCGGCGTATAGATAACCTATAATAAGCGTTTCATGGTTCATTATCAAATATTACAGTTCTTTTGATACTCTTCTGAGATGCAAAATGATATGATATGAAATCCAAAATGGGAGATGGCATTAATTGACGGCAAAAATACATACATTCTGCATGCCTAAGTGTAGAGGTTCCCAAGATATTTGCAAAAATCAAAAGATATGTCTTGAGACCCAATTCGCTGCATGCCATAATCGCTTATTGCTGAACTTTTACAAGAAATCACATATTTTTTCGACCTTCTGAACATTTTTGAATGTTGATAAGATTAGAGAGTAAGACTTAGTTTGAAAACGGGTACTGGTGGGGGACGTTTGCACGTCAGCAACTAGTCCCTATTGGGACCTTTTTGCAAGCCCCAAGATGTTTTCAATTAAATTTTTCAACCATCTACCTTCAGCTATTAAGAACCATAGTGATTTTAATGAAATGTAAAATCCACTTATCATAATGCTTCTGAATCTAGAACCTTATTTAGTGGACAAATACCCCCATTATTTTGTGTTCTATAATTAGCATATATTTTCATATGTTGTGAATCTATTCATATTTATTACCACTTTTCTCTGTTTGACTGGCTTGTTAATTCTTTTTATAGTTTATGTATCCTAGTACAATAAAGATTATTATTATTAGATGTTATTAGTAACCCTCTTAGCATTTTGAATGAAACTGTGACTTTGTGATTTTGAGATAGTCTTTTTATAGCTTCATCATAGATATTACTGGATATTTAGAATGACCCAATTCAGTTTTTTCTTTCTCCTGCTGAATATAAATATGTATAATGATGATTGTATAGTATTCAACTTACACCAAATAAGCCATCAAATATCCGATTCCTAAGATAAAAACAATTGTTCCTAATACTGATGCTACTGCAAGTATTTGTTCTTTGCCTAGACTTTCATAAGTAGTTTCCACATACTGAATTATTCTGGTCATCAATTTTCCTATCATTCCCGTTGCATGTTCATCATATAGATCCTGAAAAGTGATCATTGATTATTTTTATTTTTCGATATTTATTAAATCACTTAATGTTGGGAAATAAATAATGATAGATAATAATATTAGTTGTCTTACTTTTACATATGCCTCATGAATTGGGGCTTCACTGGGTTTCAATAATCTACCAACAGTCCTTTCTAATGCCAAAGCAGTGTCATTCAACTTTTTTTCAATATCCCACTTTCCATCAATCCATTCATAATTCAAGTGAGATGTGTCTTTTCGCCAAAAAACAACAATTTTTAGTAGTGGTTGGATTATTTCTCCTTCTGAAATTAAAACAAAAAAGATAATAAAATCACCCAATTTTTCAAGTTCAATCAAAAATCGATCAACAAGTTGAATTGTATCATGCCTAATTTGGTCGAATCTCAAGATGAACTGAAATGATTTAAAAATAAATAAATAACTTTGTTTACATAAAAAAATCTAGAAAATAAGTGAATCTTTCCACATCACTAAAAAGTCTGCCAAATATTAATAAAATATATATATTTATATACAGGGAAGACATGGTATGAACAATTTTCCACATCATTTTGGAATCTATGATTTCAATGAACAATGCATTGTTTCATTCTGAACTATTTTGTACTATGTCTTAATTTCAAAGTAATGTATTCAAATTGTAATTGCTCTAAACAGTTATCTATACTAATATTATAAAGAGGAAATATTTGATTGTTTGTAGTGAATAGGCTCCAAAATTTCTGGACCGATTTGAAAAATTCTTTTACCATTAGAAGCCGACATTATCTCTGATGAACATTGACTACTTTTTACCGTGGGAAATTGCTTCATTCATACGAGGAAACGGGTATAATAGAACTAGCAAATTAGAGCACAACAGGTAGTAAGAATTATTATCCTTCCATAATTTTTTTCACATAACTTTTAAGGGCTGAACCGATTGCATTGAAATTTTATATGGGTATTTCGATGGTTTCCTGGATGATTTTAAAATACAATTAGTCGCGGTAGGTGGCGCTGCTGTAGGTATGTCGACTATTAAACGGCTGGACCGACTGGCTTGAAATTTTTAATACATAAAACAACAAAAAATAATATGAAAGATGCTGAGACATTGAAAATAGGTGTAAGTATATACACTCACCGGTAAAAAAACGGCCACCAAAAAATTTGCCCACATTGTTCACCCTGTAAATTTTTCAATCCTTGTCCGATTTTTGTGAAATTTTGATCAAATCGTGGATTAATGTTCCGAAATGTTAGCCTGAATATTAGTTTCCGTCGAAAGCTGATGACTTGATCATTATACAGGGGAAAAAAAAAGTTACCATTTCACCCTTTACTTTTTAACGCCCTGTGGCGGAATTGAGTGGTTCAACATGGCTTCATTATGCTTCGGATTAAAGTGTGGTCTCTTCTTAACACAATTGTTTTTGAATCACGTCAATATCTTATTTTCAAGAGAAGATACGACTGTTTCAAGAAATTATGGCATTTTTCAATTTTTATTAACAATAATCAGAACCTACATAAAACTCATTGAATAACAACTTGAAGAATTAATCAATCTTATTAACGAGTATGCCCTTGAGTTTATTACAGCTCACAACCAAATTTCTCAAGTAGTCTTGAAGAATTGTCTGAAATTATCCTTGTACCACTGGAGTTTATCCCTTTGGATGCTCTATAGGTTCTGAATTATTGTTTTTTTCTATACTATAAACACTTCTATCTCAATAAGAAGATATTGACGTGAATCAAGAACCATTCTGCTAAGAAGGGACGAAAAAGGATTAGGGATGTACTCTTCAATTCAAAACATGATGAAGCAGAAGCAGGTTGGCACTTGTATCTTCCCTTAAAAAGTGTTTTCGACGTGAAACAAAAACCGTTATGTAATGAAGGAATCATTCTTCAATCCAAAACATAATAAACTCAATTTTAACCACTCACCTTTTCCACAGGGCATTAGGAAGTTAAGGAAAGAGTAACTTTTGTTCTTCCCTGTATAATGATCAAGCCATCAGCTTTTCTCAGAAACCAATATTCAGACTAACATTCCAGAAAATGAATACATGATTTGGTTGAAATTTCACAAAAATCGGACGAGAATTTAACAAGTTACAGGGCGAATAATTTGGCTAAATTTTTTGGGTATTAGGAGCTATAGGGAGGCACACAAAATTTAAAACAGTAACAAAAACATAATATGTACTATAGATACGCGCATAGCTCAGAACTGCTGCAACAAATCAGCTATTTATAAATAATTTGTTATCATTGTATTTTAGTGCTAGTGAGATTGTTTTTGAGGTACCTGGAACCAAGGAGTTGAGAAACTGTGACTGTCTATCATGATAAATATAATTGAAGTGAACTCTATCAATGTTGAATGGGCTTTGTTGAGCATAAAGTCTGAATGAATGTCTATGGGGATCATGTCCACGTGAGGCGGAAGTTACCAAAACTACACACAACTTCTTCTTGGGTTTGTGCCATTCACTAGGACACAAGGATTCTAGTACAACCTGAAATAACATCAAATTTATAAATTTATATTGAGGAAACATAATTCATAAATTTTTTAATGCATTCCCTCAATTTTCTCAATAATACAGAGAAGTGCACAAAAACGGCCAGTTCTGACAGAGAAAGGAGTTAGGATATTGCAAAGTCACACCTATTGAGCATATCACCATTCCAGAAGAATAATGACACATTTTTTGAAAATGAGTAATACCCACCAGAAGAGAGAAGCTGAATCCATATGGTGAAATAATACCATAATTTTAGTGAAATATTTGGCCACTAGATGTAAGTTACATCATTATGGAATTTGTATCAGTTGGCACCATGTCACTGGAAGAAAACTGCCGCAATGGTCAGTTGTGAGAAGTATTCTATAGTTATTTTGTTTTTTCAGTGCAAGAAAACCATAAATGTATATTGAGAGTATTAGATGTGAAGTTTAATATATTATTTTGGAGAAATATCCACCTAAGTGTATTTAAACTCATTGTTTCTTTCTCAATATGAAAGAAATAATGACATAACTATCCCAAGCGTCATGTTATCCTCTGAAATACTATTGGCTTCTAAACATAATTGCACTTTAAGTCCATATTACATCAGATTATTCAGATTCTGAATGACCCAACTGTTCTTTCCCACAAAATCATTGAAACATTCCAATCTTTCATCTGTTATCAATGTGTATCAAGATAGCCATAAATGTATATTGAGAGTTTTAGATGGGAAGTTTAATATATTATTTTGGAGAAATATCCATCTAAGTGTATTCAAACTCATTGTTTCTTTCTCAATATGAAAGAAATAATGACATAACTATCCCAAGCGTCATGTTATCCTCTGAAATACTATTGGCTTCTAAACATAATTGCACTTCAAGTCCATATTACATCAGATTATTCAGATTCTGAATGACCCACAAAATCATTGAAACATTCCAATCTTTTATCTGTTATCAATGTGACATTAAAAATAGCAATATCAAGTGATTCATATTATTGATGAAAAAGATTATAGATATTGATATTCCAAATTAATTTCAGACTGCATGACATCTTTCAAATCAGTTCAAATCAAATAAAACAGACATTTCAGTCCCATAAAATATGCTGGCTGGGAACTGGTATTCAAAAACATTTTTTCCTACACAATATTTGCCTGATTTATTGATCTTTTCTTGTTTTTCACATTTCCACATTTACAATTGAAACTGTAAATTAGACAGATAAAACTTTTCCTTCAACCTCTCCTAATTTACAGCTATCTGCAAATTAGCCTGAATTTATATTTGCAACTGTATATTATTATTAAAAATGCTCACCCTCAAACTTGAATTTCTGCATTAGTGCAATTATTCTATTGAAATTATTTTGCTTTGAATAGGTACATGATTTTAAAAATTACTACTTCTTTTTCCAATGAATTTTAGAGGATTCTAGCTCATACCATTGCTTGTAAGTGAACAAAAAATATTATATAATACAATATTAATATTATTTGTAGTTGAAATCAATGAAATCCTCCATCTATTTTTATTTTTAAATCCAGGGGAAATTATTAAAAGGGTTGACACAATTGACTAATATGTTTTTTCTTTTAGCATGAATAAAGACATGATTTCAAATATCCATATCAATTTCAAAATATTATCTTTTTGAACATACTACATTCAAGTATCAGCATATTACCCCCCCATATACCAGAGGTTCAAAGTTAATGAAATCCCTTACATCTAATTCATATTTTCCCTCTCCTGTAAAATTCACTTTTTTGCATTTGAATTAGTATTCTAATTCATAAAATGAATTAGTATTCTTCTGGGGCAGGAATATGGAAATTTCAACCCCTGATCATTTAAAATAACTCTATCAAACCTGGTATTGTTGAGTTGGATTTGTCATAATAATCTCTAAAGGATTATGAAATAAAATACAGGGTGTCCCATGTAAAAAAAGTGATTGAATAAAAATTGTTTTGTCAATAAATGAGTAATTTGGTATACTTGCTACCCACCAATTTTCAAAATCCAATCTCTAATGATTCAAAAGTTACAGCCCTGGCAGTTTTCTGTGCACTTCTCTGTATATCAAACTATAAGTTTTATGGAGTTTTATTGAATGAATAAGTTTCTTATGATCGTACCTGAGATGACAGTCTTGGCAGAGAAAGGTATTGGTTGGAAGAAATTACATGCTGTAGAGTAGATGTTGGAATATCTTTCATAGAAATACTAGCCATAGGATAAGATGTATTCTCATTAAATAGTAAAACAGTGTCCATATCTTTGGGTACCTGATACCTATCTCGAATTTCTTGAGAATCAACAAAACTGGAGGAAAAAAATCAAATCATCATTTGAACAACATTAAAAGGTCAACATCACTCAATTAATACTTACCCAAAAGCAACTCTATGGCGAAAATGATAAGCAATGACTAGATATCTCAATCTCATATTGGTGTGTGGTTCAAAAATTAAGCCCCTTACTCTATTATCTTCCCAACCATTCAGGAAATTATCAATATCATCTGTTTTGATTCTAGCCACCATTTTATATGGCATTTTATTTCTAATGAACTCTGAAACATTAATTTTCAATAGTGATAGAGAAATGAAAATACCAAATGTTGTTCATACCTATTATTTTTTGTACACTAGTGATTGCCTCCTTATAAACAAAAACATCACCATCTAACAGTAAAACTAAACAGGGTAACATATGGATACTGAGTCTTCTTCCTAAATTTGGTTCTCTGCCAGAATGCACGGTAGCAAAGTTTATACCTAAAGGCTCCAAATAGTCAACCAACTTACGGCAATAAGGAGCAGTTTGAATGCATTGAAAACACCAATCAGTGTAAAAAAATATCAAGTGTGGTGTTTTCTCACTCTTTGGAACTAATAGTTTGTCATATTGTCTTGTTGTTATAGACAGTTTATGGAAAAATGTAATGTCATTTTCTTGAAAGTTGAAATGTGCCCCATGGGCAAAAAGATCCTCAAAAGGGTTGTTAGCATGGAAAGAAGGGTGGGATGGTCTTTTATAAAAATCATCTTCTGTAATGCCTTTATCATCATAACGTTTTCTTCGATCAGGGTCAGAAAGTAGCTCATAAGCTAATTTTATCTCCACAAATCTCTCTTCAGCATCTGGACTATTTGATTTATCAGGGTGCCATTCTTTCACTAGTTGTTTGTAGGCTCGCCTAATTTCTTGCTGGGAAGCTCTCCTGTGCACCCCGAGGATTTGGTAAGGGTTACCTAATTCTCCTAATACACCCCAAAGTAGGAAGATAATCAAGAAACTTTGACAAAGCCAAAGTTGAAGGCCCCATCTCATTTTCACTTTGAATACATAAACGTCTAGTTGCCTATTTTGAACTACTATTTTAATAAAATAACCATGATAAAATGACTGGAAACAATATTTAATGATCTGTACTGTACTAATTTCACTATTTCAGTTAGTAATATTGATTAATCTGAATATTCTGAATGTGTGTCGAATGTGTCAAAGTCAAACTTCAATCTTTTAGAACCGTCAAATATGTCAAAATAATCAAATTAGTTGTATTTTCTTGTTCAAGATCGATTTTGAACCGTTTTCAAGTGTGACATGGTTAAAACAAGGTTAAAACCTGATTTTTTTTGGAACAGGTACGGTTGTTACTGTTCCAAATACCTGTTGCAGTGCCCGCCTCAATCAACGCCGCTCCGTATTCGTATTCCGTACTCATATATCATGGTATGCTGCAATTACGAAAAGTGAATAAAAACTATTGACATTTTCTAGCAATTTTGGACCATATATTATAATATGATTTAATATATTATATTCATGGAATACCAATTATATTCGTGTAGTATCCCACAGTCATACATATTTCTATTCTGCATGTGGTCGTGCTATTCTCGTGCTCATAATTAAATGAAAATACCACAAAAATACTAGCATTCTCTCTGTTCTCTGTCACAGTAGCAGTATCGCAAATCACGATACCGTCAATCCGCGATCCGGAGATCACGTATCTGCCAACCTGTTCAACCAGTCATACCTGTTCCGAAAATACTCGACCATCCCTACGGGGGCGTGACGTAGTTATTCATGTCTCAAGAAAACTTGAAATAAGTCGGAGCCCAAATATGAAGTTTCTCGTTTTATTTTTGTAAACGTCATTCTGTTCCCACCACCGTTACCAGAATGGAACAAATAAAATGCAACTATTGGTCTTTGTCTTTGACACTTTTGACAGTTGACTCATTCAACATCTGGAATTCGAGAATTCGACTTGGGTTTTAGGTTCTGGACATAGGTTTTGCTCGGGTTTTGGGTTCGTTTCTTCAGTAATTAATTGTAGATTGATTGATTGTTCGTCGATCTTGTGATTAGTGATGTGACAGGACATGAATTATATTATTTCATCATCTCATTATTACTTAGTGGAATTGAATTGTTAGATCTCTGCTAGAAATCACCCCCAACCTAAGTTTGTTTCATCAATATTATTATCTATATAATCCTGGGAGCATTTCGGAGCATTTTCATCAGGCAACATTTTCGTTAACCTTCACAAAATGAGAAATATCGTTAGTTTTCCTTCCAGGCTTCTTAGTTTTTATAGGAACTGTGAAAATCTCAGTTAAACATAGCATTTGGAGGAGAAAGTTGCAGGTGAGTTGAATGCATGTGGGATGTGTCATTATCAGTAGTAGGATAAGAGATGTATTGTAGGATAGTAGTAGGAGTAGGTTATGTGCATGTTGATAAGGTCATTTTATGCTATTTTGACCAGACCTCCAATTTTGAATCCAAGAAACCAACATTGGTCTACAGATAGAAGAGTCCACCGGAGTCCACAGACTAAATTCAGTAGACGCATTTTAGAAAACAGGAAAACAGTGAATTTTTTGTGCCTTGTTAAACTTGAAACATGAACAATTTAAATTTATTTTTAATCACCTGGACATGGTTACTAGAAAGTATAACTCAGAACAATGCACAGACAAATCACAGATTAATCTGTGGACAAACTTAGCAATAGGGCAATAGGTAAGGGAATAGGGAGGGGATAGATATATCCAAAACTGTTTGAAAATTGTTCAGGTACATTTCTATTCTTACCATGATTCTAATCACTTTAATATGTACTAAATATTCATATGACTTGTTTGTTTTTTTGTGTGTGTGTTTCCACATCAAGGATAAAATCTCGGAGGATGAATGGATAAAATCAATTAATTAATTTAATGTGTCATTTGGATTTTATCGCTACGCCACTGGCCACCGGCATAATCTCAATCTGATAATCCCCTGAATCGCTGAACAGTAAACACATGTCATGTACTCGCTCATAATAATACTTATTATTTTATGCAGAGTCACTGTCAATAAATAATGTGATAAAGATTGTTGAATGGCTCGAAATGGAATCTAAGGAATCCATTCATACAGGGCGATCTCATCATATAAACGAAATGACAATGTCGTAAACATATGAGAGGAAATAAGGCTTTTCCAAATAGTATTTTGTAAATAGGTATAAATTATAATATCAATCTGATAATCCCTTGAATCACTGAACAGTAAACACATGTCATGTATTTACATTTTACTGGCTCATAATAATAATACTTATAATTATAATAATTTTATGCAGAGTCACCGTCAATAAATAATCCGATAAAGATTGTTGAATGGTTTGAAACGGAATCGCCTCAGAATCGTCACTAGGAAATTTGTTCGTACAAGGTGATCATAAAAAAAAGTAGCTTGACAAAATTTTACAGGGGTGCCTATTTCGAGTTTTTGCCATTTCCCCTTATTTTCACGATTTTGTTGGTATTGCCCCGCATTTCCCAATATTTCCTGGTATTGCCTGGCATTTCCCTTTATTTCCCCGCATTTCCTGGTATTTTCCCGCATTTCCCGGCATCTCCCGGTATTTCCTGGATTTTTCCGCATTCCCCAGCATTGTCAGATATTCGCAGAGTTCCCTGCATTTATTGGTATTTTACAACCTTTTCCAATATTTACTGCACTTCCTGATATGGTCTGGTATTTCGTGGTAATAACTTTCATTTTCGGGAATTTGAATCTATTGTTATCTAATACCCCGTCTAATACCTAGGTAGGTATACCTACCGAGGTAGCACATCTATCTATCAGTATTATCAGGAAAGAAAAATAGAAAGTGATATGGGAAGCAACTAGAAGTTTCACGTTCACGTTTCTATAACAATATAATATAAAAATTATCCAACTTTCATAATAATATACATACTACTACTACATACTTTTCATGATCATCAAGTATAGCTGATTCTCTCGAAAACATCAGTATCGAGTTTTAACGTGAACAAATGTTTGTTAAAAATTGGATACGCTCTCATATTTATCTAGGTACTAGATATTTTTTCAAAAATTAAATAAATAAGAACAGCTAAATCTAGCGCCACTTACTAACCACCGTTAGGCGGCGCTGCTCCAAAATCCTACCATCCTACCTGCACCAGTCAATCTTTTGAGCTGGAATATTACTCTGCCCTTCAAAACATAAGACATCCTAACTTTCTGTTGAAGAAAAATTGTGGTTTTCATAGATATTTTTCGTAAATCTCAAGCCGCAAGACACAAACGCTTTGGTCGAAGTTATGCTACTAAAGTTGCGATCACGATTGATCATTTTAGTTCCAAACAAGCATCTATACTCTCTCTAATGATTCTTAGAGCACTTATGTCCCGAAATCAGAAACACTTTATATTCACAGAAGTGTATTTTTTACACAGTGCTTTCGTAAATTACTGAATTTATTTATTTTAAGCCAAAATATATGTTTCTGAAGCATCTCCTGGAACAAGTCGATGTTTAATCTCAATTTGCCACATTTATAACGAAATATTTTTTATTCAGGGTGATCCACGTTTGAGTATTGACGCCTGCGACAAGATTTTCAAAAGGAACACCTGGAATCTTCATTGAAAGCTGGATTCAAAAATATATCACAAATACGGTTTGTATACAGTGCGTCCGTTAAATTGATAGCTTTCTTAAAGTTGTGGATGAATTCTTGAAAGAATGAAGAAATAATTTTTGCGGAAAAAATGCTCAACGTCGTATTTTATTTTTATTCGTGCATCATTTTAAATAGAATTAATACATTCAGAATGATTCGTGTAGAAGAAATGACGTAATCGGTATTTTTTTGATGACTAGCTCATTTTTCAACAGCATTGAATTTAACGGATGCACTGTATATACAAACCCTACATGTGATATATTTTTGAATTCAGCATTTTACGGAGATTCCAAAAATTTGATAATATATCTAACAGTGTCATTACGTTATGTTTTGCTTCAAAAAAGATGAAGAATTAGAGTCACGTGACTTTCGCAACATGTCAAAAGTTAATTTTTTTTCAAATTAATCTCTGAAAATAGGCTTATTTGTTCGAATGTCAAACGTAGATCAACTGTATATCTAATGTTGTGTGAATTGATATCGATCATACAGGACGTCAGAGATTATTGTATAATCTCTGAGGACGTGCGAAAAGAAATTCTGAATTGAGAAAACCTAATCACGAATCTGCGATATAATTATGAACATAAAAGAATGTACATATATATATATATATAAAGAAGTACATTGACAATTCGTATTCTCTATGTGATGAAAATATCAATTGTTTCTCCGTTTAATCAACAGAAAACAACTACTTTCCTGGCTATATTCCACGACGAACATTGAATAACATCTATTGAACATACACGATAAGAATTTGAAAACAAAATCTTCTGAAGTAGAGAATTTGCATTCTCCTTCACATGAAGATATGCACATAATATCATTCTGAATATTCAACAGAAAACAACTACTTTCCTGGCTGAAAGAATAAGTGGACTTCAGGTTACTGATGAGGATTTGATATCCGAAATGAGTTTATTCGAGTAAAGTCATGTAACCTGTTTGTGAGAGATATAATTCCCATATCACTGATACGAATGATTTTTTTTTGTAAGTTCCAAGCTCATAAGATCAGAGTTTATACAAGTATACTTCTTCTATACATTTCAATTTTCATTTCAATACTGAACATATTGGTAAGTTATATTTTTATTATCATAATACATCATATTATTTTATCCGATTTGAGAGATGATGTCAATTCTGAATTTCAGAGGATTTTCATTTTTCATGCTCTCTTTTTGGATGTTCAACCTATATAATTCAATGTTCGACGTGGCGAATAGCCAGGAAAGTAGTTGTTGAATATTCAGGATGATATTATGTGCTTATCTTTATGTGAAGGAGAATGCAAATTCTCTACTTCAGAAGATTTTGTTTTCAAATTCTCATCGTGTATGTTCAATAGATGTAATTCAATGTTCGTCGTGGCATATAGCGAGGAAAGTAGTTGTTTTCTGTTGATTAAACGAAGAAAGAATTGATATTTTCATCACATAGAGAATGCGAATTCTCAATGTATATCTCGAGGTATTTCTTTATATACAGGGTGACATAGAAAAAAGTACATTGCATAGTGTCACACAATAGAGGACACTGAAATAAGGAAAAAAGTTCCTATGAACATGGGTCCGCAAGGCCTTCGGTTGAAAGATACGGGGTGTTGAATTTTAATGGAAAAATGTATTCAAGTACAAGGGCAACAATTTGAACATCTTCTAAAAACTTAATGTTTTTATATTTTTCATCATACCATTAAAATGTAATTGTTGAAGTATTTATCCGATATTTATCATTGTTTTTGCAAAAGTTACTTTGGCGCTTTTTGAATAATTTGCGTGCATTGTCGGCTTTTAGATGCATTTGTACTGGAACCACTGCTTCTAGCGACTTGGACAAGGTATACCTTTCTTAAGTATAAAAGAAGGGATAACAAATTTTTTCCGTCGAAAATGACATACAGTGTATAGCAAGAAATTTACGACCGATTCAATAGGGATGGAACCCTGTATATAGCACCCTCAGGAGAAGATTAAAACCAGTTTTAATCTTCTCCTGAAGATGCTAACATAGTTAGCGAAACACGTGTCGAGGCGTTAAAAAATCGGTTTGGTTAGTGGTAAAACAGTGTAGTGTATTATCGTGCCAAAGGTTCCAGTCTTCGATATATCAAGTTCTATTTAGTTCTACCGAAATCATGACTTGTCACAAACATCTCAATTGTAACGTGATCAAATAAATCTACTCTACTCTACTCTACTCTATACAGGGTGTATCTAAATAACACCGAAAAAATTCAAGGGGTGATTCCTCAGATCCTTCTGATATTCAAGGAAATAAAGTTCATATAAACATGTGAAAACGGGAGCAGATTCGTTTCTGAAACGTCTTGAACTCAAAAGGAGATAAAAATACAAAAAATCTATTTAAATCAACATTCCACCACCTCGACCAACATAAAACTGGAATTATCAGTATTATTACCTTTAATCACTTGAATACTGAATAATATTAAATGTTTTATTATTTACTATTTTTAGTACGTGCTATACCTAATTTATTCATTTTTAGTACCTTAGGTACTTGTTTTAAGTATTTTAAGTACTATTTACTGAATTTAAGTACCCAGATATTTAAATATGGTGTACACATTTTGGGTATAGTCGTTTCCCCCTCGGCATTTTATTCCCAGAAGTGAAGGTACAGAAGGAATTTTAAAAACTGAAATCCTTACTCAAAATCGAAGCTCATGTTCATTTTTTCCTACCAGAAGTATTAGATCAATTATTCGCACATACATCTAGCATTGAGGACGTTTTCTCTTTCATATAAACAGATGGTAGTAGATGAATCGACTAGAATATTATATATATGTGAGCGAACACCCTGTAGTTGTTGAATATTGTCATCTCGAAATATCAAGACATCGGCTATTGGAATTGTTGGGCAAGAAGAACCCTATTCGTATCACTCAGCACACGTGTGGCTAAGTGGTTTTATAATACCATGTTCGATATTATGAATATATGACTGTATGAGATTTTCGTGTGAAATGGGAATGAAAGGGAAGACACACTTGCTCTGGGGACTTGATACTGATCGTTAGAGCTATTGTTCACTTTACGATTCTTCTACAATAAATTAGTTTTTGAAGGAAAACTCGTGTTTTCTTACATATACATCAATACATCTCAAATGCCCGCTTTGTGAACTTCAGCATCATAGTCACGATGGAAACTTCTGATTTTTATTGACCTCTAATCGCAGATTCGTGATAGAGTCTCAATTCAGAATTTCTTTCCACGCCCTGTATGATGAATGTCAATAGTCCACTTATTTTGCAATATCTATTTCACTACTAAATGGGAACAAAATTCAAACTAACGTAACGACAAATTGGGGTAGTGAAACATACTTTATGGAACGAATATCTGCTGAAAAGCTCCCCAGACAAGAGTACACAAATAAACAGTCAAAAGTTGAATTTTCTTTGCTCAAATTACTAGCAAAAAATCTGAATAATACAGACAAGCATATGAACCATTTCAAATCAATCAGTCGCCTATAGCGGCCGATATTATCGATACACGCGGTATATAATATTATGCACTAAAGCGGGGGAGTTTATTTTTCAAAACAAGCGCAGCGAATGAAATTCACTTCTGGACATCGAAGCTACCTCACGCAAGTATTTATTTTATGAAAGTCACGATCACGGTATTATAATTGTCACCATTTTGACCATATTATTATTTTGACCAAGCTAGTAGGTTAGGTATTTCGATTAGATAAAGCACGGGTCTGATCGTTACGTTGCGTCTCAACGTCTCACCAAAATGTATCATTCCGTAGTGTAGATTCGCGTTTTTTGAGTACAGGTTGTGTTTACACATTACGCTTAATTTCTAGTCAATTTTTCGTAAGGAACATCTTGAAAAATCATGGTTTCTTCTTCTTCGTGTTCTTCTCATAGTGTTGCAGATAATTATGTTGGGTATGTATTATGTCGAGGTTATTTTTATAAGGGCAGGCATATTTGATGTTTGATGAGAGCAATTACATCAGGCGCGTATACTAGGGTGGGTAATGGGGTAGTTATTCCCCCAGCCTAAAAAACGAGGTGGCCATATTCCACATGTTCTTACGACAACAAAAAATCGATATAGTTACATACATAACATGGAAAGTGTTTTTTTTTTCAATTTATTAATGGGGCACAACTCTGCTACATCATCGCCTAATTTAGATCAACGTTATCTACTTATACATACTTGATTATCCTTTACCTATCTACTTCCAGTGGCGTAATGAAAGGGGGGTCCATGGTTTTTTTTTCTATTTCAATGTCTGTTTCCAATACTTTTTCTTTATTTTGTTATCGTTACCAAATGATGCACACATTAATTGAAACCAACGTAATTTACCTATTGCTTTTCTTTTCCCTAAATATTATATTTTCATATTATATTGGACCTAGACCCCCCAGAGATGAATCTTAATTACGCCACTGTCTACTTCACCTGGTACTTCACTAATAAAACATCCAATACATTATTTGATTGATTAAGGTGTTTCACCCTCGATTTCACCTCTTACAATCAATAAGTATTCATTATCTATTTCATCTAAATATGTTGTGTACCGATCATCAATAGTGTGGGTATACAGAGTGCACAAAAAACGACCAGTGGCGTGGCTAGCATACCAAATTGCTCATTGATTAACAAAACAAGTTTTGTTCAATCACTTCCGGTTTCACCAGAAACGAACCCAACTTTTGATTTTTAAATCGGATATCCTGTATTTTATTCGATACTAGGCTAGGGATCATTATGACGAATTCAACGATACCGGGTTTGATAGGGATATTTCAAATGATCACGAAGATAGATTTCTGTTTTGTCACACCCTATCTAACCCGGTATCCTTGAATTTGTTGGGATAATCACTATAAAATAAAATAAAGGGTGGCCCATTTGAAGATCCAAAGTTGGGGTCGTTTCCGGGAAAAAATGTTTCGTCGATTAATAAGCAATTTGGTATATTTGCGAGTATACTTGCTACCTTGCTTCACCCACCAATTTTTAAAATCATATCTCGAATGATTCAGAAGTTACAGTACTAGCCGTTTTTTGTTCACTTCTCTGTATAGCGTGTTTCTACTTGATTGGTCCTTTTCTGTAACTTCGATTTTGACTCCTATTTTGATATAAAAATTGATTAACTGATGATGTTCACCTTAGTAATCTCACTAAAAATGAAAAATACATTAAAAAGGAATATGTTACTGGAAGTTTCCAGTCTGACCTCTGAAAAGTTATCACCAAATTTGTACGGCAACATGGTTGTTTGAAACACTCGCAGGTCACTGATGAAGATCAAAAACATCTCAATACGTGACTTACAGTCACTCTTTTTATGAGCAACGAGACGATTTTGGATATAGGTAAGTTGGCCTAAATCAACTTGTTCTTATCCCAGGAGTCCGCAGCCGAGCCATGTCCCAACCTTTCACAGACACCCTGTATATCCAGGAAAAGTGTCATTTTATAACCTGCCAACAGAGATGAAATGTCAAACTTTTTTCACGTCACAGAAAAAATAAGTTAATTAACAGTATTGAATTTTGACATTCATCAATGATTATTCAGTGTAGAACATCCAAATGTACACACCCACAATAAGGAATTTCGATATCTTATCTAAACCAAATACTGTTATTGGGATACCTCAATTGATTGACAGTTGAATACTCCTTAAAAAAATTATCTGATTGAATTTTTGAACGCTTTTGAATGTCATTGTTTATCATATTGTTTATGAACGTTATCGTTTATCGTTCCAGTACATCTCAAACATTTCCCCTAACATCTAATCACAATGACTGATTGTTTTTATTGTTTTATGCTGTTGCTATGTGACTTGGTTTGGAATGGGCGTGTACACCTTAGTAGAACTTTTAACTCAAACCATGTTTATAATGATCCTTTTATACATAAATAATGATTGACGACATAATTCGATCGAAAAATTAACTGGAATGTTTCATTTTTGGACATAAAAACGGACCCGCTTATGACGTAGAAACCTCATCTCGCCATAGTTACAAAAAAATACCAAACGCCCGACGGAGACTGAGGCAACTGATATATTAATTCTTTCAATGGTGATCTCGCGCTGATTCACTCTGTCAGAAATCATGTATCGTTCATCTCTGTCTGGAATAGTCTTGTTTCAGTATCAGGGTTTTGACGTCACATCATCGCCTCGTTTTCAGAGGTCCGAAAAATCGGGGATTTCAATAATTCTTTATAAAACGTAGGGAGCTCACAGCAAGAAACGGTTTGCGGTGGTGAGCTAGTTTGGGTGAGTTCTATCGAATTAGGAATTACAATTTTTTTGTGATATAAGCTCATTCTCTGCCTAGAGAAGTAATTGCCATAAACTTATAACTTGTTATTACCTCCGAAAATACTTCAATACCTATCTTTTTCCTCTATCTACCCCAGAAAGAATATTACCAACCAAATGAGGAAGCCATATCTGCTCAAGAAATAATTGCTGAATTTGCTTTCAAGCCAAGGTACATGCTGGGCCAAATTGAACACTTTTGAAGGGAAAGTCTTATTCCCGTTCTAGATAGAAAAAACTGATGTTGGTGCCTGTTGATCAATTCATCTATCTTAGTTTCAGAGTTATAAGGTGTTTGAAACTTATTTTTCAGCCACTCAGTTTCAGCCACTCAGTTTCAGCCACTCAGGTGTGGCTGAAACTCATTTTTTCGTAAAGAATTCTTCGTTTTCATAAAAACATTTCCAAAGCATTGAAAAACGAGTTATATATTCTTGAACAAGATATAGGAAGGCCGATTTCAATGCCTCAGGAATGATTGTTTGTTGGATTTCAATAGAACTATCCAAAAAGTGAATTAAAGAAGTGACGCCACTGCTTGGTGTTATGAATATGAATTCTGTTTTGGATCCATATGCTAAACTGTTGGATGCTCACTCTTCAGATATCTATCAATAAAGCAAGTAGTTCGAACCGTCTGACGTTGTTTTTATTAAGTACCTACCAAAATGTCCCAATAACTGTGATATTGTTATCACAAACTCAATGCTTTTCAGTCATTTTCATGAGAACATACAATTTTTGCCAAAAATAATATTTGTAGCCACTTATGATAGATATCCATTTTCGACTAACACCTTGTAACTCCGACAGATATCGTTATGCGGTTTTCACCATTGAGTGTTGCATGATAATCGACCCTCAGGCACCTCTAAAAGTGACAAATTGGGCCCACCCTGTACATAGATTTTAGTCTTTTATACTGAAAATTATAGTAGTCATAAATGAAAATGTGTTTTGAAAAAAAAATCCCACCCTAAGGTACCCTGGGTACGCCATTGAATAATAAATATTATATTAAAACAATAATAAGGTTCAAGTTCATGAATTAGAATGATTATCAATAATTATAAGTATGGTAGGTAAGTATGTACCTACTTATCTGATTGTAGTATGTAAAATTTATTTCAGAGGAAGGTTCATCATTTTTGCAAAAACATAATTTTGCAGCACGTATTTCTCATTTATCATTATTGAGGAGTTTGACCTCGAAATTTCTTGTAAAATTTCGAGATTGCTACATGACTGATGATATCTGTATACGCGTCTGAATTACATTGACGTGGTTTTTGATTGAAATTGAATATTTACCTACGTCAAGATCAATCATTTTAGGATGAAATAATATCTTGACAAGCTAATCCTAGTGTAAATCTATCTAACTGATAAAATGTAACATGTTCCATTTCGTTCAATCCAAATGATAAAAATAATCAATACGAGGAAAAGAAGGCACTCAAGCACATTTCTCGACCAGGGGCTTTATCAACATTTATCTGATATGGAAACAAAATTTTATAAAGGTCCGTTGTTTAGAAGACAATGTGCTGAAATTAAATTGTTGCAAAATGATTGACACAAGTACAAGTACGAGTAGCCACTAAATTGAAAGTACAGTTCTGTGCATAAACCTCGGCATAAACAAGTCGTACAGTAGTTATAGGCTATTGTGAGTCAGGCTTGTCAATCTTGATTAATCTTCTTATCGACTATGACAAGTAGTGTCAAAATTCAAACTATTTTTGTCAGTGCGTGTACTACTTTTTAATGAAATCTGGAATATTATAGGCAGGTTTAGTTATCCAGTCACTTTACTTGGTTTTTTGGGATTTTCTCTCCTCGTTTCTATAAAATAAAAATATGCGTATTATTTCAATATACCGGGTGTAGCACTAAGAAAGGACGCCGGCTGTATCTCGGAAACTATTTGCCGCACAGGTTTCGGAAAAAAATATTTATGATAAAAGTGGCCAAGAAAAATCTCTGGAAACTATTTTCAAGTTTCCAGGACAGCCCCTAGAGGGCGTAATTGCATTGGCCAGTTAAATAAACGGGTTTTTATGTAAATTTGATATATCAAGACATACCAAAAACACTTTCTTCATGTTCTCGAGTTGATTTCCAATCATTTCGATCGAAAAAAATTGCGCTAGCTCTTTAAATAAAAGAGGGAGGAAAGGGTGAATAGTACTCTGGAAAAACTCTTATCAAAGGAATCGTGGAGAAGAGGAAAAACCATGGACATATCTCTGTTTATACGTCCATGGACCTATCAAATATGGTATTCTCAGAACCACCTTGGTGACCCCTATCTACCATTGAAATATTTCCCTTTACCTGTGAAACACCCTGTATTTGGGAAAAAACAAAAAAAATATATCTTATCCTAAAGAAGTATACTTCTGAGTATATACGCCATTGGATAATAATAATAAAACAATAAGGTTCAAGTACATTTATTAGAATAATTATCATCACCTGATTGAAGTATGTCATATCAATTTTGGCGAAAGCTTTATCATTTTCGCAAAAACATGATTTTAAATATTTTTGATAAATATGAATAATAAATTCTAGGTTTTCGAATATCCTGTTTTTTACCGACTGTGGATTACCTACTTATTATTATTTCTATAATATAGGTTCCTTATATTATTTCGAAAATAAATTTGGAATTTTTTTTTCGTTAATTTTGTGGAAATTTGTTTATGTTTCAGGTATACTATGGATGGAGATGACGACTTTTCCCCAAATAACTGTCACAGTTCCAGATCTAATCATAATAAAACGCCAAATGGAAATCACACTGACTTTGGAGATTTCCATTTCACGATTCTGGACTATCTGAAGGATGCCATGAAGGTTTGCACTTACAGATTAACATATAATGACGTAACCATATTTTTTCTAAATTGTGGTGTTACCTTTCAAAGTGTTCATAAATATGCCTTAACACAATAATTTTAACGTTACCAATTATTTCACACTAGTGCAGAATTTCTTGCACATCTTACTTCACTGCATCTTATGAATTAATAGTGAAGAACACATTGAGCCCTCGAAAATTTGACAAATTATTCTGTCAAACGAACAAATCTATCGATAGTTCACCTAATTTGACTCTAATGAAGTTGAAATTTGAAGACTTATTTTTTTGTATTGAATTACGAGTACAATAAAAATGCTTCAAGATCTCGTTCGAAATAGAGTTGGTTATTCAAAAAAACAATAATGAAACATCTGTCAACGCACTCGTGAAATGTAGATCATTTATTGATTTTTTCCCGCTCCCTTCCGATATCAAAACATCTCTGCTGAACTTGCAGTTTTCCTTTCCATATTATAGGCCAAGGACGAGAAGTTTCAATCACCCTGTACATTCAAATCGAATCAAATCTGAAACACTCTGAATAATAATGTCTGTTGCAGGCTATGGACATGATGCAGAGCCACCAGATGCTCACCGACGTCGTACTAGAAGTGGGCAAGGAGCAGTTCCACGCGCACAAGGTGGTTCTCGCCGCAGCCAGTCCCTACTTCAAGGCCATGTTCACGGGCGGGCTCAGAGAATGCGACATGCGCAGGATCAAGTTGCAGGGCGTCAGTGCGACTGCGATGGCTAGATTGATAAGGTTTATGTACTCAGGGAACATCGATGTGGACGAGCACGTCGTTTGTCAGTTGCTGCCAGCTGCCACCATGTTGCAGGTACCTACATACATCAATCAAGCAATCAATTAGTCTATGCTTTATTGTCCAAGAATGTTGTTCTATTTGACAAATGGAGTGGGAGGATCCATTTTGTCAAAAAAGGAAGAATTTATCTCAGTACAAAATGAGATTAGTGTAACCTAAAACTAAATAAACTAACAATAGACACCGCGATTAATTATCAAAAACCTTACGCCAACAATCCTAAACGACAAATACGGTTGAATGAATGAAATCGAGAATGGTGGGGATAACCTCAGACTTAATAACGATAGACACCGCGATCAATTCATAAATCAATGAGAAGTATGTGCCAACAAACCTGAACGCCAAACACAGATAAATGAATGAAATCCCGAATGGTGGGGATAACTTCTTCAAGGCCATGTTCACGAGCAGGCTCAGAGAATGCGACATGCGCAGGATCAAGTTACTGGGCGTCTGCGTGACCGCGATGTCTAGATTGGTAAGGACATTGATGTGGACGAGCACGTCGTTTGTCAGTTGCTGCCAGCCGCCACCATGTTGCAGGTACCTACATCAATCAAGCAATCATTTAGTCTATGCTTTATTGTCCAAGACTATTGTTCTATTTGACAAATGGAGTGGGAGGATCCATTTTGTCAAAGAAGGAAGAATTTATCTCAGTACAAAATGATATTAGTGTAACCTAAAACTAAATAACAATAGACAGCGCGATTCATTAATAAATCATCGAAAACCTTACGCCAACAATCCTAAACGACAAATACTGTTGAATGAATGAAATTGAGAATGGTGGGGATAACCTCAGACTTAATGACGATAGACACCGCGATTAATAAATAAATCATTGAAAAGTATACGCCAACAAACCTGAACACCCACCACAGATAAATGAATGAAATCCCGAATGGTGGGGATAACTTCTTCAAGGCCATGTTCACGGGCGGGCTCAAAGAATACGACATACGCAGGATCAAGGTGCAGGGCGTCAGTACGACGGCCATAGCCAGGCTGATCCGGTTCATATGTACTCGGGGATGTCGACGAGCACGTTGTTAATTGTCAGTTTCTTTTCGCCACCACCATGTTACAGGTACCTACATCAATCAAACTGTGCTTCATTGTCCAAGATTATTGTTTTCTTTGACAAAGCTTACATAACATGGAGTGGAAGGATCCATTTTGTCAAAGAATGAAGAATATTTTTCAATACAAAATGAGAAGTGTAACCTCATACTTAATAACTTCAGTTATACACCGCAAATCATTTATAAATATTCAAGAAGTATACGCCAATAATCCTAAACGATAAACACGGAGAAATTAATGAAATCGCGAATGGTGGGGATAACTGCGGAATCATCGCCAGATAATTGATATTCTTTATAGATATATTTAATCTGATAAATCGAGATTTCCATGAATGTGTGTATTTCAATTTCATTATAATGAACTTATTTCAGCAAGAATACAAGGCAAAATATCGATGAAGTTCATCATTCACAGTACTTCATCTTTCCTTATTGTAATGCTGTAATAGAAAGAATTATTTTTGAACCATATTTTTCAATAGATTGCTGCCATATATGTGAGACGTAAGCGAGCAGGTCACCAGTTGATCTCTGATGACGGAAGCCATATTGCCTATCGTTGATAATACCTGAATGTTCCAGGTATTTCATGAGCTCGATGTTGATAGCTTTCTCCATGATCTTTGAAATAATAGATAGCAGTGCGATCGGTCTGTAGTTGCTAGGTAGGGTCTTTTTGCCTTTTTTAGGAACTGTTTGTACTCTTGCAATTTTCCAGTTGGACGGGAATATCCCCAATCTGTAAGTGTTAGTTCGGGAGCACATTTCTTGAGAACAATCGGTGGGATTCCGTCGGAGCCACAAGCTTTGTTGGTGTTGAGACCCAATAAAATCTTCCTTATGGTACGTTGGCGAAAGGTGATCTCGAGCATATGACTGTCAATTGGCGTTATGTTTGGAGGTTGTTTTCCCGATGAATCCAGAGTGGATTTCCAGCAAAATGAATACGCAAAAATGTTGGATTTCTCCTGGGCAGGTGTGGCTAGTGTTCCATCTTCCTTGGTTAGCGGAGGAAACAAACTGGAAGTTTCTTCCTACAGCTTTGGCGAAGGACCAAAATGAACGGGATTCGTTAGGACATTCAACAAGTTTTGATCTTATTTTGGCATTATGAGCATCCTTTGATGATCGGATTGTCTCATTGCATATGCCTCTAGCCTCGACATATTCTGCTCTAGTCTCAGGGCCTGGATTTTTTTGCCATCGATGGAATGCTGCCTGTTTGGAAGCGACAGCTCTAGAGAGAAGTTTTCTATGTTCCAGGTCGTGCACGTGATAAAGGCCTGCTGCGACTTCCTGGAGCGCCAACTGGACCCCAGCAACGCCATCGGCATAGCCAACTTCGCCGAGCAGCACGGATGCGCTGAACTATGTAAGAAAGCCAATCAGTATATCGAACGACATTTCAGCCAGGTTGACGCGTCGATCTCGGACGATGTTCGGCTTGCTCGATCGTTTCCATTTTGCAGATCAGCCAGGAGGAGGAGTTCCTGCAGCTGGGCACCTGCCAGCTGGTTAATCTCATAAAAAAGGACGAGCTCAATGTGCCCGATGAGAAGGACGTTTACAACGCCGTGTTGAGGTGGGTGAGGTATGACGAGGAGAACAGGCATCAGAAAATGGAGCCTATTTTGACAGCGGTGCGGTGCCAGTTTTTGCCGCCCAAGTTTTTGAACGACCAAATGACTAACTGCGAAGTTATAAATAAAACTCCCGCCTGTAAGGCGTATTTGGCTAGGATTTTTAAGGTGAGTGATACCTATTTATAGTCCGACTACTAAAAGAGGTCCGGCGATATCTATCTAAAATGTCCTGAAACTTTAATATCTTGTGTGCTGGCCATCGGAAGTGCAGTTAGTTGGTTTTTCAATTTTTGATTGGATTTATCTAGCTCTAGTTGTGTCAGATATACAGGGGGTCCCTCCGGGAACTGCATCGATCAATATATAGAAAACCATAGGTGGGCCGAATATGAAAATTTGGGAGTTCACTATTGTTGATAAGTGCTGTCCGGCTAAAATATGTGCCACTTTCGGTGGTACCGGAAGTGGACCCCAACTTCGTTATTTTGAATGGGACACCCTGTATATTATCAAGGTTATAGATTTTAAGCATAAACATGTTTCATGTATAATATCATATACCCAAATCTAACCGTTCTCGAAATATTTCAAATTTTAAGTTGAAAATTGCGTTTGCAGACCGAAAAATATTTTTTTTCTGAACACGGTCATTTATTTTCGATTGTGTATCGATTTATTCATAGGAGAGGACCCAGTTCAGTAGAATTCCGTAGAAACTGAAAAGTTAGAGCATTTAATGTCGTAGTTTGTAGTATATGTTAACAGATTCATGGGCAACATTCTGATTATCGACATAAATCGTAAAAGTAGTCCGCAAACAGCTGCGTTATAGCCTCACCATCGCTAGCAAGTTTGTTTTTCAAAATCATATTTTTGGGAAAACTGTAAGCTGAGTTTTTATTATTTACAAATTTCCAGAAGGAACTAGGATCGTTTTATAAGTTGTTTTCAATTTTATTCAAGTATCTTGAAATATTCGCCTAATAAACAGAGGTTTCGTGTATCGAACTAGATTCTCGCCAAAGCTCATGTTTCCATGTTTCATTTTCATATTTATGTCGGAAAAAAATTATTGTAACAAATATTTTTTTTATTCAAGGATCTAACGTTACATATCAAGATGGTAGCGAAAGAAAGGTGTCCGAACATTCCACGTGTCATATACATTGCCGGTGGTTATTACAGACAATCACTGGATGTTTTAGAAGGCTACAATGTAGATGACAAAACTTGGTCCAAATTGGATAGACTCACAGTGCCTAGGTCAGGCTTAGGTGGAGCATTCTTAAAAGTAGGTACCTAGTCAATAATCAGAAGTAATCAGTATAGGGATTCCCTTCTGTGCGCTCCAAGATATCAGAAAAAACTTGAATGTAAATGACATGTCCCAATTTTTCCTGAAACTTGAAGTTGGACTAGATAATTTTTGATGTTCAAATGAACTGCAACAGGCAATTTTTTGCACTGAATTCTGTTTTTGATATTTTCGTGATCATTGTAAATATTCAGATGTGGTTTTGTTCTTTTCTAGAATGAATTTATCATGACTAATTGATCGCTGATAAAAGGGAGGTGATTCTACAGAGTGATGAAGAAACCTCTGTATAATATTGAAACCTTATGCTCCTGATTTGATGGACATTTTTTCGATTTTTCCAAATTTTTATAATGCTTGAGCTCAACAGGATGTTTCTCAATATCTGAATAGATAAGATATTCACAGTAAAATGACTAGAAAGACAGAAATTTACTTGAAAATTAATCATGAAAATCATCCATATCTCAAAGTCCAATGCAATTTCAAAAGGAAAAGAAAAAGAAGTAACAATAAAGTGTGGTCGACCGACTTTGTGTTACTTCTTTTTCTTTTACTTGAAAATGTCAAATGTACCTACTATAATGCAAGTCACATTTTCCATGTCAACTAGATATTATGGCAAAACTGTGTTCTCGAATAATATCATTAATTTTCTCGGACAATGCAACGGTTTTTATTTCCTAAAAAACTGGAAATTCTTATCATTGAACGGGAAATATAAAAATTATTTCTATTTGAGGAATATCCATTGGACCATTGGCGAACCATTTTTGTCTACACATTCGCTTTTTTCTTCCCTTATTTCAACTAATTTTCTGTGAGAAAATCAAGGTGAAGAATCGATTGGTTTTCATTTTATAAAGTTCGAATTGATCGGTTCCCTTTTCACAACTTTTTCAAATCATATTTCCCTTATATTTTCAATATATTTTTAGGGTAATTTCTATGCAGTCGGTGGTAGGAATAATTCTCCAGGAAATAGTTATGACTCGGATTGGGTGGATAGGTATAACCCGTACAAGGACCTTTGGCGACCTTGCAACCCCATGTCCGTGCCTAGGAATAGGGTGGGGGTGGCAGTTATGGACGGCCTCCTATACGCGGTAGGGGGCAGTGAGGGGTCCAAATATCTCAGCAGTGTGGAATGGTAAGAAGGATCACTTTTTGATTTTATATTCGAAGTTGATAAAAATTTATAAGCAAATCAAATTGTTGACTGCAAACTACAATTTTATTCGAATTGCCACTATCAGTTGACATGTTGTCTAATGGACACACCCTGTATTCTTTGTGTCAGTGGGAGGTGGTAGTTAGGGCTTTTCAAGAACACTATGTACTTGGTATATAGTAGAGTCACTGGATGGTATTAGTAGATAAGAGTTCGGACACAGCTGAACTTCTGTCCTTTATGGTTTGAGTGAATAAAAGAATGGGACATATATTCTTTTCAATTTCCCTAATAGGTCGCGTGCACGATGACCGACCCTGGAGGTTAAATATTGAAACACAGCCTCACTCATCTGTGAATCATTGAAACACAACCCCACTTTTTTTATTTGTTGACAGAGGAATCAAAGGATTGAAATAGTTTTTCACAATATTTTGGCATACGAATAGTGTTCTTTTCGCTACTCATCAATTCAAGCATGCCTTCGCATTGTGCTGTTGTACTAGGTGATTCAATAACGGTGACGAGGTACAGTATCTCAGGAACTAATAGTTTATTAAACACGCCTCCTAGTGAGGGCGGTAAGAACCAGAATGATATGTATGGATCTTTATTTTATTCACCAAACCTTCCTTCCTCGAATCATACCTTTTGTTTTATTAGTTCCTGAGATACAGCTGAGTATGGGACTGCTTAGAAACCCTAAATGCACTGGGCAGTCAGAACAGATTGACTCTAGCATGGGTACCAGCACATACAGGGTACGAGGGCAATGAAGAGGCAGACTCACTTGCCCGAGCAGGAGCAAACAAAGCTCTTAATGGCCCAGAACCCTTCTGTGGTATTGCGAAAGCTATACAAAAGACTAGCATCAAATCATGGATGCAAACTAAATCTCAAGAATGTTGGAACAACTCGCCAGGAATGAGACAGGCAAAAGAGTTTATTAAAAAACCATCGCCAACATTCACAGAATATCTACTAAGCCAGAAACGAAGTTCAACTAGAATACTAGTGGGACTTCTCACAGGGCATTGTAGGCTCAACAAACACATGAGTACGATAGGTCTGACTGAAGAACTGCTGTGCACGTTCTGTCAAGAAGAGGAAGAAACAGCAGTACACATACTTTGCCACTGTGAGGGCTTGTCAAGACTAAGGTTCCTTACGCTGGGTGAGGAAAAACCAGGAGCCCAGAGATACACAGGAGATCTGAAAGCTAGCCTATGGAGTCTCATAGAGAAGGCGGGGCTAGCCGAAGAACTCTAATCCATTTTGAGGGCAGGCACAATAGATCTGAAAAGGTCGCAGTGTGGAGGCAGATAGCCCGAATGCCCCATTCCAAATCTCTAATCTACAGCTTCTCGGTTACCATTATTGAATCACCTGGTACAATTCACAAAAAATGAAGTGAGAGACGTAGGAATATGATTTTCCAGGTAGATAGTAATCTCACAAAGTTTTCATTATGAAATTTTGTCATTCCTTATTAAAATTTTTACTGCCACTTCAGCAATACAAGCTAATACTGCTAATTGATTGAAAATGTCTACAACACACACGATCATATTTCGTCAGCATGCCAGACCAGTTCTCCCGTTTGATTGCATGAATCTTCTTGCATTATTTTAGAAATTTCACGAGTATTTCTATTAGGTCCTATTGCAGAAGGAATTCCGATGGGAAATCAGAGAAATTACCAAATTTCAAATATGAAAACTATAAGCATGTGAGTGACTATAGTAGGTACTTACTTTTTAATGATAATGTACCAACCGGATTTCTTCGTCTTCCACTGCAGTTTTTGTGCATTGTACAACAGCACAATGTGATGACATGCCAAACTAATTGTAACAAACTATTTCAATCACTTGTAAACAAATTAAAAAAGTGAAGTTGTGTTTCAATGTTGTGCCTCCAGGGTCGATCATCTGACAGTTCTTGCACGCAACCCATAGCGCCTGATTGTTAGATACGATTTTACATATTTTGTAAAATCAATCATAGCCGCAGATGGAAAATAGAAATAGGGTATAAACACACACTTCACAGAACAATAGTTTTAAAAATGAAAAGAATGTAAGATTTTAATATGACAAAATAGACACATATGGATATACTTATAGCTCTAGTTCGGTCGATATTGAGAACGCCATTCAATTATATATCACCGTGCAATTTACTTGAATTTCCTCAGTTTCGTTCTCAAACTTTCAATTTCATTATGTAGTTTCGCGATCAATTCTTCTCTCTCCATGATAATTTTGTTTAGCATGTCGTGTGATGATAATAATAGATTCTTTAGGAATAGTCTGTTTTGTAAATGTAATGTATGTACCTCACAAATTTTGCTTGTCTTTTTTTTTCACTGACTTGAAGAATACAGAACTTTTCAACTGGAAGAAAATGACAATAATTGATTATGCTATTTCAAAACTAATCACTAAAAACGCTTGTTTTGTAGATAATTTATTTATTTATTTATTTATTTAAAAAATCATCTATTTCGTTCAGAAATGATAAATTTTTCAAGTTGGTATTTGAATTTTATTGTATTTCTGCAATTTTTTATATTATCTGGTAATTTGTTAAATTCCAAGAGAGCAGCGTGGGTGAATCTTTTTTGGCCTATAGAAGAATTAGCCATATCAAGATGAAATAAACCATGTTGTCTAGTTTGGTAATTATGAATTTCATTGTTTCGTGTTGAAATAAAATTTGATTTCAATCTTTTATAATAATGGTCACACGTCCGTAACTACGCATCTCGTTTACGAAAATTGAAAATGTACACTCGTCAAATTAATTGATGAAATTATGATTTTCTTTTTACTACAAAGTTCAAATTCGAGATATTCCACAGTTAAAAAGATTTCACAAACACAGTCGCTTCTTCAAGTCAAATACTCGTTCAATGAATTAATGTAACACTTTTGTGGAAATCCTAACTTTTATAAAGTTTTTCACATTCACTATGTATTCTCATTACGGCCTATATTATTCTGACTCAAAGCTGAATAAAATAATTTGGCATTATTGAATATCTTGAAGCACTGTTTTCAAGAGCTAGATCTCCCAACTGAAAGATCTAGGATGAACTTACCTACTCAAATTGTTAGCAATAACGATATATTCCTGTTTCGGCTCACCAGACCCATCAGTCGCACTCGGTCTTGCTGCCAATTTCATTTTTTCAGTTATGACCCGGAAGCGGATCGATGGACCTTGGTGAAACCGATGCATTTCAAGAGACTGGCCGTAGGGGTCGCAGTTGTGAACAGGCTCTTGTACGCTATTGGCGGTTACGACGGAATCGAAAGGCACAGCAGCGCCGAATGTTACCATCCAGAGAATAACGAGTGGACTATGATTTCGTCCATGAAAGTAGCGAGGAGTGGTGCAGGTATGATGTAAATCTGCTAGGCATATGTTCCTTTTAAATTGTTTGATGTTTGATATTGACTTTGAAATTTAAAAGTGTTTTTCTAGTATTTATTCAGATATTGATCTCAAATTGTGAGCAGAATGAATCAAAGAGCAAATTGACAAAATAAGGAACATTTTACACACTTAAGAGGAATGCACAGTGCACCCGACTCGTAGAACAGCAGTAACCTCAAAATTTCTAGCAAAATAGTAGGCGGACCTTTGTATGTGCAAGAGAAATAAGTAAAGACTAACGCATCGAACGGCTTCTCTCAATTCCTTGACGATATCCACTACTTACAGACGGGCGGGCATGTCGCCGAGCAATCTTTGCGTTCACTTCTCCCCTTCCGTTCATTGCCCAGGGTCGGAGCACAGAATGGAGCGTCGGTGGTTTTATGTAAAATTTTGTATAGTCTATTTGTAATAATCGGTAATGATATGAAATTTTACTGGGTTCGTTAAAAATATCATCATGAAAAAACACATTTGATGTAACTTGTGTATATTGTATATTTATTGCCGTGGTAAATTTCGGATTTCCAATCTTCTTGGGTATCTGGGATCTATTATTTCCGGCAAGAGACAACACATATAAAAAGTTTCTAATTTGGGTTTCATTTGATCTTTCCAAAATGTGTCGTCCCGAACAATCTAGAAAAAAATGCCCATCAATATTGTTTCGTAAGATATAAAACAGGATTCAATCACAACCTGCCCATCTCCTAATTCGAATATCGAAGTATAACCAGAAATTATTTGAATAATGAGAATGAATTAATTTATGCTAAAGGCAAACAAAATATATATGGAAACCAATTTTTTCGTTTTGTTTTCACATATTTTGAGATCTCAATCTCAGAACCTACCATTTCAACTAAAATGCCTAACGGAGTCCAAACAACAAAATAACACAAGGAGCGCTGAGTTATGTGTAGCTGCCCTTGAACCTGATAATAATAATTATGATTATGCTTCAGCTGCATGTGTGTATTCTCATCCAGAGTACAAAATTGAATTATTTTTTTCTCAATAGCTTCAATGGGATGCATCTTTGAGGCAGTTTTGGGGCACTTCACCTCTACAATTGCGTTATCTCCTATCAACCCATCAGGACTGGCTCCAAAAATAAAATCGTGTTCATCAACGAACATTCCGCAAGTTTCAACCTGTAACACAAAAAGATTAATGATCAATTAGCGAAGTTACTAGAGTATTACCTTGACATTAAAATCATTCTCCAATTGTCGAATTGCGAATGGTTCATGCTCGGTTCCGTATTTGGTGTTAATGTTCCCACCAAAGGTAGAATAAAGCAGGTTTTTTACTTTATTGGCACACGATGTTGTTTTTCGCATCTTGCAAATGTCACCAAAATTTGATGCTGTTAACCGTATACTTCTTTCCTGTTGCCATAAAGGATTACCAGATTGACCTCTCGTATTTTGTTCAATAATTTTAATCTCTTCAGGAGTTTTTTTCAATGAATTTAAAAATTCTTCTTTTTTCCGTTCGAATTGATCTGTAGGTAGATCAGGATCAGGAACAGCATCTGGGCCATAATCCTTATCTGGCAGGGCATGTTTTTTCATTGATTTTGGTGGGAGGTCTTTATTCTTCCGCCTTATGATTTTCTGAAGTTCACGTCTCCTTTTCATTTTTTCTATGAATTTCTTGGTATAAAACGGAACTCGGCGTTTATTAACAACATCATAATATTCCCCAGCAGAATTGAATGATATTGCAGCAGCTTTACAACGTGTTGCATATGATCTTTTACGAGAGAAATTTATCCTTTTACCGCCAACAAACTTGCAAATTATGCTGTTGTATTGTTCAGCGATATTGGTATCCATGTCCAATATCAAACTGGATGCATTGAAAACTAATCGGTTGATACATACTTCAATATCATCCAGTAAACCACATGCTCTCATGCTGGGGATATGATCAACTTCATCTACCTTTGGAGAACAGTTGAAATATGCTATCTCCAGGCATTTTTCATGCTGTCCGAATACATGTGATGGAGCATTCTTGAGGTCTTTCTTGAGGTTTTCAATTTTTTGGGCGAATGAAGTTTCTTCTCGAATTCTGAACATCGTAGCAGATTTAATTGAGGTGCGTAGTCTGCGGGCATTGCTTTCGACAAGTTTTCTTAGGCCTGGAGGTACCGGCAGATTTTTTGAATTACTTCGCTTTCTCTCTGGAGATTGAAATCCATCATTAGCTCCTTATCATCAAAGAATATACTAACATCAAGAAATACATCAGATAAGGTGGAATCATATCATAAGTAGGTAGGTATTACAGGTAATTAGATGTGTAGGACCTACCACAAATTTCTCGGATCTTCTTTGAAAAATTCCTCATCATGTGATTGCGACACTCAATTTTTTGAATAAAAAGGGTTCCATAAGGTCGAGCTTCCAGAAGTTTTTGATGAACACTACTATCACCATCTCCAATTAACTTATGGAATATCAAACCATGCATTTCAATGCTCCGTTTGAAACCCTCAACTATGATATCGGATTCCATACTTGTTGACGAGTCACTCCAATTCTTGTAACATGTGTGTTCAGATAAAGGAACATCTACTTTGACTGTGGAACGCGAGCACACAGTACAATACTTATTTCTTACACCCAGAAATAAAATTTTTTTCGTTCTAGCTCCAATTATACAGGCCTGTGAAAAAAGAGCACAATCATAATAGTATATCATTCGAAAATTATATTATGTTAGCTATATCATTCACGCGAATGAAGTTCACTACACGAGCCGAAGGCAAGTTTTGTTCTATAGTTCATGCGAGTGAATAATAGCCATGATATGCAAGTAGAATACTATACTTTGTCCTCGACTGTCCATTTCGCTACTAAAATGCCTGATCTTTGCTATACTACAATGAGTCAAAAATGTTGATGTTTCTATAACGTACGGAATTGACATTTCATAGAATGCACTTTTTCCTATCACATTTATGTTTTCTTGTATAAGCGTGATGCTAATCAGAAAAATTCGAGGTGTCACTTTGACAGACCAGTGAATAATAAACTCATTAATCAATAGTGAATAATGGATATCGTAATGCTTGAGGAAATAACTCATGTATTATAAATATTTTATACAACATGTCGTGTACAAAATATTTTATCCCCTCAGCAGCTCTTGACTACCTACCACTCCTGAAGAAGCATTATAATTCACGGAGTATGATCTTTTACTCCAAGCCCCATCAGCTATAACGGCAATCATTGGCATACCACTCCCATCCACCTCTCCTGATTCACGAGCTATTCGAGCCTCTTCTTGGCCTGCTTCCTCCATGGCCTTCCAAGCAGTCTCTTCAATAATATCAGCAACATTTTCATGGTGTTGTTGATAGGTAGAGTTACTCATAAATGGGACATTCAAAACAGAGAGTATTTCATTTAATGTAGAGTAGCCACTACCAGTTGAAACTGTGGCCAACGCTAAAATGCTATTGATGTCCATTTCATTGTCGGTTTCTTCTATAAGATTAATGCTTTTTTCAATATTGCACATTTTGCAAATGAAAAAAATTTTTGTTTTCAAACCCATTCTAATTTCGCGTACTGGATACATATCACTGAATGTACAATCGAATGGTGGGTGCTTGGATATTTCTGCTATCTGCTTCAATAAATATCCAATATCTGCCAAACGTCGCCCGTGTATAGATATGCCTCTGAAAGGGTCACTGAAAATAATGCAGATGTAATGTAAGTACAAGCAAGATCAGAACGAATATATTTGTACCACTGAGGAATATCATCAGTTGTTTCCAGATTCTCAACTGGTGAAACTTGGGAAGATTCATTTATCCTACACATTGGACGTACATCATCACTGAAAAATAAATATTTTGTTGAATCAACGTCTAGTTCGAATTTTAGCATATTCGGAAAGAAGTATTACTCAACATAGGATTTTGGTGATTTGAATATGCATAAGAATCATCACATGAAGTTTGAAAATCATTGGCAAAGTTCAAATTTTGGAGCACTTTATTTTTATTATCTCAAATTAGAGCCCCTGTATATTTTCATGTAATTCATTGCATACATGGAAAACACACATTTCTCTAATTATAATCCTGTCGCAATTCCTAACGCTTTCAGATTTAGGGATCTGCAAAAACCCGTTTTATCAGTTATTCCAATACTATGACTTACCTCTTCAGTAATGATTTCTTTTGGGCTCTTCTACGGCTACGTCTTTTCTTACTTGCAAATAATCTTTTTCCCTCCGCAGCGCCTTTTATTTCGCTCACTTTTCCCATGATAACAAAAACACTAACTCGAAAAAGTACGAACTCACACTGGGCACCTGAGCGAATTAAAACTAGTCTAGTTAAAAATCCGTGCGCCCTTGGGTCGCCTGCAGATTGGCTAGCGGCTGCCTTTGCGAAAGAGCGACATGAATTCGCGTGATCAGAGGGCGCCACGAATCGGTTGCCGTAAAGGCATTTTCTATTTTTCTTCTCACAGGTTCAATTTTCAATCTTCCGAAATAAAATTGATACCTGATTTCAAAAAACTTACATCCACTTGAGGGAAACCCCCATTTGTTATGATTACAAAGAAATTAAGTGTACAAATTTTTTTTTCTGTCGAAAATTTCATAAATAAATACTTTCCCTTATGTAGAATATTTTATTGAAGCGATTGGTACAAACTGCATGAAAATCGGATCATTCGTTAAGAAACTAGAAGAAAATTCGTTTCAAGTGGGCATGGATTCCTCTTAACTTGCTGTTTTTCAGTACATGTTCCAGTGACTTTATAGCTAATTGTGTTGAGATAATCATTTCAGATTAATGTATTGGATTCTGGGAATGTTCCAAAATGCATGATTTTCACGAAGAATAACCTGCAAGTCAGTGACTACTGATTTCCCCTTATTTTAATCATTTTGCAATCATTTTCTGTTTCGTTCTGCCCAAAAATTCACGAATTGACGTCCTTTTCATCACTTCTTGTACAGGGTGATTGTTTATATTTTACTCAATAGCTGTCTCAGTTAATATTGGTCCTACATAAACGTTCAAATGGGCAAAAGTGAAGTATTTTCATGGACATTATGAAACAAGTACGAGAAAATGCAAAAAAGCATCATAATCAAAAAAAAAAAATAAACTGGTATTTTTTAAATAGAACATCCTTTTTATCAAATTATTATTGTATTTTGTTAAGTTTTAAACATCCTTTATACATGCTGTTTCCCGGTGTACACAAAATGGTTGATAAGCACTTTTTGTTAATATAAAAACTTGTCAGAATAAAAGTCAATCAAGTTGAGACGAAAATTATTGATAAAATACAGAAAGAGTATTTTACATGGTCCTTCGAGGATGTTATCAAGTTATTATTGTATTTTGTTAATTGTTAAACATCCTTCACACATGATGTTCCTCGGTCTACAGAAAATAGTTGATAAGCACTTTTTGTAAATATAAAAACTTGTCAGAATAAAAGTCAATCAAATGAAAACGAAAATTATTGGTAAAATACAGAAAGAGTATTTTACAATCCTGTATTTAATTTTCGCGAACGGTAGAGCTCTTTCTTCTGATTTCAAATATATATACTTGATTGAGGTTATTTCTTGTCAGTTTTCGAAAAACATAGATTTCTTGGTATAAATTTAAGGCAGGTGTTGATCGCCAGACAACAATGCTACGATTTCTAGCGTTCTGCAGCTGCCTCAGAACCTATATTTTTCGAAAACTGATAAAGATAACCTCAATAAAGCATATATATTTGAAATCAGGAGAATATAAAATTAAAAAATACCAGTTTATGTCTAATTTTTTGGTTTACGATGCTTTTTTGCATTTTCTAGTAGTAGATTCTGAATGTCGATAAAAATTATATACCAACTGAGATAGCTATTGAGTATAATATAAACAATCACCCTGTACAATTTGGAAAACAATTTCAGGGGTAGTAGCCATCAACCAATATATTTTCGTTATTGGAGGATACGATGGCAAGAGGCAACTGAATCTAGTGGAAAGATATGATACTGAACTTGACGTTTGGGAGTTTGTAAGTCCCATGAAGATATGCAGGAGTGCTTTAAGCGTAACTGTTTTGGATTGCAAGATTTACGCCATGGGTGAGTGCTTCAAACTTTGTAATTTTGTGAATTCGTCACCTTTTCCAGATGTATTTCAAAGAGCGTTAGGAAATTTCATAACGTTTTCACGAATACAATACTACAAATGATCATGTACCGCATCATAAGTAAAAGCTGCGATATCGACACTGTTCCCAACTCGGTTCTCGATAAACACGAAATATTTAATGCCAAACGGGAAATAGCAGTTTCCTACTTTTCCACTCCCTTTTTAATACAGTGCAAGCAATAACGTTTTATCACAGCACTGTTGATTTTCCAATTCCTACTCAAATTCAAATAACATCAAAAATACAACCAGTTTCCTGCTCTCATTCAAGTATAGATAATGTTCGTACACAATATCGTTGTTAATATTACTTCAACTTTCAACAGCTTCTGTCACAATCTTCATAGGACAGGATCATGGACAATTTATAGGTTAGGAATAAAAAATGAAGAACTTAGTTGTCTTCCCGGTACAAAAAATTGAATTAATTAGGACAATTTTCAATGGGCAGACAATGTTATACCTAAAATTGTTCTAAACTTGTTCTAAAATTGTCCTATCCGTCATTTGGTTGCCCCCTTACGAGCAACCCTCAGAAGTCTTCGAGAGTCTTGTGCGAGCAAGGAATGACGGGGGCCTTACCTTTTAACGTGTGATCCCAAACACTTTCTTGGGCCATCAGAAAATTTTCTGCCGTCGATGGGAATCGAACCCACGACCGGCAAGCGAATGCGGATTAGAATATATAGACACTCTGTCCGCACGGCTACCTGGCCCCTCCTACCTACATGCCTACTTCTATCTATTCTCACAAGGTATGATTGTTAGATCTACCTATACACCTTTGCACTTGAGCCACTAGATGGCTATGAAGTCTAGATCGTCCTTCTGCCCCCTCAGGGCTTCGACTTGTATAATATATGGAGGTACCCTTCGTGAATCGATTATCAGCTGGCCAGTGCAACTGATGAGACTTATGGCAAGTTGAAACAGTCTGTCTTGCATCAGCTGACAATCGATTCACGAAATTTCCCTAGAATCTCTTAGTCTTGAGATTCTAGGTTTATCACCCTGTATATGTATATATCCATTTTTTTATCTTCATAATTATATCTGAGAATATTCCTTTTCAATAATATAAGCGTGTTATATAAACACCTCCTATTTTGTTGAAAAGGAATATTCTCAGATAAATTATGAACATACAAAAATGGATATATATATATATATGTATAAAGCAATACATTGAGAATTCGCATTCTCTATGTGATGAGAATATTCACTCTTTTTCAGTTTATACAATAGAAAACAACTACTTTCCTGGCTATATGCCACGACGAACATTGAATTATATTATATCAAACTTGAACGATGGAAACTTGTGATTTTTATAGACCTCTAATCGCAGATTCGTGATAGTCTCAATTCAGAATTTCTTTCCACGCCCTGTATGATGAATGTCAATTTATCATACACCCAAAAGCACCTCCTATTTTCCTTTGCAGGAGGCTTTGACGGCACGAACTTCCTGACCGACGTCGAGATATACAATCCTGCCAAGGACACCTGGGAGGCGGGCGTGCCGCTCACCTCCGGCCGGTCGGGACACGCCAGCGCGGTGTGCTACCATCCCACCACCCCGGACAAGGCGTGCCCGGTGCTGGGGAAGCCTCTGCTCCTACCGGAGTCTTCCACCACCAAGGGGTGATTGTGTCATTGGCCGGGCCGGGTTCGGTTGGTTTTTGTGTGGGACTTTCGATGTTTGGGTCGAGGCCGGTAGTCCAATCAAATGGTATTTTGTGGTTTCATATGTTTTTGGAGGTGCTGAATTCGAATCTGAATTTTGCAAACAAAATCTCCTGGAGCGTTCCGAGATATTCGCAAGAAACAGCAAAATTCTCGGACTTTTTTCGGTGTTTTTGCCCGTAACTCGGAAATTATACGTTATATCGAAAAGACCGCCCTATAGAAAGTTGAACTAGATAATATTTCCTAAATGAGGTATTGAAAATAACTACACAAATAAAGTATCTTGGTTTGTGAATTGTTGAAAAATTGAAATGAGACAAGGATATAGAGGTTCTGATACAAAAAATATCTCCAATCATTGAAGCTTTGCGAAAATGTCCTAAACTTGACAAAGAAGTCATAAACATAGTACTTCATTCTCATATACTCAATCGTATTACCTATATGATAAACGTTTGTGGATCTTGTTAAAAAAATTATTTCAGTAAAATATCTGCACTTGATAAGAAATCACTGAAAGTATTGTATCGTCTCTCATTTGATATCCCAACAAATGATCTGTATGCGATAACAGAAAAATTTTCATTGGATGAATTATATAAAATAGATTTTCTCAAAGTTTCATATAATATAATAAACAATAATCTGAAATCCAATTCTGTTTTGATAAGAAACATTATACCTAAATAACTACGTTTGCATATTCCTTTTCAATACTTTCATACCCATTCTAAGTGGTTCAAACTTGAATGATGGAACTTTGTTATTGTTACAGACCTTTAATCACAGAATCATGATTGGGTTTTTTCTCAATTCAGAATTTCTTTCCACGCCCTGTATGATGAATATCAATTTGTCTTACATCTAAATAAAAAAGAATTTCATTTGAAAAAAATACTAAAAGTAATCCTGATTGGCGATGAATCAAAATTTACATAATGTTTCATCAAAAACTAATCAAAAGGCTTGGTTTAATTGCTATTTTATCAGGTTTAGTGGGCGAAAATCGATCAATGACGTTACAGTGTCGCTATGACTATTTTAAAAAAATTGTCTTTCATGCCGCCTTTTTGAGAACAAATTTCCACTTGTGATATGTAATTGAAAAGGGAATTTTTCATCGAAATTCTCGACTTAGTAGTACAACCGGAAGTTGGGTTTTAAGGAACTATATCTTCCATCCAAATGTCTGAAGTCTTACGTGAAAAAAACCATATCTAGCCAATGATTTTGTTGTCACCCTATACCGGATGACACAGGGTATCCCTGTAACTTCTGCATTCGTAAACTGATTTTTCTGAAATTTGATACAGTTATACATGTTGACTGGCATTTTTCCAGTTGTGTTAATTCCAATGGGACTATTTATGCATTAACCATTGCGGTATATTGGTCAACAAGTAGGTAGCGCTTACATTTACATATTGTGGTGGTATATGTCGCCAGTTTGACACCATACTTGGAAATTGTGTAATTCTTCTTCATAAGCCGTGTGGGCAAATTTCCTTAGTCATTCTCAAAATAGGAAATTCAGAATTTCGATAGAGGAACAATTTCAAATTATATCATATGATTTCAAATTATTGGTCTATCAAAATTCTATTATATCACTGGAATAATGTTAATTTGAATAATTTTTCTACTATCTCTCAGAGGGAATAAACATTCAAATGTTATTTCATTGTTACCAACTATACTTACTTCATCTTTCTAATATCTGATGTTTTTATTGATGATTTTTTTTTTAAATAAAAGGGTGCAAATGAATGCAAAATAGAACTCCAAACAACGCGTGCGACAAAAAAGTGTCTTATAAAACTATCTATCAGTTGTTGATTCAAAAAAAAAAAAAAAATTTAATTTAAATTTTTTGAAAAAATTACATTTGCCATAAAGATTGCGCTTGTTTTGTCCTGTTGAACTTAGATATGTAGAAAAAATCTAGTGAGCTGGAGTATCTGGCCTGCTCAAACAAGGAAAATCACCTACAGGGTTCTGTGGTCGATACAGTGGTACCGCCATACGGTCAACTCGAGGAAACACTTATTTCAATTGTTTTCCTGTCAAACCGACATAACCTTGAAAATCGTAAATGAGTTGAGCCTCCCTCAGCGGTGGCGGTAGTTGTAGTAGTAGTATCGATTATTAGCTTTTGATCAGGGCTCTCATTTTCTTACTTGTAATGATTCTGTCACACTCAATATAGAATGTATCCACTTATGTTGCAAAGGAATATCACTTGGAAATCCATGAATGGAGACGGTTTCACACTTTCTGGTAGGCGCAATGAGAGGAGACAGAGTTTGTTACAAATTATTAACAGAATAAACTATTATAACACTGGGAGCACAACACAAAACTATATCTATGAACGGAAGGAATATTAGAACAATGAGAATTGAAAAAAATTATATTTTAGAAAAAAAAAATACAGAACAAGTCACGATGGCACGACAGCTCTTGACACTGACACCTTACATAACCACAAATTTCGAAAATTTCCTAGAAAAAAGTGAAGATCATTTCGTCCGATACGGTAACATCCTCTAGTGGTCATACACTCAACTGAGCTATAGGGAAGACCAGTAGTTCCAGGCTCACTAGATTTTTTCTCCATATTTAGCAGACAATGTATGTATGTATGTATTATACAGGGTGTTTTTTTTGAAAAAACAAAGTTGCTGGCATTTCCAGAAATACCGGAAATCCGCCATTTTGGATTGACATAAAACCAAATCCGAAATAGTCGCTTTTATTACTGTACCAAATATCAGAAAAATCTCTTTACGAATGCAAAAGTTAAAGAGGTGGCCAGATACCCTGTGTCACCTGGTATACAATTATTACTGGGAAAATAATCGATCCTTTGAAATTTTTAAAAAGTTATTTCAATTATAAATTTGTTAATTCGAGTCCTATCCGATTGTTCTATTCATAGGAGTTTGGAATTTCAAGAGAACTAGGCATGTGTCCATGGAGTGAACTGGAGGGTAATTTATTTAATTATGTATGTATGATGTTCTTTTTCCCTTCCGTTTGCTCCGACAGATAACAAAAATACAGATACGTTTATGGGCATTTCAGAAAGCTATTTTTTATATTTTGACATACAATCAAATTACAAGCAATTGCATTGAAAATTTCATGAATGCCTATAATGCTTAATGATAATGATTCAGATAAAAGTAAACAAATTAGAGAAGTGGAAGAATTTCAAGAACAAGTTATAAAAAGCTATTTAAATATAAAAATAAAAAACTGAAACAAAAATCAATGGTCAACAGTAAATCTACATGTACTAAATATAGTATCTAGACTCTTGAGAGAACTGGCTATATGGAGTAGAGATATTCCGATTGATATACAGTTTTTAAGAAGAAACCTCTTTACAATTATCTTGAATTTTTTTAATTCCAATGATTCATTTCAACTATCAAGAACATTATGTGAATTGAGATTTGAAGAATTCTGGTGGCTAACAAGTATTTGATATTGAACATTCAACAAGTCTGTAGATCTCCAGTAAAACATAATACCAAATTGAATTTTTGACATTGATCTGTATACAGGGTGATTCAAAATTCGATGTATATACAGGGTGGCCCACGGTCGATGGTACCTTAGACGTATACGGAAAACGGTACATTGGATTATCCTGAAAATTTGGTTACTCTAACGATTCAAAATATTTTCAGCGAAGCAGCATTGCCACTTTTACCTAAAAGTAGCATCATCTTTGATATTTCAAATGGAACACCCTGTATTTCATTGCGTTTTTAGATTCTTCTCGAAGAGCTGATTTCATCAATGTATCACACTTGGGGTCTAGCAGGAATTATTACAGAGTAATAGGATGTTCAAAATCGAGATTTTTCAATTTCAGGAATTTTTTGTGTCGAAACTATTCATTATCGATCAAAACGGCTTACATGTCCCTATCTTAACTTTTGATTCACTATCTACTGACATTTAATTGGAACAGATAAAGGGTGATCAAAATTCTGAATCTTGGACCATCCTGTATTTTTTCCAATTAAATGTCGGTAGATAGTTAATCAAAAGTTAATATAGGGACATGTAAGCCATTTTGACCAATGATGAATAGTTTCGACACAAAAAAATCCCAAAGTTGAAAAATCTCGATTTTGAACACCCTATATCTCTGTAATAATTCCTGCTAGACCCCAAGTGTGATGCATTGATGAAATCAGCTCTTCGAGAAGAATCTAAAAACGCAATAAAATACAGGGTGTTCCATTTGAAATAACAAAGATGATGCTACTTTTTGGTAAAAGTGGCAACGCTGCATCGCTGAAAATATTTTGAATCGTTAGATCACAAACGCTTATTAGAGTAACCAAATTTTCAGGATAATCCAATGTACCGTTTTCCGTATACGTCTAAGGTACCATCGACCGTGGGCCACCCTGTATTTGTGTCCTAAAATCCATTCCATTTGGGCCAATAAAAGTGTGAACCCCATCTCCAACTCCCCCAAAACTAGGTTTACATCATTTTTGAAGCAAGAAAAATAAAATGTCTGAAAGGACAGGGGTATGCCAGTTTTCAGAAAATTTGATCTGTTATTTTAATCACAATTTCAGATAATCTTTCTTTATATACCTAACTTACAATAGCTGTATCTGAAAGGGGGTGAATTTTAGGACACATACATAAATGTATGTGGTATGAAGGTAAATATATTAGAAAACTGCTGAAAATTTGATTTATGAGACTTGTTAACGTTGTGATGATTAGATCTGCTTTTTTTTATTTAAGTCGCTATTAAAATGATATGGATATCTTAAGAACCAGAATTTCCCTAATATTGACAGATATGTTCCAGAAAGAAGGTTTGAAATATCAACTTGGGTCAGGTTAGTCATAAATTCACACTATAAAATATATAATCAAATTGAACTTGAATTTACGAAAATTATGGATGAACAAAACTTAGTGGATCGATTATTTTGTCAGTGAGTTTATGTGAAGGAATGATGAATTTTGTGATATAGAAAAATTATTACATTTCCACCAATTTTTTGTGAGTATTGGAGAGTGGTTGGTGATTGAATTGTGAGTTAGTATGATGGTGATATGAAATTGATATTTGAAGGATTTGATATTTGTATGAAAATATTTTTACTTGTGTTAGAGATGTATATCATAGCATTAGTAATTTCTAATTTATATGGTAATGTATATTTTATATCGAATTTGTACAAAAAAGAAAAATAATTGATGATAAAAGGCTTTCCTGTTGACTTGCTTTATTAATATCAAAAATAAAAATACCACTGAAAAACTAAACCCAGGAACAACTTTAATTTAGAAATTTGCATTTGCCATTCGGGTTGATGAGCCTTATAATTTTCATTCAAAAACAATTGAATATAAACACTTCCGTTTTTTCGGGAAGCATATATTTTTCATATAGCTGGAATTTCTATATTTAATATGGTACCTCTGATTCAATAGAGGCATATCTATTTTAAATTGGGAATAGTATCTTCCAGTTTCGTTTTTCTAAAATAAATATTTTGTTTGATATTTTTATGTAGGCAATAAGAATCCTTTCAATATAATAGAGACAATTGGAGTAAAATTCAAAACTGAGTGAACCATAATACTTTTAATAGAAACATTAACCATTTTTGATAACCTACCATTTCCATTGGTATCAGATAGTAGTTCAATATTTAATATTTGAAAAATGGATGAAGTTGATGAAACACTGTTAATCATGATAAGGCAGCCATCAGATGAAAAAATACAGCAAAATGTCTACTATTTCTTTATTCAAAAGTTTTCTTCAGCTTGAAAATGTATTTGATGTTTTTCAAAATATTTATTGGAACATTAGATTGATAAACAGTGGGAATAAAATATAATCCAATTTATAACAAATTAAATAACAATTTTCCATTCATTTCCTATTGAAATTGAATGGTAGCTACCTTAAATGTTTAATAGGTATAGTGTATAGTTATTAGTATCACAGTTAGTATCTATCTAGAATGTTGTCCTTGTTTTCTATTTTAATTTCATCTGTAGGGATCTCAGATAATTCCAATTTAGTATCTGACAATTCTATTTCATTTTCTGTTTTGACATCTGAAGAAGCTACCATCTTTGATTTTTCAGACCTCTTTTTTGTTCTTCCTTTCTGAGAACTAGGAATAAAAAAATTAGAAATTACAGGTCACTTTATCACAATCTGAGAATAATTGAAAATGTCTTGGACAAGGCAAATATTATCCAAATATGTGAAATTCTCACATGTTTATTGTCCTAGAGATGAGGATAGTGGGTAGAGAATCTTTTTTCAATGTAGATTTTTGGAAAGTCCTATCAAAAGCATCTTCCTTAAAATGTTGAGAGCATACGTGTGCCCTTCTGGGTAGATTTTCTTCAATGATATTGAAAAATTCTAGCCAAGTCTTCTTCAAATCTGGATTTGATGGTAGTCTGGGAAGAATAGAATAATAGAAATTATCACTCATGTTTGAAAAACACCATTGAGGGTTGGTATTGTTACCGATGAAAAGAAATTCCCTTTGCAACGTGAGACACCCGACAGCTCACACAGCTAACCATTGTTTTAATGAGAATAGAAGCTAAAATAATCTGAAAAATTATAATGATAATGGTAAACAAGAGAACTGAACAAAATAAAAATCAAGATTCAAGAAGTGAGGTTATCTTCTTAATCTTCTTCAATGAACGACAAATCGACAAACCTTTGCATGTGTGGACATATCCTTATCTACTTATACTCTTGAAATTCTTTTGAACTACAGAATATTTGACCTATTATGTAAATAAGTAGTTTACGTAAAAGTAAAAGTTAATACTTCCTGTTTATTTGGACGAGTAGACAAAATTCTAGGCCTAGCCGTAGGCTAGTCCATAGACTACCAATATTGGTAGTCTATGGGCTAGTGCAGAAAAACTGATTTCGGACGTGTTGCGTATTACGTATGCTAATTTTTCGGCAAACATGTAGGATAACAATAAATCAATACATGAGGCACACTTGGCACACTACATTTCCATATATTTCTATGTAGAATAAAATTTCGAACATTATAATTCTGATTTTTGTATCAAATACTAAAATTCGAACAGAGAATACCTATATAGGTACAGCTGCATTGGAAATTCCGTAAGGCACATTTTCAAACTCACTATGTCGCTGTTGCTTTAGATAGTTTATTGCGAAAATAAATTTTGATAACTGCATTCAGTGCAATTATCAATCACTATCACAACACGATCGACTTTGAACTTCAAATTATTTTTCGCCGAATATCCCTAGGACATTGACAAATGCCTCATAATTTTATGACGAATTTCTCAAGGTCTTAGTCGCTTGGTAACAGCTAAGATGGCTACAAGGGACAGTAACAGCGTAACAGCCCTCAGCCTTCGGCTTCGAACTGTTTTACCAAGGAACGGGGCTTTCGATTGTCATAAAATTATCTCGTCTATTACATATCAATCTCCTAGGGATATTACTACTGATAATTGCATCCAAGAACCATGCAAAAATAGCTGTCAGTCGTTATTTCGCTGCTGTGGTATAATGATAATCATGCATCTGCATTTATCTTAACATCTACCAAAATTTTCATAGTTGAACGAGTTGAAATGACAAGAACAATGTGATAGGTACAGTCGTATTCAATAAAAAAGCGTACAAGTAATAAAAAGAGAGGATTTCGGGATCCTCTAGTTCTAGTTGTGTAAAACTGGCGCGGCCAATGCTCTATATGTTTTCGAGAACCTATATGACAGCTTTACTGTCAACATTTGGTGAGCAATATCATTCCATAATATATACTTTGTACTCTTTTCTCAAAGAAAAAGCATCCGGGAAGTGGGTACTTCCCAGACGGTTGTCGAAAAAAAATTTTCCGTGTGCTACACAAATATTTCGTATTTCATAATAATTATTTTTCTTCTGTCAACTCATGCGATTCTTGCTGAATTACATCTGAAAAAATTCCAATATGGTTATTTTTGTATCTAGAGCGCGAAATGCTACTTTGGTGATCGAGATCTGACCAAAGTATATTTCGCGCTCCAGTTGCAAAACAACATTTTTTCGACAAACGTCAAAAAATATAGTTCCAAAGTAAAAATATGCTTAGCTTGATATAAAAAATAGTGTTGAACTGGCTTAAAAGGCCTCCTCCTATCCTCCCTATAGGTATGCACGATGTTTTACGAGCATAATAGGAATTTCCTTTCGTGCGCTCCAAGAGATAAAACAAAGTTATTGTTGAACATTCAGGAATAAATGATCTCGTGGATATTTGCTCGATTGAGGACCATAAAGTTGAAATATAAATATCTCATATATTTTACATAACAATGCGCGAAAGTAGGTACTTCACGCACTGTTTCACTTCGCGCATTGTTTTGTGCAATTTGTTATCAATGCGCGAACCTTGTCATTTTTTGACGTTTTTAGAAAAATGTAATAATAATAATTCCATCTACAAAACATATTCATTCCTCTTCAGACTCTTTATTATTATTATTATTGTTATGCGACATTATATAAAATATGTATGGTAGATTCATGTTTTTGTTGGTGTATTAATCCAAGTTATGGAAGATTTCTGTCTAATTTTATCATTTCGATGTTTTTCTTTACTCATTATTTTTCTCAAACTACTCAGTTGGGAACTTTTCTTCTTGATATCATTGATTTTTTCTTCAGCATCATTTTTCACGGAAACTGATTGGTGTTTTGTATCTTTCAACTGTAAGATGAAAATTATATTTTTATCAACTTCATCATTATAGGGATATAAATGAAAATAATCACCATTTCTTCTTCGCTCAGAGTCTTCAAAGTGGGCAATGGTATGTTATACTTTTCCTTGCAATAATTTTCGAAATCTATAGTCAGTTGATTTTTGATATCTTTGCGAATTTTCAAGTAAATTTTCAATTCCGCCTGACTCTTCAGGACAGTCTCTTGCTGATCCGTAAGTGATTGCTGGCTTCTCTCCATATTTTCTTGACAAATGGTTTCAGCTTCGGTCAGAATTGCCTCTGTCAGTTCAGTTTCTTTATTTTTGGAGCAAACGTTAAATTTCCTCATAATTTCTCCCTAAAAAAATATGTAACACTGACAAAAGGTGAACAAAACAAATCAATTGGATAGGAATAAAAAGTGATATGCATTAGTGGAAAAATCATGAAAACCTATCAGTTTCTTCACCTCGGTTATCTCGAATTTCATGTTTTCTAGCTCCTCCTTAATATTCTGCAGCCTCTTAAGTTCCTCCAAATACTCGCTGTATTCATCAATGATCCTTCCTTCATTAGCCCTATTGAAAGAATAATATTTTCAACTTTTGAAATTATGGAGATATCGCTTGAGACTCCTCGTACTAAATTGTTATTGTGAAGCTGAGAAGGATTCCTGATTACAAACCTATACATTATTTTTACCATGATATATTATTGATTGATGTTTATGGAAGGATACATATACAGAGAAGTGCACGAAAAACGTCCAGTGCTGTAACTTCTGTTTCATTCCGTATCAGATTTTGGAAGTTGGTGGGTAGCAAGTATACCAAATTGTCTTCTCTGTATGAAAATGTATAAAAAAAGTTATTCATTAAACAAGGGAAAAAAGCAGTAGATTTTAGCTCCAGGTTGTGTTGTCCCCGGACGCTAGAATGTGATTTTCTGGGGTAAGTTTCTAATGAAACACAACTGCATAAATAAGATAATAATTTTCATTTCACATCTTTCGTCATGTTCTGTTTCCGAATGATGCTTTTATCAAGATGGTCTCTCATTTTGAAATGGGTACCTTCATTTTAACAAAAAAATAATAATTTTGGCATCACCACTCAAATCAAAACTCTCAGCTCATTTGTTCAAATTTTTGAGATCGTTTTATTCCATTTTTAAAAAAATTCCATGCTTATGTGGTTGAAATATGTCCAGCTCATTGCATTTTGTTGAAAATTTCAATTTAGACTTGAGTAAGCCACTTTCATATTCAATGATTTGTCCAAAAAATTAGTATATTCTTTAACGATCACGGAATGGGCTTATATCACAAAAAAAATTTATTCCATAATTCGATAGAACTCACACAAACTAGCTCACCACAGCAAACCGTTTATCGCTGTAAGCTCCCTACGTTTTATAAAAAATTATTGAAATCCCCGATTTTTCGGACCTCTGAAAACGAGGCGATGATGTGACGTCAAAACCCTAATACTGAAACAGAACTATTCCAGACAGAGATGAATGATATACATGATTTCTGGCAGAGTGAATTAGCGCGAGATCACAGTTGAAAGAATTAATAAATCAGTTGCCTCAGTCTCCGTCCGGCGTTTGGTATTTTCTTTCAACTATGGCGAGATGAGGTTTCTACGTCATAAGAGGGTCCGTTTTCAGATGGCACTATTATTTATGTTCAAAAATTGAACATTCCAGTAGATTTTTCGATCGAATTATGTCGTCAATCATTATTTATGTATGAAAGGATCATTATAAACATGGTTTGAGTTAAAAGTTCTACCAAGGTGTACACGCCCATTATAGTGATTTCCCACGAGAATGAAGTTTGCAGCATGAGCCGTACGGACACTAGACAAGCAGTGACAATCAAACATAACCACAAACGATTTTGAAGCAAATCATATGTTTTGCCAGACAAGGACAAGAATATGTTTTCCGCTTAGATAAAGGATCCTCGCATCTTCCTTCCTCCACAAGTCCTGGAAAGAGTACATCCATATATCTTTCTCTGTCTTTGATTTCTGTATGAGAGTGCATAGCGTTTACTCGAGTGGGTAAACGAGTACGATAAATTGATTAGAAAATTATTTCTTCTCGAAATATTGAATGATATTGCTGAAAGATCTCAATGGAGGTCGATATCGAGTTGGTATGTACATATATACCAACGAAATACATATACTATTCCCATGGAATAAGTCTCTCATATGTAGGTATAAATATACGTTCAGTTGAATATTTTTTCATCACAAAAGTTCAGAATGGGGTGAAAACTGATGAATTTCAACCAATGAAACATACTTTTATTTCGTATGGAACAATATCACTTGTACAAGAGTGGTAGGTGATAAGTAATTGATAAATAAACAAATGATATGGCAACAATAACAGCTGATTTCAGTTAGGATAAATAATAAAGGTTCTCCAAGACATTCGGAAGTACGTATAAATGTACTTCAGCGCTCGACTCACTATAGATCGCCGTTCACATTGCTAAAGTGGATTGTTGGTTTGAACCCGGCCATCGGAAGATCATTTTCGATACCTAACATAAATGGTGCACTCATTAAGCGTTCTTGTTCTGTGCTCTGATAATATCTTGCTCGTAGCTTGGTACCCAAGAAGTGGTTCAAAATCCACTAGGAGCTATGTAGTAGTCTAGCACTTCTCAACTACGCATGTACATGCACATTCAGACTTATTTTCCAAGTCTCTATTTTTTTATTCTATTTGTTTTCTGAATTCCTCACTCTCTTCCACTCGTAAACCTTGGATTTTTCAATATTCCTGCTCTGAAAATTCGATTATCGTGCCTTTTTCTTTAAAAATATGTTCGAAATGAATTTCATTATCTGCAAATTTTTCGTTTCTTGTTGGTTCTAAATTGGAATAAGGTTTTTTTCGATACTCGCTCAGTTTATAAATTGTGGGTTCGGCCCTTTCTCTCAATACGATTCTATTCTTCCCTTCTGAAATGTACCTGATTAAAATGCTTTGAAAAATTTTCTATATCCTACCAAGTAATTCGAATACCTCGCAAATTTTGTGGCCTGTGGTATATTCCATGCCGCCCGCATCATATTCTGTTTCCATTTTTGTAGAATTACGTTATCCAATAGAAATTCGTATAGAGTGAATTGATTTCCCGTGTTACCACAGTTGGAAACTACACAAACTCGCATCTTTCTCCTAATTCTCTCAATTTGTCAAACCTTTGAAATTTATGTCATGTACGTCAGTGTACTGTCAGTTCCCGCTTTTTCCATCAATTTATTTGTGGTTATGTCTGATTGTCAGTGCTTGTGATACTGTCCGTACTCTGATATACAAAAAACGTCAAAACAGCAGTGTCAAGTACATTTAGGAACTCTAGGGTAGAACGGAGACACAAACAGTAGATCTACTGTTACAACAGTAGGTCTGGCAACGCCGGTCGGTTCACCGCCCACTACGCACCTGTACTCCTCCAGCGTGTTCTTGTACGCCTGCTCGTTCTGGTACGCCGCCCACGCCTCCTGGTTCTCGGGCACCGCATCGGGCACCAGCACCACCGTCTCGTGGACGCTCTTCTCGGACAAGATGGCCGCGCCCATGCTGTTGGTGGACTTGCGCTTGCCGATGGCAGACACGCGCTTGTGGAAACCGCCCACGGCAGAGGGCGGTCGCGAAGGTCGCTCCGCCGATTTGGGCAGGTGGCCCGTCGATCGCAAGCGTTTTTGGATGTTGGTCAGCGAGCCGGATGCTACGGAAGTGCTCATTGTGGTGACTTTTTCGAAATTGTTTACATTTTGTCCCGATCCAACATCGTTTTCAGCAGAAAACATTAATAATATAATATACATTTTTTATCTATATATATTTATTCTGTATGTTTGTTCCTTATTGGAATATGTGAATTCTGCTATTGAAATAATTTAAATTTTCCTAATTTCATCATTACATAAAATTATAGTCTATTATGGAAATAAGTCTGGTAACGCCAGACTCTGACGTAAACAGCTCGATTCGCGTCGATCGATCGTCTCGAATGTGCGCTCGAATTCTCTTGTTGTTTATTCATCAAAATAATTGGCGGAGAAATTACTGTTTTGTGAAATATTTCGTGTTGTGATAGGCGAAATAACAATGCCTTACAAGTGTTGTGTTCCCTTTTGTCGGGGGAATTATGTGGGTGGTCCAAACGTTCATGCTTTTAGTTTCCCGTTGGACAAGGAACTATCGAAAAAGTGGGTACATGCAATTCACCGCAAGGATTTTACGACTCCATCTAAGTACAGTAAAGTATGTGAATTACATTTTACTAAAGATGATATTATTACTTCATCTACTGCAACCGATTCAAAAACTGGCAAAACTGTAACAATAGATTTGAAAAACGAGATGTTATTCCCACTCAATTTCCCAACTGTCCATCTCATTTATCGAAAGATGTAAAATTACGCACAAGCCGTGATGAAAAACTTGAGGTACTCTAGAGACTAAAAATTTGGCACAAGCACTTACCAAAAGTAAAACTGAATTCGAAAATTACCAAAAATCATTTTGCTACACAGAATTTCAAGAATTTCTAGTTGTATTAGAGTCTTTTCAGTTGCCCGAAAAGTGGTTCAAAATTATCGATTTGCAAAAAGTCACATTATTCAAATTGTCTTATTCTCCAGTGCCCGTAATTACATATTCGGTTGTGATTGATTTTGTTTTGAATGTGGAATCGTTTTTGTATGACCTAGCGATACAAACATATCTAAAAGCCAATCTGAAAACACCTTTTATCTCTAATAATATCAATCAAATCAAGGAATTACTAATTGAAATAGATAAAAACGAGATACATAATTCGGGAAAATGTCTTGATAATCAGAAAAAGAGGGTTTTGAAACATATTTCGAATGCATTGGACTCTTTGGTTTCTGACTCAATACATTCTCAAATTTCTTTCTGAAAACGGTCATTTGCCTCGTGGCAATGAATGCAGAATTCATTCCAATGATCAAATTGCAACTATTATATTAACATGTACTACAAACACTCTACTTAAAAATTACTGTTTCAAGTCCAACGACCAATTGGGTAAAAAATCCAACAACAGGAAATTGAAAACACTCACTGGCTAATTTTTCAGGTAATAGGAATTCTCCAAGATAAATATAGGTAATTAGGTATAACAAACGGCATGTCTATCAAACGAAAATACATTTTCCCCAATTTTCTTTCGATCAATCTCATGATAAGTTTATGTTCTGCGGGCCCTGTATAAGTAGGTGTGGAGTTTACCTCTAATGAGATTGAATCACTACAATTTTTGCCAATATATTTAATTCGAATGGGTTGCTGTAGGTGGGTATTTGTGTTTTATTCTGGTTTTTGCTTTGAAACTTCGTTTTTCCATAATAAAATCTAAAATCGAATGGGATGCGAAGAAGGGCTCAGTTGACGGCTGGCATCCTCTTTCAACCGGAAGCCCTTCAAAAAAAAGCAAAATCGGCTCAATAATGATCTAAAACTAAAATCGAAATACGCGGTCGCCTTATAGCGCTATAAGCGCTTGTCGTTTCGAGCCGCTGGTTAGGCCTGACTAAGTGACGTCACCCACGGACGGTTAACTACGAGTTACCACCATGCTCTTAACTGATATGTTCATAATTCCTCTTAACACAGAAGCCAAACTCACAGAAATACCCCTCATTGAAGCGCTAGACAGGACCCTCCCTCACATAAACAAAATCAAAAAAGACAGCGGACTTTCGCTTTAACTTTGAGTATGCAACCCATATGTATCAAATACAAAATTCCATTCTGAAATTAAACAATAATGCAAACGGTAACCAGAAAGATTTCCTGATAATCATCAACGAGGAATGGAAAGGTATATACACGTACAGACGGCTCACATGAATCAAATACAGATCAGTCAGGAGTAGGAGTCTACTATGATGCCTATGTCCTAAGCATTTCAGAGTCTACATATCCAGCAGAAAATACTCAGCAGCTCTGAGAGTTCAAGACCACACAACAATATGCTCCGCAGAAACCTTAGGGATAGCAACGGCAGCAAAAAAAATCATAGACTTCGAGATCGCCCAATCTCACATCCTTTCAGACTCGCGCAGTGCAATCCAGAAAATCACCAAAACAGGAATCAGATCAGAGACACATAGTTATCCACTCATGGCCAAACACTTTTTAAATAAAGCGGGAGACCAGGGATTGAAAGTAGTTCTACGTTGGATACCAAGCCACACCAACATCAAAGGCAATGCTATAGTTGACACCATAGCAAACAAGGGAAGGAACAGAGTCGCCATCGATTACAAGGAAATTGAATACAGAGACCTCTCACCAAACAAATGAAAGCAACACTATGGACCCTCTGGGAAGAGGAATGGACAAAAATATGCAGCACAAAAGGAAGACACCTATATAAGATCCAGGTTAAACTAAACGAGAAACCATGGTTTGATCAGATCAACCTCAGCAGGAAACAGATCACCACCATCACCAGACTGAGACTAGGTCACTGCCATTCACAAGCCCACCTCCACAGAATCAAAGTTCCCCTCTATGCCCCTGCGGACTAATAGGTAACTTAAACCATCTATTATTAGAATGACCTAACAACACCACTAACACAAACCTGCTATACAGAAAAATAGCATGTAGAAACCTCAACACGCCTACTGCTCTATCAATGTATGACCTGCTTAGAAATCCAAATGAACATACATCCACTGCCTTAACTGCATTCCTCACTGCAAGTAACCTCAACCTATAGTGCACGAACTCATTCCAGAACTTCGTCACGGAGGAAAGTGATGGTATTTGACCAAACGCACCAAAGTGCAGCTTTACCTCCGCATTCAATTTCAAGAAGACAAAAAACTGGGTAAATAGTCCTTTGAGGCTGAACCCAAAGGGGCCTTCAGTGAAGTTCCCACTGCTAAAGAAGAAGAAGAACTACGAGTTACGCATATATTTCTTAGTCATTCGGGTATGTCAAATGCCGCCGTTACAGGGTTGCAGTGCTGTGTTTGTCACGATTTTAAGACATTTCGTGTTTCAATTGATTTTTAGTGTTTTCGTATTCTAAAACTATATAAAGACAATTATTAAAAGTCTATTATGGTTCGCCAGTGTGTGGAATGTCGAATAGTTCACTATTCAAACACCATAAAGTTATATGCTTCTGAACTTGAGATTTTTCAATAATTATCATTCTGAAATTTTCAGACTCAGACTGAATTTTGCCATAATGAAAGCTTTATACACCTGGAATATCAAAGCAAGTTAGGACAAGGAATTCTTCCTTGATTCTTTGTGCATTTTAATCCAACCATAATTATTAGAATCATTTCATCAATTCTTCCATCTACATTTCCATACTCACATATTTCTACACTGGTTCTGTTTTGAGATTTATATTTGGGATCCATCAAGGATTGCACAGAGGTGGATTTTTCAACTTTTTCCGCACTCAACCTTCTCGATGACCTCTTCATCGAAGATCTTTTCTCCTAAAAATATAAATAGGTACTAGAAAACTTATGAAGGGTAATTCAGTTTTAGAAACGTCCGATGAATGTGACTCTAATTAGGTATAAAAGTATGTCAAATGACTAGAATTGCAAAATAAAACGATTTTCTGAAAAAAATTAAAAATCGGATTTTATCCTTAAATATGGAAGTAATGAAGTTTTTATGCCGGCTGGAGTAGAAGTTGGTTTCTCTGGTAACAAAAGAGGGGCAGAAGTCTCGTATTATTCCATAGGGAGATAAAGTGACATATTTTCTCCCTAAGGAGTTTATACCAACTTTACATTTTCCGCATTGCTCTGCGCTTTTTTTTCGGAACACCCTTCTCTGAAGCGAGTATATGCTGCATCATACAGATTTCTAGATCTCACTGGTAGCAAGTTAAGAATCACTGCAGAAGCAGCATCAATAATTTCTTGGGGTTTTTCTTCGATTTCTTGTTCCATAACCGTTAACCAACCAAAGATGTTTTCATATATTTCAGTTTGATATTTGCTGTCACCATGTGTTGTCAACAAGATGCATGTTGTCAAGATACCAATTCCACAAACTATACTACTACTAATTATGACAAAACACTTTGACCAAATTTTTATTCATTCTCAATTTTTGTGTTTTGCCAGCGTAAAAAATAGTATACACACCTCAGGACAGAATGCTATTTTTCCCTCGGTGCTTCGTATCTCTCGGGCTTCGCCCTTGAGCTACAAATCGCACCTTGGTGTATAATGTACTATTAAAATCACTTATTTTCATTATTTTGTCTATTCACCCGAAAATATTTGTTGTCTAGTTGAGAGGTTTACAGTTAGAAAATCTTCTCCATGACATAGAAAAAAAAATCGTTCCTCTGAATAACGTGCGGTTGATTAGTTATGGTTTCACACTTACATAAAGTACCTATGACATAAACACTTAGTTTCAAATACATTTTCTTCCTTTATTTGAATTTCCTGATGAGTTATCTGGTTCAGCGACTTGTTTTTACAACAATTTATAATCAATTTGATATAAATCACGATTAAAATTTAAAAAATCAGTTTGAATCATGATTTGAATCATTTGTTTTCGAAAATGATAGTAAATACTCACCGGCAAAAAAAACCGGCCTGTAACTTTTTTATTTCTCGTCCGATTTTGGTAAAATTTCGACCAAATCGTAAATTCATATTTCAAAATGTTAACCTGAATTCAAGTTCCAATGAAAACTGATGGCTTGGTCATTATACAGGAAAAAACAAAAGTTACTATTCCACGCTCAACTTCTCAACGTCCAGTTGCAAAAGTGAGTGATTAAACTTAGCTTTATCATGTTTTGGATTGAAATGCGATCTCTTCTCTACACAATGGTTTTTGATTCACGTCAATATAGTTTTTTAAAGAAAAGATACATGTGTTTTAAGAAAGTATGATTTTTTCAAATTTGCAGAATCCACATGAACTTATCGATAACATCGTGGATAAATATCTATAAGTTGATTTCAATTGTTTTTCATCTCTTTTTTTCACGCACTCTCCAGTGAACAGAAACCTCAATTACGAAGCATTCGAGCATTCCACCGCCGTGGCATCGAGTTGATTAAATTTCTCAAGCAGTCTTGAGGAATTGCCTCAAATCCTCCTTGAAGGGGAATCGTAGCTCTTGAAGAGTATCTGAAAATGCCGGATGAAGGCGAATGAGCTTCTGGAGTTCATCCCAAAGAGCATCTTTGGGTATGAATTATTCTTCATGAAAAATTAAAAAATCCATACTATCTTAAAACACTTGTATCTTCTCTTGAAAATAAGATTTTGACGTGAATCAAGAATCACTGTGTTGAAGGGACGAGAAGGGGTCACACTTTAATCCAAAACATGATGAAACAGAAGATTGTAGAATGGTTCTGAATTATGGTTAATAAGAATAAGAAAATATCATACTTTCTCTAAACGCCTATATTTTCCCTTAGAAACAAGATAATGAAGTGAATCAAAAGCCATTGTGTTGAGAAGGGATCACACTTCAATTCGAAACATGATGGAGCTAAGTTTAACTAGAGTAACTCTAGTTTAACCACTCACATTTGCCACTGAGTGTTGAGAAGTTAATGGTGAAAGTGTAACTTTTGTTATTCTCTGTATTAAAATCCAGCCATCAGCTTTTTTCAAGAATTAAAATTCAGGTTTACACTTCGAAATATCTATGATATGGTCGAAATTTCACCAGAATCAGACAAGAATTAAAAAAGTTACAATTTGGCAACATTTTTTGCTGGCCGGTTTTTTTTTTGGCGGTAAGTGTATTATGAAAAATTTATGGTTGAATTTTGATTTACTCTTAACGATGCGGAGCTGAGATTCCCTTTCGAAGCCCTCCTGAATTTATGCAACGATGCTTCCGAAATCGGTTTGGCTTCCTTCGCCAGCTTGATTTTCTCTTGTTCGCACTGGTTGCACATCTCCTTCAGCAGTTTGAACACCGTTGAGGCCTCCGCCACGCTGAGAACGGTTATTTCGGTGATGCGGTTCTTGAGGTAGTCGTTTACGGTGCGTTCTAGATGGTCCATCCTATCGGAGTTCATGTTCTTCGTGAGATCCTGATTGAGTAACACCGAGTTCTGGATTTTCTCTTTCTGGAGTTCTTCCAGTTGGGTCTGAAAGAAATTTATTTATTTATTGACATAAGGAAGTACATACTTATATACCTATAGGTATATATAGGTAGGTATTTCCTCTGAGCAAAGAAAGATTCAAAGCTGAAAGAAGTGTTATTTATAAAGTGGCTGGCGTCAATGGGTATGATATCAAAATAGTAGATAAATTAATACGTAGACATAAATTTAAGTTAACACTTCGATATTCTACGACTTTTCAAGTAGATCAAAAGAACTCTAGAAGAATTCCAATCCCGTTCAATCCCAAGTATACGAAGGGACTTGATAAGGTTTTCAAAGACTTAGGTTTTGAAAGCGTTTACCAGTCTGGGTCAAAATTAGGCAATTTATTAGGCAATCCGAAAGATAAAGTGGACACACTTGAAAAGTCGGGAATATACGAAATAAGTTGTAATGATTGTGATAAAACATATATAGGCCAAACCAGGCGACCCATAAAAACAAGGTTCAAAAAACATATAGCTCATTTAAAATATGGCAGGTTAGATAAATCTTGTGTGGCCGAACATATGTTCAATCACAATCATAACACACATATTACTAACCTCAAATTAGTTAAGCAAGTTAATAACATTAGAAAACTAGACGCATATGAAAGCTTAGAGATATTTAGGAATAGTAATAGAGTAATGAATAAGGATAATGGACCTATTCCATATAGCCCTCTATATAGTTTAGTAAAATAAAAAATTAAGATTAACATTGAACTCAACCATGACAAACATTAACTTGACGGTTAGTATTTTTCACAGTTGGGTGAACATATACCTAGTATATAAGCAGCACACTAGAATAGGATATTAAGTTTTAATCTTCTCCTGAAGATGCTAACATAGTTAGCGAAACACGTGTCGAGGCGTTAAAAAATCATTGCATCAGATCTGTACGACTATGAAGAATACTATCAGCAATAAACAGGGACGAATCAAGCGATATACAAAGTACGATCATTTCAGGGGCTCTTTACTACACTCGACGACTTTGTTGAAAATCAAACACCTGGACAACGTTTTGAAGTTCAGGTATTTATTTCCATTATTGATATCGTACTGTCTGCTTCAACTAAACGTTTGGAAGCATTTCATAAAATTACTAGTGTTTTTGGAGTATTTCGACAGCGAAAGAGATTTTGGAAAAAACCTCAATAATGGTCAGTGCTCACACAGGTGATTTGAAAACCAGTATTTCACCTGACGAAACTACTGGGTTAGCGAAACATGTTGTGTGTTTGAGAATTTTGTGGAAATCTTATCATTTGGGAAGTTTTTACATTTGCCATAGATTTCCATCAAGTAACGGCAGAGTCAATTAAAAAAACAGACATAGCCGAGCTTTCGAAAATGTTCAAATTTCCTTTATCAAGACATCTTGAAATAAACATTTTCGAAAGCTCGGCTATGTAACGAAGAGTTCTCATTCCCAAGAACTAATTACCTCCAAAAGTTAAAAAATATCCAACACATATCTAGGTACAGTCGTCCTCAGAGAACATGTCGCACATGGACGGTGTCAGCTTTCTTTATCACCGCTGCAGTTAGAGCGCTCATACCGTCCAACCACGACATGTTCACTGAAGACGAGTGTACGCACGATGTTCTTCGATCATCACAGAAATTTCTTTCGTGCGATCCAAAAGACAAAAATAAAATAATCAATCTATTTTTCTGACTCTACATATATGCCACGACGAAAACTGAATTACATATATATTGAACACAGACAAGGAATTGAAAATAAAATGTTCTGAAATTGAGAATTTGCATTCTCTTCCAGATAAAAATATATATAATATCATTCAGACAAAATTGAATTACATTTGTTGAACACCCAAGGGGAGGATATGAGAATAAAAATCTTCTGAATTTGAGAATTCACATTATCTTTCAGATCGGACAGATGATATATGATATAAAAACGAAAAAAGAAATCAATTTCATGTATAGACTTATTTTCTTAAAATTGTCTCTAATTTGTGAACAGTTTGAGTGTTCACTTACCTGCAAGAATTTGATTTTGTAATCTGTGTTGACTTCGAAATCCAGATCTTTCTGACGAGGTTGGTATCCTCTCAAAAGTTGTCCAAACCTCAACATCGACATGGTTATCGGTAGATTCTCCTTGAGGATTTTGACATGTGCTATAAACCTGTACAGGCTCACATTAGTTTGAAAGCAATAATTTACTAATTGTACAAGCAATGAATTTTTCTTGGATTCTTTTGAATAAATGTCATGATTACAATATCATCATTGACTTTTGGAAGAGAGCAATTGACATACTGACAAGTGGAATTTCAAAATATCAAGACAGATGATTTTTACTTTTTTACCTCATAGTACTTTGATTGCTCAAATCACCACCTAAAAAATATGTGAGAGGACTGATTCTTTGCTTGACTCTTATAAGTTCTGGTATTTTTCCCATTAAACATAAAAAGAAGAGCTCCATGTTGAGTTTGAATAAATTGGCAGACCCTACGTCTGCAGGATTTTTCAATATACAGGATGAGTTGCCTAAAGTGTCGGCACCTGCCATATCAATCAAATGTATCTAAAAAATTAAATGTGTTACTAGTTTTTTCCCCAACGGATAGAAAATAAATAGAATTCGATTTATCGATGACAGATACAAAAATATGCATTTGTTGTTGAAAAAGATAGGTAAGAGTGGTAGGAATTAACAGGGAAATATAAAAGAGTCTTTTAAAACAACAAACATATTTTGTTCCGTTCCTATCTGAAAAAAACTTACCCTTGAAACAATGTTGTAGGGATAGCTAAAATCGATATCTCTGGTAGTTATGTAAAAGGTAAGAACAGAAGTATTCAGATGAGACATATAATTATTAGTTTGAATAATAGATTTTCTAGCTTCACCTGAAAATAACTGAAGTCATTACTATCACTAAACAATCATGACTTACTGGGTGATCTATGTAAGGGTGCGAAAAAATGTGTAATATCTGATATTTGTTCCACCCTCAGATCAACAAAGGGTCTTTTGTTGATCTGAGGTTCCACCACTAGCTATAAATCCTACCATTATTCACTCCTTTTCGAAGCGTAAAGTTTGTTTTTACCACCAAGGTAGTTTTCGTAATTTTATGAACCAATAGTCAATAGACATAGCCACCTCTGTTTTGATTAACCTAAAGTCACAGTTCTGATGGAGATATTCGCAGGAATAGCACTCGAATCTAGTATACGTTTTATTTATCAATTGATCATTCCAGAACACGTGATTTTGACATGGTTTCTTGAGGGGCACACAAACTATTTGTTAATTAACCTTTGATGAGCATTGCCCAGGCCGTTCCTCTGTCACATCCACAATATAATAACAGTTTCACCAAACAAAATTATGAAATTCTTCCTAGTTCCAACTCGGATTCCAAAGAAAACGATCTCACTAATTCTGGTTTTCTATGACAGATCATGACAAAATACAATGTTTGCCCCTCAGCAACCTGTCAAATGACGTAATTCTGGAATGATTAATAAAGACTTGTTATATTTTCCTGTCATGGTCGTGGCTACTAGATTTCAATTAGAAATGAAAAGAAGTCCTTTCGTACTGAGTATAAGTCCCTATTCCAGTTTCACAGAATTAAAATGATTGGAATCTATTGCTAGTGGTGAACAAAATTTAATATACACCTTGATAGTAAAGAATACTATTACCACGGAACCCTTATACCCTTGGTAATACTGATATTCTTTATTACCTTGGTGTAAAAATAATTATTGTGTACACCAGGAATCGAGCCGGAAATATAAATTTTTCAATCACTCTGTACTTTTTATACTTGACATTCAAGACCCACCCAAGTATAAGAGTTTCATGGTATCAAATTCGGATTTCACTTTGATTTTCGTGATGTTTTCTTTCGTGTGCCATATTTCTAAACTGTTAGGATATTCTTTGAGTAAATCGATGACTGCTGTTTTTGAAAATTCAGCATAAGACATTTGGATGCACATTTTGATATTTTTTGGCTGCAGTTCTTTGAGTGCCAGTAGATGTTTAATTAGTCTAGGAGCTATACCTAGATCCTGAAAATATGCTTCGATGAAACTTTGAAATTCTATTTTAAATTTAATTTGGAACTGACTTCTTCTGAGAGTTGCAATCCAGATAACGTTAGAGATTTTCCAGTTCCTGTTTGTCCGAAAGCAGTTAGTATAATGTTGTGACCTTTGCTTACCCTTGAAAAAAAATCTCAATATAGATCATTGATAATTTTATTGGATACTTACCTTTCTAAAGTTTCATCAATAACTTCGGAATAGACCGACTCTTGGCTGTCGTTGAAAAAAATACCATCAGTTTCAAACTCCCAAAAATTGGCTGGTTCTTTAGATTTACTTGGATCTTGCAGCTGTTGTAAATTTCTGAGATAGATCGTTTTCTTATTCTTCAGTTTCACTAAATCCCAAGACGGTTTTTCAGTTGGAAAAATTCTATAAAACACTTTTACATAAGTATTGCCTGATTTGGACATATTTGCCTTTTGAAGTGAACTTCAAAAGAAACTTGTCATTATAATCATTATATCAAATCAAGGCGGCGAAGGCGGAAGTCTCACTGAAATTGTCATACAGGGTAGGTGAAAATTCTGGAAACTCACCACAGGGACACACAGAATCAATAGATGATCAAGCACACACTAGGTAAAAATATATGAATGATTGAATTTTGTATCAATGTCCAATGGAATTGTAGTAAAATTTTAAATCAATATTTTTAAGTGTCACACTGAACTGAATAATATCATTCTGAAGCAAAATCTGCAATTGACTTTCACAGAAGATTACATTGAATGTTTTTGGGAGCTTATGAATTTGAATATATGGTCTATAAAGGATAAGAAAATTTATCTCTTTTATTGTTCTACAAAACCACGGAATTCGGGTCTTCTTCAAGTAATTGAAGTATCATTCATCAATCATTGACCATAAAAGAGATGATGATTGTTTGAAAACCAGTAGACATTTCCGAATATACATGGATCACATGAGAAGACAAAATAACGTTGAAATATTCAAGCATAGCCAACCAATGTGAGTACAACAGCAAAAATTTTGAGAGAAATCACATAATTAGCGCAAAATAATGACATTGATCACTACATGTATAGCCAAAAATAATAGATTCCATAATATATGGTGAATTTTTCTGGGGTATGGACTTGGGGAGTCAACTTCCAAAGTTATTTTAGTTGATTCTACAGGGTGAGTCAATGTTCTCCTTCGATATTGGCCAAACCGTCAAATATCTAGAAAAAATTCGAATACAACAGGTATAGGGTTTCATGAGAACTATCACCTAAAATTATTTTCATATCTGTAGGGTGTCAGAATTCCAAGATATCGGCTGAAGATTTTTTTTTTTCTAATGGGAACCCTGTATATTATTGCATTTCTAGGTTTTCTCTGAAGAGCTGATTTCATGAATACACTTGGGGTCTAGCAGGAATGATTTTCAGATAATAGGGTGTTGAAAATCGAGATTTTTCAACTTTAGGATTTTTTTGTGTCGAAACTATTCATTATTGGTCAGAAGGACTTACATGTCTACTGAAATTTAATAGGGACATATACTTAGGGACAAAAGTTAAGATAGGGTCATGTAAGCCGTTTTGACCAATTATAAATAGTTTTGACAGAAAAAAATCCTCAACTTGAAAAATCTCGATTTTTAACACCCTATATCTCTGTAATCATTCCTGCTAGACCCCAAGTGCATTCCAATTTTTTCTATATATCTGACGGTTTGGCTATTATTATTGAAGGAGAACACACTATTGACTCACCCTGTACAGCATAAAGAATGAGCAAGTACCAATAATTATTTTTTATTCAGATTATCATACTACACAACAAGAATACTTATATATGTTATTTGTAATAAAATTCTGTACCTATCCATATCAAGCCTGCATGATAATTATCTTATTGAAAATGAAATGGAAGGATGCTTCAACGGATTGAAGATTGTAGAAGTATCATATTATTTGTAATTATGTCTTTGAAAATCTGTAGAATTCTGACCATTTTGGCGCAGTCGGTAGGACTCGATATCATTTTGCAATGTATAATACAAATGATGAGACTGTTGTATCTGATCATGTGAAACGTGATCAACAATCATCAAGATAATTATAGACATGATATAACTACAGATTCTTATAATATTATCATCATTATCATAGAATATAAATGGAAAAAATTCATCTGAACTGATGAGAACTGATCCTCAACCCGATAGCGTCCTTACCGATCTCCGCGACCTTACAGGTATTGCACAAACACCCCTTATACTTGGGCAAATAAGCGGTCCCACATAGGGGACACTTCTCCTCGGGCTTCCCCCTGTAAATGGGCGTGTAGGAATACCCGCACAGGGAAAACGGATTGTGCTCGTCGTACTGCAGCTGCAGCTCGTCTGTTAGGTTGGAATCGCAGGCCTGCAAGATTCAATAAAAAAAATTCAGTCATTATCCATCAGCCTCATCGTTTTTAGAAAATAATATATTGAATGTTGGGCAGTTATTCTATGAGGCGTCAATAATCATTATTAAAAAGAATCCGGCAATAACAAATAGAATCAATCATAGTTACTTATGATATTGAATATTTTGTTACTGAAGTATTTGTCAACATACTTTTATCATTTTATTTTCTACTTCTTTATAGTTTGGCTACCATAAAAGCGTGTCTATTTAGTTTTGTAAACTATTTTATTCATTTTCTACTTCTTTTCAGTACATCAATCCATCTCTCCATTATTTCAAACTACACTTTTTTTTTCTTCTTTTTAGTTTGGCTATCTATAAAAGTGTGTTTCATTAGTGTTTCAAACCATGATTTATTACAATAGCTCACCCGGCAAACGTTGTTTTGCTGTATACAATTACTTCTAGAAAACATTCTCTATTTGAATATTTGAATATTTATCAATACATTCATTTTTTTTTATTTTCTACTTCTTTTGAGTTCGACAATCTATCTCTTTTCAAACTAGTCTATCTATTTTCTACTTCTTTTTGGTTTGGCCTCGAGTTTGGCTATCTATAAAAGCGTGTTTCATTATAGTTTTTCAAACTACTATTTTTATAGAGACTCGTTCACCACATTGGATCCGCCATCTTGAATTTCCCAATATTGAAGAAAATATCATAATCTCCGTCCCCGAAAACCCCCAAATACAAATTTTAAATAGAAGCAGACCAAAATTACAAAACCCGTCAGACATATTGGATCCGCCATCTTGAATTTGCAAATTTTGACGAAAAAATCATAATCTCCGAACCCAAAAATCCCAGATACAAATTTTGAATGGAATCGAATCATAATTACAAACGTCGTCCGCACTATTGGATCCGCCACTTGAATTTCTCAATTTTGACAAACGAATCATAATCTCCGACCTGAAAACCCCCAAATACCAATTTTGAAAAAAATCGGTCCATAATCACAAAACTCGTTCGCCATCTCAAATTTACCCATTTCGACGAATGATTCATAATTCTCGACCCCGAAAACCCCCAGATACCAATTTATTTTGAATAGAATCGGACCACAATTATAAAACTGGCCCACCATATTGGATCCGCCATCTTGAATTTCCAAATTTTGACGAAAGAATCATAATCTTCGACTCCGAAAACCCCCAGATACCAATTTTGAATAGAATCGGACCATAATTGATAAACTCGTTCGCCATATTGGATCCGCCATTTTGAATTTCCTAATTTTGACGATGAAATCATAATCTCCGACCCCGAAAACCCCTAGGTACCAATTTTGAATAAAATCGGACCATAATTACAAAACTCGTCCGCCATCTTGAATTTCTAAATTTTGACAAAAGAATCATAATCTCCGACCCCGAAAACCACCAGACACCAATTTTAGATAAAATCGGATTAGGAAACTCATCCGCCATATTGGATCCGCCATCTTGAATTTCCTAATGATACCGGGGGGAAATAAAGTATCCTATGTCCGTCTCCTGGTTCTGGGCTACTTCCCCACCAATTTTCAGCCAAATCGGTCCAGTAGTTTCGGAGCCTATTCAATACAAACAAACAAACGAACCAATCTTTCCTCTTTATAATATTAGTATAGATAATTGTGTCTCATGTTGTGTAAATAATCGAGGCTATGTCGTACCTGCAAGATTTTCCTGGCCTGCTGCGCCACCTCGGGCCGGGGCCCCAGCTCCAGCAACCTCTTCGCGAACGACGCAGCCGTCCTGTAGTTCTTCAGCTTGAAGAACATGTTCAAACTGGTTCTGAGCGTGAGGATCTGGTGGACGGGCTGCAACTTGCAGTGCGTGAAATAGGCGGCCATCTCGCCTTGGCGCTTCTGCTCCTCCAGAGTGGTCTTGGGCAGGGTCTTGCGGAGTGTTTCCATCTGCAGGCCGCAGATGTACTCGCTGCAGATGCGCAGCAGCTGCTGCGCCTCGGTGATTTCCTGCTTGTTGTCGACCACGAGGAGGGTGATGGCGAGGAGGAGGGAGTGGAACTTTTCGATGGCCTCGGTGAATTTGCCGCCCGTGGTGAGTTGGTAGCACACCTGGAAGGGGTGTAGGATTTGTCAAAATTCGAAATGTTTGAAGTAATAGACCGTGGGCCCATGACACCACAAGTGTCGACAGCATATGTTCGTATGCCCTTTTAGAGATATACTCAGACAGCCCGGGGAACCGGGAAAAAGTGCCTCCGAGCGTCTATGACCAGTCCTTGCACCTGCTATGACCTCAACTTCCGGTTGAAAAAAACGTTAAGCATTCGACGAACGAGGAAGCTCGGGCATGTGGATACATTATCGTATCTTGCAAAAATAACCGGGCGCTAGCTGGTTTGCATACGTCTAGGTCGCTACTGGAAGGAGGCATACGAACCTGAAGTGGCAATTTTACAATGGCGATAGGCGATAATCGAGGAAAGTATGCCCGTTGGTGGAAATAAATATACATTTTATTTTTTTTACATACGGAGACAAAGAACGATCAGTGCTGTAACTTCTGAATCATTCGAGATAGGATTCTGAGAATTGTTGGGTAGCAAGTATACCACATTGCTCAATTATTGACAAAATAATTTTTGTTGAAACACTTCTGGTTTCACCGGTCCACCGGAAACAACCCCAACTTTGATTTTTTTCAATTCAACGATACCGGGTTTGATAAACATGTTTATGAGTTCCGATCGATACATTTTCTAGCTCACTTTGTCTTATATACAGGGTGTCCCTAGACCAGTGGGACAGTTAAATATCTTCTGCACCAATAGGAATTTTCAAAATATTATAACTCCACATCATATCGCATCATGAGTGCTATCTTCAGGAATGACTATATTTTATACGGGGGGCGCAAGGAAGGCTCACAAAATCGAACATCAATTTTTTCAAATGGAACACCCTGTCTTTCATTGCATTTTCATATTCTCCCTGAAAAGCTGAATTCAACGACCTAGCACACTTGGGGTCTAGCGGAAATGATTTCCGAGATATAGGGTGTGGAAAATCGAGGTTTTACATTTTTGGGAATTTTTTGTGTCAAAACTATTCATTATTGGTTGAAATGGCTTACATGTCCATATCTCAACTTTTGATTTACTATTCACTCGTATTTAAATTAAACAAATACAGGGTGGTCAGTTTCAGTCGGAATTCCACACCACCCTGTATTTGTTTCAATTAAATACGAGTGAATAGTAAATCAAAAGTTGGGATATGGACATGTGAGCCGTTTTGACCAATAATGAATAGTTTTGACACAAAAAATTCCCAAAAATGAAAAATCTCGATTTTCCACACCCTATATCTCGGAAATCATTCCCGCTAGAGCCCAAGTGTGCTAGGTCGTTGAATTCACCTCTTCAAGGAGATTATGAAAATGCAATAAAATACAGGGTGTTCCATTTGAAAAAATTGATGTTCGATTTTGTGAGCCTTTCTTGTGCCCCTCGTAGAAAATATAGTCATTCCTGAAGTTAGCACTCATAATGCGATATGATGTGGAATTATAATATCTCGAAAATTCCTATTGGTTCAGGAGATATTCAACTGTCCCACTGGTCTAGGGACACCCTGTATACTAAAAAAGCAGTTTTTTTCTTTGTCAATTCTTAGTTGTATATGTTTATGTTATGTTATACACTTTCATTCAATTTTGAATACTATGCTTCGTCAATAAGAAATACTGTTTCTTAGACTCTCTCTCACCTGCAACTTCCCCACCAAATCGTTGAGCCGCACCCCCACCGCCGGCAGCCCGCCCTTCGCGCCGCCCTCCTTCCAGTTCCTCAGCGGGCAGGCGAACGTGGGCGGCACGTTGGGTTGGGCAGCACGAGCGGTGCGCGCGCCGCCGTACAGCGCGGCGAACAGTCGCTCGTACGGCGCGAAGTCGACCACGCCCACCTGGTCGTGCAGCAGGCGGGCGGCCGATTCGAAGGAGCCTGCGGCCGCGTGGTCGGCAGCCAGCTGAGAGTGCTTGGTCCAGGCCAGGAGAGGCGATTGACCTGAAAACAAAATGGGATGCATCTTGAATGATAGATGAAGTAAATTCAAATGAGAAATGGTTTGTATCTGTTGTTGTTAACATTATCTTTCATTACAGTCAATCAAACATGGAGTTCCCCACGCTTCATTTATATTTCTTTTCAATTCAAGGTCTTGTATTATGGATGCGCTGTTTTAGTTGTATATTCGCATTTGTTGATTGTGATTCAGTATCTGTGATTCAAGTTGAATATTATCTCTATAGACTAATTAGTCAAAATTGTAATATTTTCGGATATCGCTGATTTGCGTGGGCAAATGAAAGTATCCCTCCGCCCCCTGATCCGCCTCTTTCATCGGCCCCACCTCCGGTATCTCGAGGTCGGCGTCCTCTACGTCCCACCCCCCGTCTCCCGCCCCTTCAGAGGCCCCGCCCCTCTCCTCGGGGGCGTCGACGTCGTCGCCCCAGTCGCCTGCCTCCGACTCGATGTCGCCAACCGTAGACGCGGGGTCGGCCTATATGAAATTAGTGAATTATACCAGGCAACCGCGCCCAAAACCAGTTTTACACCAAACTATACTGATAGATGCGAATTTATTGAGGTTTCAATTTTTCATTGTTCCCTTCGGTTGTTTACTTTAATTTCAATTCAAGTTCTAATGTAAGATTTTCGGATATCACTGATGGTAAGCAATAAGCTCAAATTTTATGTCATTTTTTTACAATTCATTCGCTTTTCAGGATATACTCGTAATCATCATGAGTAAGCCTTCTAAATAAGTGAAACGTTGATTTTTTTCTTCATTTTCAGTTCGGATTTGTTCGGAGATATTTATCTCACAGCCAATGTTATTATACCCAATAGATTCACCGCATAAATCTGTGATATAGTGCTCATAATTATATGTTTCGTGTTGAAGTGATAGTGAATCTGAACAGAAATTGGACTCAAAACCTACAGTGTGATAGTTATCTATCTGTATTGAGTGAACGAATTTTTTTATCGACATTAAAACATTAGCGAATTTCATTTTTACTTGAGTTTGTAAGTGATTGAAATAGTTTCTTTTTTCCTTAGTACGCAACAATAATTGGTATATAATTATTTGTATTAACAAACACTTACGATGTTGATCAGGGTAACTCTATTACTGGGATACCTATAGTTACAAGATCTGTCAGGTTTCCAGAATAAATAAAAATAATTAAAAACAGAACATGCCACAAGTGGATACCGTAGGCATGTCCAAACCACGGTAGGCGTGTCCCACACCACATGGGCGTGGCCACACCCAACCCCACCCTCTTACCTTGCGTAGGCAGATGAACATATCCCTCCGCCCCCTGATCCGCCTCTCTCGTCGGCCCCACATCCGGTATCTCGAGGTCGGCGTCTTCCACGTCCCACCCCCCGTCTCCCGCCCCCTCAGCGGCCCCGCCCCTCTCCTCGGGGGCGTCTTCGTCGACGTCGTCTTCGTCGCCCCAGCCACCCGCCTCCACCTCGACGTCGCCGGCCGCCGACGCGGGGTCGGCCATCAGGGATTTCATGGCGGAGGAGGCGGACGATGCGGCGGCGGTGTTCTCGAAGAAACTCTGCAAGGGAATATCGGAATATTATTGAGATTTCATGGTCCGTTGTCGATCTAAATGGAGAAGCTGGTTTGCTAGTAAAGTTAGTAGTAGTACTCTGTTCATTTACCCAAAATTTGTCTGCCTGTCAATGACGCTACATTACAGGATACTGTCAATAGCTCTTTTTTTTCAATGTCAGTGACACTGTTCAAGGTTAAATTTGTCTTCTTAATTTTTTTCCAAATAGTACTCACCCACCATATATATTGATAAAAGAGAAGACTATTTCTAAGGATTGGTACCTGACGGTTTTTACGCCTGGTGTAAGTCTAGTGATTGACTATTGACTCCCTTTTTCGAATTATCTTTCTTCGAATCCTTCAGAATTGCGATTGTATCTTTTATTAATTATTTCTCCTAGTGTTGCTTGTTCTCTATTGATTAGTTGGTTTGTATTTGTTGTTATAATTTGTATGTAGGTACTTCCAAGTAAGTACACTGATTTGTTTATTTTCTTCAGCTCTTGTACTTCTACCTAGTTTATAGCTTCTTGTAGTTATTATTGTGATTGCCCATTTTCAATAAATTGCCTTTTACTTTCAGAAAGTTCCGTTTTTTGTCAATCTAATTTCATTTTTTGACAACTGTCAACAGTCATTCCACGTCATTCCTTGTAAGAAAATCAGAAATTTATAGTCATTACAGGAGACAATTAAACTTATTTCATCTTGATTCTGCTACTTCTATACTTGACCAAAAGAAAAATAACTCACGCTGCTTCAGCTGAATTCAATAAATTACCACATAATATGGAAAATCGTAGACATATTTCGAAAAAATTGCATTAAAAAACACATGATTTTATTACTGAATGGATAAAATTGATACTTTAGTCCCTGTTGCTATTTTTATAGTTTGATCGATTTAGCATTTTCAGATTTCTTAGATTTATTTTGTTCTTGTTCTGTTATTTCATTATTGTTCTTTCTAACAACTTTTTCTCAAAAAAACAATAAACAATATTGAAAGAGGGCGTTTACAAAAATGCAGTAAATTTGAGGTTCGGTTAAGTTATGTCGCCGTGTTGTTTTTATCTCATTGGAGTTTGAGCAAAAAGTTTTATTTATATTATTTTCATAGGTGTCGACAATATTCGGTTGGAAATTAATATTGTTCGGTGAGTAATTGAATCAAATACTATTAATACAAAATGAAAAATTGTGTCTAGGAGAGATGATAATCTAAAGAATTTTACAAAACGATGGTATACTTTTTGTAGGCAAAGAAATGTTGGATAGACCTGTTTCTGGAGCATGGAAATATTTATAAAACATACAGAATAAGTGTAATTTTTAATTTCCAATTGTGACAGAAAAGAAAGTTTATATACTTACATTTGTATTTTTCAACAAAACTAATTGTGGCAAAAAGTCATTTTAGTTCCTGATTAGTTAATAAAATACATGATAATGAAAAAAATCGACACTTTTTCTGCAAATATTGCAAATACCCGGGCATACAAAGAAATAATATTAAAAAAAAATCGGGTACGCTCAAACTCTAGACACATTGAAGAGATTCTGGTGGCGGAATCGGATAAATAAAACGCAACTAATGGTTCGAGCAACAAGTCATCTCCACTCACCCTGCTGACAGTCAACAGCGGCCAATTGGATTCGGCCTGCTGGATCGGCGGAGGCGGTCTCAAAAATTTCGCGTCAGGATCGATATCGGGAAGTTTTTTGTCGTCGCCGATCTGCTGGCTCAGGAGCTCCGCCTCCTCGCGCATCCCATGGGTGGCGGCTGTCAAATAGGCGAGCGAAGTCTGGTTGGAAGCTTTCAGAATTTTCACTCTTTCATCCAGATCACCTGAAATAACATATTGAAGAATTGGTGGGAATTGAAAAAAAAAAAAGGTAAGGGGCGAGTGGACTAATAATGCTCATTTCAACCGCCATTTGGCGATACGTCGAATAAATAGTGACGTCAGTTGTTATGCTGTTTCGTTATTGGTCAGATTTTTTGTTGGAAAACCTATATATTTATTTCAAACAATCCAATACAATTCGATTACAATTCAACATTAACATTACATTACATTATGTAATATCAAGATCAGTAAGTTTTTCTAGAAACTAACAATTTTCACATGTTTCTTAAGATACTTGTACAAATTTGATATGGGGTACAATACATTATTAGATTTGAATCAACCATTATTATAATTTCCTAATATAATGCCTTGAAACAATAATTTCAGATAAGTATTTCAACAACATTCAACACCATATGGATCACAAGATGATAGGAAAATTACTATTTTCTCCACAAGTCACCTTAAATGGAGAAAATAAGATATGAATTTAAATATATTTGATAAAGTTCTGAAATATCCTCCTACTTTACAACATAAACCATAAGAAACATAACTAAGATCCATGATATGCTGGACAAAAACAGTGCCCGATAAATCCTTGAAGGATTTGTGTGAGCACATTTCAATAATACATGTTTGTGTTTTATGTACCATGAACAAATTATATGACTTTTTTTTCATAACCATTTTTGAAGAATTCCGACGGATTTGAAATGTTCTACAACATGACGATGCTACAATTTCATCTGAGTATGATAATAATGACATGAAACTATACTAGTTACTGAAGATGCTGACAAAGGAATGTATACCTCAGGAAGATCTACTCTGATAAATCCTTGGCTATACTTTTGAAATGTCTATTTTTTCAATATAATTTAAATTAAAAGATAATCTTTCATTCCCACTCGTGAAGCAAGGTTGCCAATAAATATTTATAATAGTCTACCCAACAGAATGAAATCTATTAGATTCGTCACAAAATTTAAGTGTGAACTGAAGAAATATATTTCATCAATTTAACTCTCTCCTTTAATTCTGATTGAACTGTTTATCTTTCATTGTATTGCATATTTGATTTTTTTTTGTTTGTTTCCCTCTATAAACATTGTATGTTTCTTGGGATCAATAAATGTTATTATTATATAGAATAGAATAGAACATTTATTACCCATTTGCCATGTACATGTAGGTTCGTCAGTTACGGTTTATGAAACACAATACATAAGTTATTCGAGAAAACATATAACATTCAAAAGATACATACATTTTAGGCTGGTTAGCGACAGATGCAGAATATAATGTAGTTAGTTATGTAACGTTAAGTTAGAAAAATGCACAGATGGTGTCTTCCTACTTGCGTACGTCCGGCTTGCGTACAAGGGGCGTAACTGTCCAAGATGCGTACAACAAGAGATCGGTTAAAATCGTTTATTTTTTCAAGGGAGCGCTGTTGCCAAACTCAAAATTTTAATATCAAGTGCTGTTGGTAAATTTAATACTTTTCATATAAAATATTGATAATAAAATTATAGTATAAACTTTAATACATACTATGTATGTATATCTGTGAAATGTCTTCCCTTCCTTTGAAAATTGCCGAAGGTTTACCCTTCCTCCCTTGAAAAAATAAACGATTTTAACCGATCTCTTGTTGTACGCATCTTGGACAGTTACGCCCCTTGTACGCAAGCCGGACGTACGCAAGTAGCACGGATTCGCACAGATAGGTGGTAATCATTTCATGGATGTTAAATGCATTTGAAATTCAGAAACATCATAGAAACTATTTGAGGTTAGAATTTTTTTAAGATCATTCTTGAATCTCTTCAGAGATTGATTTTTTATTGATTCAGGCAGTAAGTTGTAGAGATGACTCCCGCTATATTTCGGAGATTTTTTGTACTCCATATGATGAAACTTTTCCATATAAATATGATTGTGATTTCTAGTGGTGTATTTGTGAATTTCTGAACATTTCTTTAAATGGTGTTTGCTTTTATGGATGTGACACAATAATTTCAATATGTAAATGCTGACCACTGTTAATATTCGATGTTTTTTGAAGTGATTTCTACAGGAATCTTGATACTTTGAGTTGAAAATGAGACGAATAATACGTTTTTGTAGAGTAAAGACTCTGCTTATTTCTGTGGCTTGTCCCCAAGAAATCATATTATAACTCATTGTTGAGAACGCTAGAGCATAGTAGACGTTAATCAGACCGTGAACATTGAGATATTTTTTGTGAGAGAATATGGCAAAATAAGTTTTTTGGAGCTTTTTACAAATGTGGTTTATTTGATCATTCCAAGATAATTTTGAATCAACAAGCGTGCCCAGAAAATTGAAAGAGTTGACAGCCTGTATATTTGTATTACCAAATGGTATACTTGCATCAATGTTAGGTGATTTGTATTTTCCTGTGAATTCCATGTAACTGGTTTTCTTCAGGTTGACTACAAGATGGTTGATTTCACACCATAGTGCAAACTGACTGATTGCTACTTCCTCATGTGAGTTTCCTGAGACTATCACCGCCGTGTCATCAGCATATATGAACGGCCTGCCCTCCTCGAAAAAATCCGGCAAGTCGTTTACATATACCAAGAACAGCAGCGGTCCCAGAACACTGCCCTGTGGTGTTCCTAGTTCAATAGTTTGTTCGCCTGAGTGTGTGTTGTTAATATCAACAATGATACGGCGGTTTTGGGTAAAAGAAATTAACCAGTCATTGATGGAGTCTCTTACACCCATTGCATGAAGTTTCATCTTCAAGAAAAGTGGATCTATGGTGTCAAAAGCCCTTGACATATCAAAGAATATTGCAACTGCAAGGGAATCTCTATCAAGAATTTCGTGAATATTTTGTATTAAATCAGTTGATGCAGTTTCGGTTGAAAGGCCCGCCCGAAACCCATGTTGATGTGGTGATAATAATTTATATTTCTCAAAGAAATTGATCAGCCTAATGTATATTGCTTTCTCCATAATTTTAGAAATTGGATCCGAGACACAGATAGATCTGTAATTTTCTACCAGTGTCGGATCACCTTTTTTGAAGATCGGTGTACATTTTGAGATTTTCATCAAGTCCGGAAATTTTCCTACTTCAACTGAGTGGTTTATTAGATCAGTTAGATACGGTGCTACTTCGTGTACACATTCCTTTAGGAGTGATCTAGGAACTTCGTCCAAAGCTAAAGATTTTTTGTTTTTCAGGTCTCTTATGATATTCTCAATTTCATATATTTCAAAATGTATGTAATACATAGTAGTCACCGAAGGTTTTACAGTTGTACAACAGGTAGGAGTTGCAACAGATATACCTACCTATTACTTTTTACCAGGTCAACAGCAGATGTTGAAAAGAATTTAACGAAGATATCAGCAATTTTTTTCGTATCATCTATAGTTTCGTCATCCAATTTGATACGCATATCATGTCTGTATACTTTTTTTTTTGTTTAATTTGGTGTTTACCATCTCCCATAACATTTTAGGTTTGTTATTTGAGTTTTCAATTAGGGCAGGGTAGTGATTGGTTCTCTCCATTTGAATTTGGTTGTTCAGAGCATTTTTCATGGTTTTGTATTTTGAGTGGATCCTATCATCATTTGAGAGTTTTCGAAGCCAGTTTATTTCTTTTACTTTGTTACCTAGTTCAAAAGTTTCTATTGAATATTCTATGTTTGTATCCTTAGTCCTGTTATTTGTTATTTTTATTTTTCGTTTTGGATGTGAGATCTCAAAACACCATAGAAAATGTTGCCAGAAATGGTTGAAGACTTCATTGATATCCTCTGTCAGATCCAATGTAAGTTTGTCCTTATTAAAAAGATATTTGAATTCAGAAATCGCACCTGGGTGTGAAAGTCTTTTCTGCACATACACGCATTGTGTCTGCTTTTTTGTAATAGGTTTGAATGGAAATTCAATGATTTGTGCAAGGTGGTCTGAAAAACCTAGGTCAAAAGTTTCAACACAAAGTATTTCTTCCAGACTTCCATAAAATTGAATTGAATCAAAACAATTAGTCACGTATCGAAGACGTTCGTCACTCACCTAACAGAAGAGCCCCGTGATACTGAGACGATCTGGCCTTGCGTATCTCGGCGATTTTCATCATCTTCCGCAGCTTGTCGAGATTGCCGGTGATCAGATAGAGGAAGGACAGCTTCTCGAAGCTCTTGGTGCGCTGATAGCACATCTCGACCACCTGGTGGTTGCCCTGCCATAGGGCGGCCTGCGCCAGCTGGTCCCAGCAGGCCTTGTCGTTCAGCGCTTTGGCCGCCTCCAGGGCGATCTCGATGTTGCCGCATTCCAAAGCGAGAGTGAACCTTCGAACAGAAGATATTCGACACCTCAGGTGAAATAGACATAGAAAATGAACATAAAATATTCATTTCCGTCAACCTTGTATTAACGAGTAAGTTTGTTTATGAAATCGTTCATTAATGACCCCTATTAATGATCAATTTGTCTATAAATGCACGATTGTTTTATAGGCAACCAAACATACACCGCGTGCATTCATTGTTTATGCTATAACTTACGGAATCTGCATTAAATCGAAAATATGGATTTCATCGAAGATTTTCCGTTAACGGGTTCGTCTTTCCAAGTTTCTGAAACGATTTTAATCCCTGCATTCTAACACAAGGAATTTAATTTCTATGTTGATCATTTCGACAAATGTCAAATGTCACCAATGTCAGTTACAAGGCTACTGGGTGATTCTTAGTAGTTTCCGGATGAATGATGAATTCGCGAACCAAGTTTTCTTCATTGCAGGAGAAATGAGAAATATAGTCGACGGAAAAATTTTGTAACCAACTCGTATATTAAACATTCACGATTTCATTCATTTAACTGTGTTTGCCGTATACGTTTTGATGATTTATGATTAACTCTAGGTGTCTGCCTATTGTTATTAAGCCTGAGGCTATTCCCACCATTCGAGATTTTATTCATTCATCCGTGTTTGATGTTTAGGATTGTGGGCGTATACTGTTCAATGATTATGAATGAGTCGCGGTGTCTATCTATTGTTATTTAGTCTGAGGTTCTATGCCACGAATTTGTCCCTTTATAACTATAATGTCATGAAGAGAAATCTCAAGAAACAGATGAAGGATTTATTATGGACTGCCACTAAAGATCACCTACTCACCTAGTCTTGTCGTCCTTGACGAAATGCAGCGCCACCTCAGGATACCCTTTCTGCTGCAAATACGAGATGATCGACTGACCGACCAGCCTCGCGTTCCGCACCATGTACAGCACCTCCTCGTACTTGTGGCTGATCAGCGCCAGCTTGAACTTGTACTCGGTGGGGTCGACGGTGAGGACTCTCGGTTTGCACTCGCGGTCCAGGCAAAAGACTTGGCTGCCCTTCACGCGGGTGATGTAGATGGGCAGGTCGAGGGTGCGGATGATGCCGTGGTCGCTGGAATGACGGAACATTATTGTTGTTGAATGAGGGATAACATTATTTATAGTCCACCACATCACGCCACTGAGGTCACAGTTGGTAGAACTGATAAATATACTTCAATGTCAGAATTGTTCGTCAAGTTCCACAAAAACGTAAATCTGCTCAAGTTTTTCCATAACTTGAGATTTTTTATTTGTTCAAATATCCTACATATTTTTTTCCGAATAACTTCGATAAAACAGGTCACAGCCTATAGGACTATCTGGCAAAATTTTGATATTCATATATAAAAACACCTCGTATAGATAAGAAAATAAGAGAACATATCCTTAAATTTTTCATCACTCCACTCTGAATACCTGCTATCGATATCGGAATTAGTCATAATTGTTCGGGAATTAATCGGTTGAAAGGATGACGCAACTAATTAGTCGTTTAAATGATGTATCTAATCAATCAGTAGTCTAGTTCTAAACTTCATTGCGTACGGTCGATGAGAGTGGAAAATTGGAATTTATATTTGGCTTAGTGATTGTATTTTCATTTGAGTGTGTGAAAGTTGTGTTATTTCAAGATGGTAAGTGTTTTTGTATAATATATATGGAGGTATTCATCACTTGGCTGGTATTTTGCCGCGGTATATTTTCATATAACGATGGAAAATTTTTGAAATTCACATTACCTATTCATACAGAGGATCTAGATGGATATTAATGCAACAAGATGCGAAACTATTCGCCATTTTGTTATGAGTAAACACAAATATTTTAAATTTTTGTATTCATTTAGGATAGAATAAGTCGCTTTGTTAACTTATACAGAGGTACTAGAAATAGGTATTGAAATGAGTTGCAAGAAGAATCGCTATTTTGTAGAGACAATTATTTAAAGGTATACGAAACTATTCGAAATTTGGTAATCGTATCGAAATTCAAAATGTTAAAAAGAATGTATACTTCGGTACTAATAGCCATATATATGGCAAGTTGCAGAATGGAACATCTTTGCACGTTGAGTGCGAATAGCTCGCCATTTTTTTTTTATTTGGAGCACCATGTATTTCATTTTTCTAATCGGAAGAGCTCTTTCTCATAATTCAAACATATAAACTTTATTGAGGTTATTTTTTCGTATAAATCGATTTATATCGACAACGGCAATATTAAGGTATAGGACATACTTAATAAAAATTGAGGGTAATTTGGATCTGGAACTGTTAACGTAAAAAAGTAATGAAGTTTTGGCATCTTCAATCTCGTCAAGTTTTTCCGTCTAACATTGACAGTGTTCAATATTTCGAACTGATTTTGTAGGAACGAATGGAACACATGTTGGACTATACTCGTGTGAAATTATTTCGATCCAACGTCCAAATAAGAATCACAATCCTTTTTTTATAGGCCTCTACATAATCGGTTTTTCACGGAAATAGTTTACTTACTTGACAACAGTCGAGTCAAATAAAGAAAACGAAAATCAGTTGTGTAGAATTCGTACACCCTATAGATATGAAAATAATTTTAGGTGATAGTACTCATGAAACCCTATAACTGTTGTATTTGAATTTTGTCTATATACCTATTGGTTTGGCTAATATCGAAAGAGAACACACTATTGACTCACCCTATATACTAAAAATGACCCTGTTTTTTTCATTGTCAATATATTTGATTTGTTTTTGACCCCTGTAAAATTATTTTTCCATATAAAATTTAGTCATGCATGAAATTTTATCTTTCGGGAATTTATCGTTTAGATAGGTGACGTAACTAAAACAGTCATCAGAATAATGAATCAAGCCAGCCATTAGCCATTCACTGTAGTCGTATTTTAGATTTCGTCGGGTACGGTCGATTCAAGTGGTTTAACAAAATAACTTTCATCATTTTATTTGCATCGTGAAGTTTCAATACTTGAGCAGTGTGTTTGATTCACCATATACTAAAATTGACCCTGTATTTTTTTTATTGTACGTATATTGACTTTCTTCTCACCCCCCGTAAAACAAATTTTCCATATAAACTTTTGCCATATTTATTACCACAAGTGATACTGTTTAGCCGAATATTTCCCTCATATATCGGTAATTGCACTGCAGAGCGAAAATTGCTCTGCGAAGAGATCCCGTCGCCATAATAAAACATTTAAAATCATGTCACTAAACGCCAGTGAACAGATGGCCTTCAAAAGTGAAAAAAATGTTGCGTTTTGGTGATAGCTCCATACAATCTAATCTATCCTGGAAAGTATAAATGAAACTGAAGCAACATATAACAAATCCAACAGACAACAATTCTTTACTTGTGAAATATTCCAATGAATTACATTCGTGTATAAAAATGACCAGATAGTTCTACATTCAGGCGTGTTATCTCATACAAATTGCATTCGGTTATTTTCATATTGTGTAAAAGAGCCCTCCTCCTTCGGACTTGGGCTATTTCACCAAAATATGAAAATAAACCTTCACAATTTTTAGATCACATGCTTTTTTGCAGAATTATCGGTAACTTTTATGCACTTGTGCAATTATTACCGGAAATATTCGGTGTGTTATGACAGCTTGTTGTCTAGTAATTTCTCAAATGACATCTTTACCAAAACTACGAGCCGTAAGCAAGGAGAATTTAATAAACAGGGTGATACATGTTTGAGTAATGACGACCACGACAATTTTTTCAAATTGAAAATCCTATATATTGTTGAATGTTTGGAATTTCCATGAAAAGCTTAATTCAAAAATATATTCCACATAGGCTTTGTTGGAGTTTGGCTCGTTCAAATATTTTTAGTTTTTGAGTTTCTTTTTTTGTATATATGTTTGGGGTATAACAACAATAATTATTGTTATCATTTTCATAATTTCTTTATTTTACTGAAGTTTGCATATTTTCGTGCATATCTGATAAGCAGAAATGTATTGTTGGTTGCATATGTAGTGTGAGCCTTTGCCAAATGCTATCGAGGACAGTGCGAACTCATCCGAGCAGCGCATGCGAGAACGTTTTTTCGAAGGAGAGTCGAGGTGAACACGCTTCGCAATTTTTGGTTTGATTTCGTGAGAAACATTTTCTAATAATAAATAGTTTGGTGGTGGTTTGGTGCAACAATAAACTCAAGAAGTTACACGCTGCAATAGTTAACTAAGCTGAGTTCCTGGCCGGCCGGCAGAGAAAGAAATAATTTGTCGATCAAAGAGGTAAGCCGCTTTCTTTTCTGCTTCCAGTCGGTCTAACTTTTATACAGTCCACATCTTTTTTCTTGTCGAAACGCAAACAGGCTTTGTATACAGTGGGTCCGTTGAATTAAGTGCCCTCGTGAAGTAGTGGATGAATTCTTTGAAAATTATAGGATTAATTGACAGAAAATTAGAAGCCGTCGAATTTTATTTTCATTCGAGCATTCTTTCAAATTCAATCAATATATACAGCGTATCTATCTGGAAAGATCATGTCGTAAATGATAGGGCTGAAAGTTTCTGCAAGTCCATTAATATGCATGTTCATGAATACTGAACTCATACATGGTGTTACTAAAATATCAAATACAACAAAGACAAAGTACCTTTTCTACATAAATCAGGTGTTTATAAAATTTCTTGCTCTGAGATACATTGTAATGCCAAGTATATCTGGCCTTTTCGGGAATTTTCTCCTTCCTTCCTACAAACATCTTCTTCTTTCCTTTTTCCAGTACACCAATGGCTCATCACCACTGGGTGGGCAGTCACTACCATGGTGTCTCGTGCCACTTGTCTTTCTTATTGACTTGTGACGTGTGACACATGCCGTGGTTTTTTCTGCCTAGGTCAGGTGATATCCGTCGTGTGCTGGTATACAAGGCAAGATGGAAACGTTTTCATTATCAATGTCGCATCCATATGTGCCATTTGATGGTTTCCACCACAAATCGTATGGTAGTTTTCCGGGGGTTTGTTGGGTTTCCCTATTTTAATTTTCTACATTAAAACCCAAATCAATAATTTTATGATGTTTAAGTTGGTGACAAAACCTTTTTTTATCTCCATCTCATAACTCTTGTCGATTGTACTAATAACTATTCTAATTTTAGGACAATGATTATGGAAATTCTATATAAGGCTGATGATGGACATATATATGTCCGAAACATGTACCAATTTTTGATATGTTAATCACATTAAATGTCATGGAGATGACTTCGTGTATCATTTAGTATTTATTGAATACTGTCACAATAATTTGACGTCAATTTTGACAATGACTGCAACTACCATGATGTTGAATAAATAAAGTCCTTGTTATCTTTGGAATCATTGGGATGTATGTTTTTGAAATACGATTTTCTCTAGAACGGTACAAGATATCGATTAGGATAAAGTACACTATTTGGCATCAAACGGTGAAAGCAAAATGTCAAATTTATCACCTCAGTCAAAAATGCCATCATTAAACGCAGAAAATTCATCCCATTCTGTATAAAACATAATCACTGAACACCCGTTTACATATCGAAATAAGCAATAGCATGAGTTAATTTAGTTGCCGGAATATCATTGATACCATGTCAACCGTCTAAAAGTTATACATGATTTTTGTTTTAATTCAAACTCTCAAGGTCAATAACTCCGTTACTCCGACATTATTTTGGCTCACTCTATCAGCCCTATCATTTATAACATGATATCTTTCCGGACACCCTGTATAGAATACGTCAACGCGGTATTTTTTTAATGGCAACCCTATTTTACGAGAGTACTGAAAATATTTTCGAAAAACTTCCGGAGTTTCTTGACAACTATTTTTCCATATCATCTTCTGTCATAGATAAAATTTTATTATTCGGGAATTAATCGGTTAGAAGGATGACGTAACTAGTTAGCAATGAGGATAATGAATCAAGCTAGACATTCATCAGTCGCATATTAGATTTCGTTGTGTACGATCGATTCAATTGGTGAGGAAACCTCTGATAGCATTAAAAAAAAATGAGAATAATTCCATATTGGTCCTAATGTCAATTTGACATTTCGT